TCTTGAAGCAGCCGGTGAAGAGTTTTCCAATCCGCGACACGTTCCTGCGCACTTTCCACCAGAAAATACCACCGTCTTCACCTCTTCCACTTGCCCACCTTCTCCCCTCAATTTTTGCTCCAGATAAGCACCACCACACGGAGAAACTCTCTTTTTCCACTTTCTTCACTCACACTTTATCGCCACAGCACTCAATCACCAGCAAAGTTAAGTGGCTAACAACACAATTTCCCGAAAATTGACCACCGCACATGCAATCTTCATCAATTCACTGCGCCTCCGCCGCCGAAGTCATCACATACAATCATTATCTGCAGTCGCAACTGATTCTACGGAGTACCTGGAAAAGGACAGAAAGGCAGCCATTAAAGCCGAGGCTTATGCAAAGGCACTAATCTCAGTGTCCAATTTGGCCGAAAATCAAGAGTCTTTTTCAATTTCTGAAGTGGCAAATTACAGATGGACAGATTGCGGAATTGTCTTTTATTGCCTCTCTCTCCCTCTCTCTCGCCTCGTCAATTTGTCCAAAAATATCACCATTTTTCCCTCTAATGACGCACTCGACGATGAAGGCACGCTTCACTACATACTATTTTAATTACCACATTGTCCAGCTGCACATAAATATGAACTTAAGTCCCGGAAATCCAACTAACCGCGCAGCTTTCCTTCCCACCGTTCATATTTTCAGTTGGCATTTGAAAGGGAAGTTTCTGTCCGCCGGAGACAGACAAGGAGGAATTCAGACGTAAAAGATTCAGAGCGACACAATTCTCTCTTATCAAACCATTCTAGTTAATGTTCAACTCTAGTCAATAACGCGATATCACTTATGAATGCATAAATTGAGAAAATTACACCTTCTCAGGTCAGTCTGGTGATCTGCTGGACAAGTGTTAGTTAATTGCCCACTAAAGGCACCTCTTGTAGTCCGCAATCAATTAATATTCAGCTATTCGATTCGTACTTGAACGACTTGTGGGTGAAATCGCAAAAGAGGTGGCATAAAGTATGCGCGCTGCGCCTCAAGCTAAGAGCCGGAGAAACTCTGCACGGAAAAGTTTAGAATCGATAAACCCACCCATAAGCAGACAAATGGATACAATCAGGTGGAAAAATGTGGTTTTTTCCTCAATTTCCATACACACCGAATTGCTTTTTATGCCTCTGCCAATGTAAATGTTGTTTTCAATCCACCTAACTTGTGTCTATGTAAAATTACAAGATGCTTTTATGTAATAAATGTTTACACTAGAGCGATTCTTTGCACAAAAATCCCAACTAATTAGTTGTGTTTTGTATTATGAAAGTCCGCAGATTGTTGGGTGGTTTTTTCCTCCTCCTCCTTCTTCGGTTTTGTCCCAAAAGGCAAAAGCCCCTGAGCAAATTCAGTTCTTTTTTTCGACTCTATTTGTCCACCATTTGTGTTAATTTCAAATTATGCCAAATTGAGCCGAATCAAACGGCTTTTATACATCATCGAGAGACGAGAGAGAGAGACAGAAGAGAAGAAAAAAAAACAGAGTGTGATCAGAGGCAAAAACAGTGTCATGACAATTATTCAATGATCACTGGGTCTCCATGTCTTGGAGGTATTTAAAAACCAATAATTTCAACATGATCTGGATGTGCGTGAAAAGGAAAAACTTGAATGCCATGAACAGAAACACCATTCTTGTGTTGTACAGTGATTCCCAATCGTCTCACAAACTGCCTTTTCTACTTTTTACCACGCCAATTAAAATAGCTCAAATAAGACGGAAAATATTTCAAATATGAAATATTTCTACTCTTCCATCATTTGTGCATCTTCTTACTCAATTCTTGTGCAAATCTCCTCACTTATTCCACTTTATTCCTTTTCCTACAATCGCAAAAATTGCAATACAACATGCTGAGCGTCATCAACATCGCCCAGTGACAGTTTCTAATTAAACATTTGAACAACAAAATCCGCACACCCACAAGGTAAATAACCGCTACAAACATTAGGTTGGATATAGAATCGTGGTGAAGAGGCACGCGAAAAAGTGTGTGGCAGGAAATTGAAGGTCGAATAGTTGGAAAGAAAAAGAATTCACCGTTGCCACACTAAAACCATCACGAAGTGCCGACTTTCAGGTGAGAAAAGGCGCGAGTGAGAAGGTGACAAACTAACCCAGTAAATCGTCGAATCTCTTCATTGGAACATGAGCGTTGAATTGGAATTTCTCAATCATTTTCACCCAGAGTTATTTTCACCTCAATTCACTCACTCGATCGCTATTGTTTTTATATACCTGGCCATTTAATTGGGGATGTAACTTTGCGCGTGAAATTCGGACATTGCATTTGCTGGTATTTCTCTCTCTGCTCCCCGTTTACCTTTTTCCCAAGGGGGAGATAATACCGTCAGGAGTTGTGTACAGATCAGCAGGGATACTTAAGAAGTGGAAATGATCAAAAACCTACAATATTCCCTTTTTTCATGCTTCTTTTACTAACTAATCATCCCGATTCTTTTGATTTCTCGTGGTTTCTACGTTGAAACAATCGTAATAATCTTTTTTCTAGGTTATGTAATGAATCAAGAACAGATTTAGGAAATATCTCGAATTCTAGCACAACAATTCTTGTGCTCAAATCGAAGAGATCACATTGGAAGAATTTGCATCCATTAAATATTGCTTTTCTGAACCTTTGATACCAAGAAAACTCTGCGAATTGTGTTGGAATCGAACATAACCTTAAAAATAATAATTCAGACACGGAAAATGTTTCTTTAGAACACTTTCTGAACAATTTCGACTATAAATCAGCAGTTTTGAGTTCATTAGCAAGACACAAGATATGATTTCGTGAGTCCTTAAAGATCTTCCAGTGATATTTTGAGGTTATAATCGAAAAAAAGACGCTCTAAAAAGCGATTTTAATTGGATTCTTGCAGAAATATCGGATAGAAACTTTAGAGATTAATTATGATTTGGGAAAGTGTGAAAACAGACTACAAATTTCACGTTCTAGAAGTGTTCGGAAGTGATGTACAGATTTAAGGCATTTTATCTCTCCCTTGCCTTAGTCATATCAGAAAGATTGGGTGCACGATGTTCGATGGAAGAAATAACTTGAGCTATATTATGCGTGATATTGCAAAATGTACAACTTCGAAGAAGTTATATATAACTTGTATTTCTCCGGCAAGAAATATTTGTTGCCTATGTGGAAATTGTTAAACTGTGGCAATTCACATGGATTGCCCATTAAGAAATTAAAATGGAATTTTTATTTATTTATGTGCGCGTCCAATTGCTAATTAATATATGTGTTGCTCTGTTTTTTCGAAAGCACCACCAACTGTCCCATCGGCCGAAGGAGTGTTGGCAAATTATTTAAGAGGATGATTCAAGTGGAGAGAGTCTTTTTTTTCTTGCCGATCTATACCAAATTTATTCGCCGCATAAGCACTTTTTTTCACTCTTTAGCTCTCACTTGACGTCTTAACAAATTTTTAGTGGGTGGCCTAGTGAAATTTCTCTTCATGCGCGAAGGACTGGCAAAAAATGTGTGCCAAAATGGGCAGAGAGTCTCTTGAATGTTAATTGACTAAGCCGAGGATCTTCCAATCCAGGTCCTCGAGAAGCAAAAAGCTGATGAAATTTCACTCACTTCAGCAAGAGGATTAATCACGTTTCACCACTTTTTTTCGCGCTTCCACACAAGAAAAACCATCAATCAGGGCGCAAATTGATTCAATTGACACCATTCAGTCTTGCAGGTGTGATTTTGGAAATCTCTTCGTCAGCAACACACTTTAACCAGAAGACTTTTCCACACTCTAACGCTAATGACAAAGCACAATCACTGAACAGCGAATTTCCCTGGGTGAATTTCCCACACGTGAAAACGGCCCGAGAGGAGCTCCAGAGTGTGCGCGCACAGTGAGTAGCCAGCGAAAATTGAGAGTCCGAACGTTCGAAATTGAAAATACACCCGATTTCACATAATATTTACTGAGCTGTGTAATTTTTTCACATACCTGCCTTGCCAAGTGCCGCATTTCGTGGTGGAATTCACTCTGCACGATGACTCCAATGAGTGGGGCGCTCTCGACTATGACAAGCCTGCCTCTCATCCGCGATCATTCCGCTGGAAATCTCCGTCCACGACGCATCGGCGGCGCACACGAGCGCCCTTTCACTTCTGCGCCGCGCATCCGCACGAGTCAAGGGCGCATCCTGACAAAAATGCCGCGAAAGTTCAAATTAACCTCCTCGCAAAGCGGTCCAAATGACACACATTTCCCATGAAATCGCGCGCGACGCGACTCATCGCGAGATTCCCCAGAAGCCGCAGGCCTTGACCCACTTCGGCACACTCACCAGTTTATTGGAGCAACGGCATCGCGGAATCGCAGGCTCATCACGATTTCTGCGGTCATTCCGCGGCTCCGCCATTCAATTTCACTTTCGTTCGCGCGTCGCCAGCAGAATTAATTGACTCTCTGCCGTTTCTGCACACTTTTTTGTGCATCTCTGTTGCGAAACATGGCGAAATTGTGTCTTTTCTCCGCCACTTTCCACCTGCCAACCATTGCTGCATTTCTTTTTCGGTGTACATTTTCCTCTTCTTCACCGAAGATCGTCAATTGTTTGAGAAGTAACTCTTCAAATGTAGTCTTCAACGAACGCGCGTTTTAAGAGATCTGTTTGCGCCATCTGGTGACTGGGTGATCCTGTAAAGGTTTTAGCTGTCTTTCTGGTTTCTTATCAGAAAGATTCTTTTCTTATTCTTGTAGGATTTCCAAGAATTGAAATGAACGCAAAGGTTACTAAATTCATGTCTTCACTTTCTCATCCTCAGATAGTTTATAAATAATTTTATCAATTTTATCACTTATTGTGATCTTGTAAGAATTTGTCGCCGCGTAGAAAATAAATATTTTTCTACACCATTTCTTGCTATAAAATTTGAATTTGAGGAAGGAGGAGCTTCAGCAACTTGTCCCGGGCGGCGCTGCAGTTCCAACGGCGATTTGAGTCGGCTGGCTTCGTCTCGAGTGTTTTTAGTCAATTTTCACCGCAAATCGGGAAAATTTTAAGTTATTTTAGTGAAATTATCATCGTGCGGCGTCCCAGGAGTGACCGTGGTGTGTGAGCGCCGAAGAAAATCGGGAAATGATGAGCAAATTGTGCATAAACATGAGCGTGAAGACGGTCGAGAGTGTCCGTGGTGGGGGTAGATGTGACATTGATGGGGAAGACTGTCAACGGGCGCAGTTTGTGGAGCTCCAAGACGAAAATATGCCCCCGAAGGTGTCTTCCACAGTGACGGCAGAGCTGGAGAAGCGCCTGGACTCGCTGCCCATCGAGGGGCACATGAAAGCGCGCGTGCGAGCCTACCTGAACAGCAACTCGGCGTCCGCACGAGTGAAGGCCATCCGGGTGATCAATTCGGGCCGGATGGACGTGATCACGGCCTACGATGTGCCCCACGGCTCGCAGGAGCTGGTGACGGAGGAGGAGCGCCGCCAGGCCGAGCGCCCGCCGCCAAAGTTCCGCGACGTGATGGCCAACGTGGTGGTTTACGTGGAGGTGCGCAGCGGCCGGGACGACAGGACGAACAGCATAAAGACGGTGATCCGGGACATGGGCGTGAAGGTGAACGACACGTTTCTCAAGAACACCACGCACGTGATCTTCCGGGAGGGACGCCTGTCGACGTACAACAAGGCGAAGAAGTCCAACATCCCCATTGTGTCCATTTTGTGGATTGAGGCGTGCAAGAAGAGCCTCAAAATTGCCGATCCCGAACGCTTCCGGCCACATGACTTGGAGTGCTATGAGAATCCAGAATTGTACAAAATCAAGGTGACTTTTATTGGCACGACAAACTGAGCAAGTCGCTGAAAAAGTGTGATTTTTTTCTGTTGCAGAGACACAAATTCATGAATATCGACTGCGAACGGGAGCGCAAAGTGTCCTCCAAGTCTCTGCTGGAGAATCCAGCGTCCCCAGCACTGGCCAGAGTGAAGCAACTGTCCAAGACCAGCATTGGCACTCCCTGTGATACGCCAGAGACGAAATTTATCAAGAAGTAAGGCAGTAATCAGTTGACTTTTGTTCACAAACACCAAAAGATGCCACGTTCAAAAACCTCTACAAAGATCAGCTTAAGGCCGATTTCTCACCCTCCTTTTCCCTCGTTTTTCAGCATTCTAGTCGCTCCCGGGAGAGGCGAAAAGACTGACACAGCAACTAAAAAGACTTTAAATTTCGATGACACGTCAGTAAATTGCGCGACTCCGAAGAAAGACACTTTCACGAGCACTTTCACACCGCGGCGATCGGCCAGGAGAGCGTCTTGCACGAGTGCCCAAGTGGACACTCCCACGTCCTTCAAGCCCCTGAGAAAGTCCACGAGCATGGAGCTGTCGCTCCTGGACAGTCACTCGTCGGCCAAGATGGACTTGAAGCTGGACAACATCTCGGAGAGTGACGAGATGGAATTGACTGAAATTGCACCGAAGACGCGAATGACGACGCTCGCCGTCGAGTCCATGATTGAGAGCCCAAAGATCACGAGTGAGGAGACAACGGTGGCCAGCAATCGCTGGACAACTGTCAATGGGGAATCGGAGATGGAAGTGATTAAGGATGATGTAATTACGCCTGAAAAGCTCATTTTCTGCTCTGGAGCTGCGCCAGGAAGTTCTCGGCGCTCAACAATCTTTCAGCACAGGATTCAGATGATCAGTCAGAGCGCCAAGGTGGAGAAGAAGTCCTCGCCCAAGAAGACAAATACTGTGAAGGAGTACGAAGATGTGCTGAAGAAGTCTCCGCGAGAGGCGGACAAGGCGAAGCCTCGCCGAAGAACTCTGTGTCCGATTCCCAAAGTCGTGGACTATCCGGAGGCGAAGGTGGAATCACAGCCGAAGCGCAGGAAGCTGTTCCACCAATCTGCTGTGACTGAGGTGATGAAGACGCCAAAGCAGCCTGTCGAGATGTCGAATGTGGCTAAAAATACACCCAAAACGCGGCCCAAGACAGCCCCAAGGAAGAGTGTGGGCAGCAAGAGGGGCAGCATTCTTGAGTTCGAGACTGTGGCGAAGGATCTGCCGAGTGTGCAGAAGTCGCAGCCGAGTCTCGTGGTCACGAACATCAGTGGGAAGGACAGGGTGATCATTGAAGAGGTGAATTGACTGTAGTTTTTTAGTAGAGAGAAACTTTCCAATAAATGACTTTATCATGGGAAATCCATCTTGTCTTCAGGCCGTGGAGAAGCTTGGCGGCTTCCGGATGGCCAGCAGCGTTACTCGGGACACTACTCATCTGGTCACGGAGAATCCCAGTCGCACGCTCAACACGTTGCGTGCTCTCATCCGTGGTGTGTGGATTCTCAGTGTGGACTGGATCAGGGCGTCTGTGGCGGAAGACAAGTGGCTTCCGGAGGAGTCTTTTGAGCTTCGCCACTTCGCGCCTGCCGTGACGGTGAGAAATCCCTCAAACACCCCCTCAAGAACTCCCCGTTTGATGAACGAAATCCTCTCCAGGTGAATCGCTTGGAGCGCCAACTGCTCGGCAGAAGCTTCAAGATGAATCTGCTGAAGAGTGGCTCCATTTATGTCTCCCGGCGCTGCTCCGCCGCGCAAGACATCCGTGAGCTGATCATCCTCTGCGGAGGAAGGCTGGTCAGCAAATCGCTGGCCCAGCACGTCCTGTCGCCTGTGGACACTCAGCGACCGGCTGACGCCACTTTGCTGCATCCCAACTGGATCGTGGACAGCATCCTGGCGAGAGAATTGCTCCCGGAGAGTCAATATTCAGTGTAAACACTCGTCAGCGCCTCCAAATTTTTATTTTATTCGTAAAACACCACTTTTACAAAAGACATGGTGAAGAGTTTTTTATGCCTTTGCGCGCGCAGTCCAAATTACTCAAGATTTACTCCTTACAAATTCTCTTTTTTAAATATTTCACAAGATACAAATTTTTTATTCTCTGGATAAATTAATTTTTTTTTCATCAACATATTCGCGAAAAAATGAAATTTCAAGCTCTGAAAAATTAACCCCGGGAGGATGGGAAACCAAGAAGTTAGTTGAAATCCAAGGAAGTGTGAAATAAAGTTATATAAAATATATATATGCTGTTTGTTTTCTTTTTTTTATCTTCATTTATCCTCTTCTTTTTCTCCCCCTCAAAAACTGTTCTCCGTTTCTATTTTAGATCAAAAAGTAAGAAAGGAATGAAAGTAGCCCGTCCGCTTTTCGCCGGAACTCTTTGCGATGGAAAGTATGGTGCTTGAGTCGGAGCCACCATGGAGACACGGCATCGTCGTAGCGCCCCACGCGCACCACCCGCCTGCGCGGGCGGACGGCGAGGGCTCCCGGTTGTGTGGCTATCGTGCAATCTGTCGGCTGGTGGTGTTGAGCGTGGTGGCTGCTGGCTAGCTACTTCTTGGCCTTGGCGGCCTTCTCGGCGGCCTTGGTCACCTTGCCGCCGGCGGCGTCCTTGAAGTTGACCGCCTTGATCACACCCACGGCCACAGTCTGCCTCATGTCACGCACGGCGAAGCGTCCCAGCGGCGGGAACTCCTGGAAAGACTCCACGCACAGCGGCTTGGATGGGACGAGGTTCACGATGGCGGCGTCGCCGCTCTTGATCGCCTTGGGGTTCTCCTCGGTGGTCTTGCCGGAACGGCGGTCCACCTTCTCCTTGATCTCAGCGAACTTGCACGCAATGTGAGCCGTGTGGCAATCCAGCACGGGCGTGTAGCCGTTGGCGATCTGGCCGGGATGGTTCAGCACGATCACCTGGGCCGTGAAGTCGGCGGCGCCCTTGGGTGGGTTGTTCTTCGAGTCGCCGGCCACGTAGCCGCGGCGCAGCTCCTTCACCGACACGTTCTTCACGTTGAAGCCCACATTGTCTCCGGGCACGGCCTCCTGCAGCGCCTCGTGGTGCATCTCCACGGACTTCACCTCAGTGGTGAGATTGGCCGGGGCGAAGGTGACAACGGTGCCGGGCTTCAGCACGCCAGTCTCCACACGGCCCACGGGCACAGTTCCGATACCGCCAATCTTGTACACGTCCTGCAGAGGCAGACGCAGGGGCTTGTCAGTGGGCCGAGCGGGCGGCAGGATGGCGTCCAGGGCGTCGATGAGGGTCTTGCCGTCAGCCTTGCCCTCCTTGCGCTCGATGGCCCATCCCTTGAACCACGGCATGTTGGTGGAAGCCTCCAGCATGTTGTCTCCGTGCCATCCGGAGATGGGCACGAAAGCCACGGCGGCGGGATTGTAGCCGATCTTCTTGATGTACGACGACACCTCCTTCTTGATCTCCTCGAAGCGGTTCTCACTGAATGGCGGCTCGGTCGAGTCCATCTTGTTCACGCCCACAATCAATTGCTTCACGCCCAGCGTGAAGGCGAGCAGAGCGTGCTCACGCGTCTGGCCGTTCTTCGAGATGCCAGCCTCAAACTCACCAGTACCGGCGGCGACAATCAGCACGGCACAGTCAGCCTGGGACGTACCAGTGATCATGTTCTTGATGAAATCACGATGTCCAGGAGCATCGATGATCGTCACGTAGTACTTGGCCGTCTCGAACTTCCACAGGGCAATATCGATGGTGATACCACGCTCACGCTCGGCCTTCAGCTTGTCCAGCACCCAGGCGTACTTGAACGATCCCTTGCCCATCTCCTGGGCCTCCTTCTCGAACTTCTCGATCGTACGCTTGTCGATACCGCCGCATTTGTAGATCAGATGGCCAGTGGTCGTGGACTTGCCAGAGTCGACGTGACCAATCACGACGATGTTAATATGGATCTTCTCTTTTCCCATTGTTCAAGACTTGTCTGCAAAACACACAAAAAACAGGTAAACTCTCGTTAGACGCCAAAAGCCTGACAAATTTCCCATCATCGAATGATAAAATGGTATTCAGCTTCGTAAATTTCCACAAGAGTTTTCTTCAGTAGCAGAACTGACGAAAAAAGACTCATCATTTTGTGAGGTTATGTGAGGCCACTGCGGATTCGCGTGTTGTGTACGTCAGGCCACCTCATCAGCGGCCAATTTCCGGACTCGAGAAATTTCCATCGCGACACTCCCCCTATTTCCGTCCCGTAAACCCGCAATTTCCCCCCCAAAAGCCGCAGTAAATCCCCGCAATTCCCACCCTGGCGCCCCCACAGAGGCCAGCGGAGCCCGCCCAGGCGCAAGAGCCCCCAGAAATGGCAATGCGGTGTCCAAGATGGCGACGCGTTCACACCAGAGCCCCAGATTGAACAAAGGGGAATGCCAGAATGCACTCAAAATCGACTCATGGCCGCCATATTGACTCGCCGGCACCGGATTTTTCCAGCTTTTCTCAGCCTCCCCGCGACTTTTCACACCACTCACCACTCACATTCCATCCCGCCGATCCACCCCCGCGCGATAACACTCCAGACATCGCTCAATATTGTGAAATTCAGCTGGAAATCCGCACGAAAGCCGCCATTCACCGGGTCACCACGTGTCACATTCGCGCAAAGGTGACACTTTTCCACCCATTTCGCCCCCATTTTTCCGCACTCCGCCACCCGTGAAGCGCCCCAGAGCCAAGACAACAAGTCTGGCAAGGCGCAGAATTCATTTTCAGAGGAAAATCCCCAGCAGAACACCGCCAAAGTCACCTTAAACTATTTGCCACGTGCCACAACCATTGCCCACTCACTCCGGCCCACTTTTCACACCGCTTTTCCCCGCGAAAATTCCCAAATTTCCGCCGCCCCACAATCAGAAGCCACAGTGGCCCCCATAACTAACAGTTTAGCACACATTTTAGGGGAGAATTGATCAAGATGCACTTACAATTCAGCTCAGTCGCGAGAGAACAAACTACCAGTGTTGTCCGGTGGATAGACTCGAGGAAAGTGAACGAGAAATCGGCTCCGACGCAGCAGCAACGTTGGCCAAAGTTGGCTCGGTGATTTTCTACGCGCCGATTTCTTCGCTGTTATACAGTATTTTACGACACTTTCCTTTGCAGGTCTACAAATGTAACAGATGGAATTTCCCACAGTCTTGCCTTAATCTTTAATCTCACCTTGGCGCACGCCGTTAAGGCAATCAGGTGAAATAATAATTCGCAATGTGCGGAAAAAATTTCTTTTATACCTCAAAAGAGTGTTTCTATCTTATCTTCTCAAAAAATCAATTTAATGTGTTTGCACATATTGCGAAACACAGATATTTGGAAGCCAAACAAAACAATCTAATCTAATTATTATATTACATTTCTCTCTGAATCACATTTTTCTACTCCGCCGAAGTTTCACAATTCCACGAAACTGTGCTACAACTCTTCGGACAGCTTCGGCAGCCGAGCCGATCGCATGGCGATTTGCTCAAATTTGGGCAATTTGCGCTCACTTTCCCGCCAAACGGTCACGACCACGCGCGAAACTCACACTCGTTATAAAGCCATAAAACCCATAAAATTCTTATCAAATTCCCAGCAATTCTTTTTTCCACCTCTCGTGCACACGAAAGCAATCAAAATACCTTGCACGAACACACAAGTGAAAATTAATTTCACAGCTGATAATAGCGGCACTGTGTGTGTCATCAACAATTTCATGACTCTTTTCACTCTCAAATCCAATGAAACGCTCCAAATTACAAGCATGATAAAATGCTCCAGTTGCCCCATCAGCTCCGCCAGACCACGTCGAATAGCGCCGCGGAAATTGTTCCATTATTTGTGCACGACAAACGAGTGCCAGAAGATGGAAAACGAAAGGATTTCGCGTTCAGTGATTCTGTACATATTTTGCCAAATAAGTTAAAACCGCGCTCAAGAATATCTATAAATCTCACTACGTGTCATCCCCTCTCCAGCTTTCTGTGGACGTTTGTCTGGGAATTAGTGAAAAAAAATAGAAAAGAATTATCTGTATTTACATTTTCCACACAATTGCGTAACGACTTTCCGTTTCGTGTGAGTTTCTGCTCATTTTTGCCATTTTTTTTACACTTCAACTCGTCCGTTCCACTAACTAAAAGTGCCAATTAAAACACTCTAAATTTTGCCGAAAACAATGCTCTTCGCGGTCTTCGCGATAAATTGATAGCTTTCGGCCAAGGTCGCTGTGAAAAGTTGGGAAGTTTAAGGTTTTCCCGTGGCTTATCAGCCAAGAAAGAAGACACACACGTTTTCCGTCTGGCTTCGCGTCAGCTATGCTTCCGAAATTAGGTTTTCGTGTCAAATTCATGCAGTAACATTTTGATAAGAGAGGAGTTTCATGGTGAATTGAGACACAATACCGGCCGGAAGTCAGCTTCCCAGCGATTTTCCAGTGAAAAATTTCGTCAGCACACAATCATGAGATCAGTTGAGAACTGATCTTCGGCTGGGAGACACTAAAAATCTATCGCAGCAAATGACGACTTTTCATGGCAACTCGTGAAATCTGGAAATCTCTCACGCGTGAAAAACAGTGTCTGGGAGGTCTGGGAAGATTTATTGTCAGTCGCCAGTTCAAGGTGAGCAGATTTTGGACAGAATCTCTCAACAAATCTTCCATAATGCTGACTTGCTGCCTAAGTTGATCATCAGAACGCGCGGGTATAAAAGAGTGTCGTCTAAGCTGACAAGATGCATTATCTGTGGAAGCGTTTCCTCGTTCTGGCGGTCGTGATGTTCCTGCTCCTGTTCTTCATCATCTACGGCATCCTGGGCACCAGCGCCAATCTCACCAGTCCCCAGGTTGTCTCCGATAAGGAAGTCCTCCTCGTTCACGCCGTGAGTATTTAGACAAATTCCTCTTCTTTGCCTCTTTTCCCAAAGTGCGGACGATGGCTTATTTATGCTAATCCCACGCCCTCATCTTCCCAGTGAATCTCTCACCAGGCAAAATGATAAATGTACACACATCATCATTACTGCGACCAGTTTTTTTCTCTCTTCGTCCACCACAAAAATATGCTGTGATTAAAAACTTGATTTTCATGGAAATTGGCGCGCGCGTTCAATGCGATATGGAAAGATTGTCAGCATGTGAATAAAAAGCGCGTATAGAAATCTTCCTGAAAACCAGAGATTTTGTCCTTAAAGGAACTCAAAATCTGCAAAATATTTCTCACACTAAAATCCCTTAAATCACAAAAAAAATCTAAACTTCAACTCTGGATTAATATTTGGTTCAATATCATAATAATTTCTACACCGTCGTGAAAACCAGAGTAAATCTCTGCCAGTGTCTTTTATCATTGGCGTAAGAAGAGCTCATTTCGCGCTTCTTTGCGTTATAAAAGCCTCCAGGACGCAATCTTTCTCTTCACTCCATCACAGATCGAGATGCGTACGTTTGCTCTTCTCACAGTCCTCTTGGCCGTTTTCCTGGCCAGCGAGGCCAAGTTCACACCGCCGCGCGTTTTCGGTTCGCGCCGTTTTGGCGTGCGTTTCAAAAGTAAAGCCTTTGCCGGCCGTGAAGATCCCAACAAGGAAGTGGTTCAAGTGCACCTGGTCAGGCTGTTCAAGTGCCGCGTCCAATTGTGATCCATCTAACGACGGTTCTGTTGTACTTTCGCAGCTCTTCCGGCACGGTCATCGAACTCCAGCAGACACTTATCCCAATGATCCGTACTTCAATGAGACCTTCTATCCCTACGGATGGGGCCATCTGACGAATCCCGGCAAGAAGAACCTCTTCGAGATGGGAGAATACCTCCGGCGGCGATATGACAGTTTCCTGGGCAAGATTTATCAGCCTGATTACATTCATGCCCAAACGACTGGCGTCACGAGAACGAGAATGTCCATGCTGACGGTCTTGGCGGGTCTCTGGCCACCGAAGGACACTGCCATGGAGTGGAACAGGAAACTAAATTGGCAGCCAATCCCCATAGAGTCAGAACCTCTGGACAAAGACACTGTGAGTAGTTTCAGAGATTCAGAAAACAACACTTTCCTCAATATGAATCACCTTTTCAGCTCCTCTTGGTGAGAACTCCCTGTCCAAGATATTCCGAGGCAGTGGAAGAGGTGCTCAAGACACCAGAAGTTGAGGCAGCCGTCGCACCCTACACAGAAATGATGAAGGAACTGACAGAGATCACAGGATTGGACATCAAGACGCCAGATGATGTCCAGTCACTCTTCAGCACGCTCAAAGCTGAGGATGAATTCGGCCTGAAGCTCCCCGAGTGGACCAAGAGATTCTATCCTGATCGTCTTCTGCCGCTCACGGAGCTCAGTTACATCTGGAACGTCCACACGCCGGAGATGAAGCGCCTCAAGGCGGGTCCTTTCCTGCAGAAGCTCACGAAGGAGTGGAAGGCGGCCGAGAGCGGAACGCTGGAGCCCAAGAATCGCAAAATGTACTTATACACCGGCCACGATTCCTCCGTCGTCAACGTCCTCAACGCCCTCGGCGTCTGGGATGTCCAGCTGCCGGATTACGCCATCATGGGCATGTTCGAGCTGGTGAAAGACATTCCCACTGGCGATTTCGGCGTGCAACTCTACTTGAGGAACTCAACAGCCGAACCAGTGCCTCTAACTCTTCCCGGTTGTGAATTCTTCTGTCCACTGCAGAAGGCGCTGGAACTCATCTCGCCAGTCTTGCCCGTCAATCGTGATGAGGAGTGTAAATCCAAGGATCCTAACTTTGTCACTCCTCCACCTTCTGGTCCCTAATTCCCTCCATGTATTACCGATTTTACCAATAAAGTATACACAGAGTGATGGAAATGCGAAGTCTAAGAATCTCTCAATTCACACTTTGCACAGCTGAGGCGGTCAAGTTGCCATCAATTTTGGCCGTTCAAGGTGAGCAAGGTGTCTCAACATTTTCCTTCGGTGGCCAAAAAATATCGCACACACTCTCCAAAAAATCGCTGAGGTCAAGTCACTCCGTGCTGATCTACATAAATCCGAGCGACAGTGTTGTGGCAACATCGCTAACAAGAGCATTGCAATCTCGTGTTGTCGGAAACTGAGCTGCAGCTCCTCACCAAGCAATGCTCGACGCGACCCTGACCCTGGACACGCTAAACTGGTTGCTGCGGATTCTCCGCTCCGGCTGGACTCTCGTCGTCTGTCTCACGCTCATCACTGTGATTGATCTCACAAGGACGCGCCTCCATGCCGGACACCCAATCACACTGCACCGCGAAGACGATGCCAAAGAACTGCGACTCGTCCATCTGGTGAGTTGCATTCCGGACTATTTTTGCCACCGATTATCACTCCAAAATGTCCAATGATCTTGAACTCTCCTCGCACTCGCGCGCGCTCTAATCCCAAACGCACGCTGCTCAGTCATTCAGAAACTCAGAGAGGAAGCAAGCAAGTGGCTTAGTTTTTAGTCTCAACACGTGTGGCTGAGTAATACATAAATCATAAAACGCCGCTCTAGCGTGAAAGTCGAATGGATTTTCGTACATAAACTCTGGAGAATCTTATCACTTAACTCCATATTTCCTTCTCACTGTCTTGTTTTGATTAATACGAAAAAATGTTCTCATCAAGTTTTGGTGAATATGTATATAATAAGTAGAAAATATGTCCATTTTCATTCAATTAAAAACATTAAAAATGAAATAATCAGGAATACGATGACAAAAATATACAAGAAACCGACATAACTTTAATTCTATTGCTTCCTATTTAACTTCTTAGCACAAAAAAAATGAATGAAAGGACAAACTGAACTTCATTAAATTTCCCCCAATGTAACTTTGGCAGGTAATTAATTTAGAGTTTCATGCGATAAATCCAATTAAAACTTCCCCTAAATTATGTTTCCGCATGCACAAATTGCCTGACTCAATTATAAACACATTTTTAAGCTCTTCCGGCACGGACATCGAACGCCTGCCGACACGTATCCCAATGATCCCTACCTCAACGCTTCCTTCGATCCCTACGGATGGGGCCACCTGACAAATGTGAGACAGATTTTGTTGTGTTTCCACAGTATAAAAAGTGTACATTTTGCCAGATTTTCAGTTCGGAAAAACGTACATGTTCGAGACTGGAGAGTTTTTGAGGCAAAGATATGGCAAATTTCTTGGGAAAACTTACAATCCCGATATTATTCACGCCCAATCGACAGGAGTGATCAGAACTAAGATGTCAATGGCGCTGGTTTTGGCCGGTCTCTGGCCACCGAAGGACACTGCAATGGAGTGGAACAGGAAGCTAAATTGGCAGCCAATCCCCATAGAATATGAACCATTGGATGAGGATTCCGTGCGTATTCCGTAAGATTACAAGCAAAAACACCAATAATTGTAACTTTCTTCCAGCTTCTCTTGGTCAGAACTCCCTGTCCAAGATACCATGAAGCCTTAGCAGAGACTCTCACTGAATCTCCAATAAGTGTAGAGATAGAAAAGTACAGGAATATGATGAAGGAACTGACAGAGATCACAGGATTGGACATCAAGACGCCAGACGATGTCCAGTCGCTCTTCAGCACGCTCAAAGCTGAGGATGAATTCGGCCTGAAGCTCCCCGAGTGGACCAAGAGATTCTATCCTGATCGTCTTCTGCCGCTCACGGAGCTCAGCTACATCTGGAACGTCCACACGCAGGAGATGAAGCGCCTCAAGGCGGGTCCTTTCCTGCAGAAGCTCACGAAGGAGTGGAAGGCGGCCGAGAGCGGCACTCTGGAGCCCAAGAATCGCAAAATGTACTTATACACCGGCCACGATTCCTCCGTCGTCAACGTCCTCAACGCCCTCGGCGTCTGGGATGTCCAGCTGCCGGATTACGCCATCATGGGCATGTTTGAATTGCTACAAGAGCGATCAACTGGTCACTTCGGCGTGCAGATTTACTTAAGAAACTCCACAGGCGAACCAATTCCACTAAATCTTCCCGGCTGTGATTTCTTCTGCCCATTGGCTAAAGTCCTTCACCTCATCTCGCCTCTCCTGCCAGTCAATCGTGATGAGGAGTGTAAGCCAAGGAATCCCTACTTCGTCACACCTCGACCAACAGGACCGTGACTTAAAGATTACTCACCAAGTTTACTTTTGTATAATACATAATTTCTATTTCCAGTCAGGATTTTCATCAAATTTCTTCGCCTTCTTCGACGAAGTCTCATCCACCTCTCCTCTTGCCATTTCAGAGCTCTTCCTCTTGTTGCCAGCACTCATTTCTTGCACCTGTTTAAGTGATAAACAGCTCAGTACAAAGGACTTCCACAATTTCATTATCGCTACTCACTTGTGAGGCTTCATAGTCAGCGTGCGTCATCACAGTCACGTTCGGGGTGCGTCCGATCTTCTTCATCAAGCACGTGGCGTACTCTCGCTTCAGCAGAGCCACAAAAGCGCTCTCCTTGTTCAGCCACTTAATCTGAACATCGCCGAAGTTCCTGAAGTGTCTCACAATATCGGTGTTCTTCCATGTGGACGGGAAGGTGATGTGAAACACATGACTCCTGGATGGCTTCTCGTCGGGTCCTGTCAGGTTCATGTGCGTGATATTCTCCAAACCCATCAGGAAGATCTTGTTTTTGAAGCTCTTCAGCTTCTTGCAGTTGGCATTCAAGTCTTTTGGGTGGATTTTGAGATAAATCGCAAGACTTATGAAGCAGATTCCCGTGATGAAGGAATCATATCCCGCCTCGTGCTCCTTAACACTCTCAATTGAATACTTTTGCTCGCCCAGAGACTCCACTTCAGGCATCGTGAAAGGCGCTTTTCTGCAGTCTTCCAAAATATGAGGCAAAACGGTGGATTTAATCTCTTTCTTCAGACTCTCGGCAGTGCAGAGAAATTTTGTGTCTAAAATACTACAAAATTATTTTAGGAATCTGACTTTCAGCACTGAAATTATAGTTCTTACTTGGGAAAGAATTCATGCACGAGTTTCTTGTATTCATCGACATTCTCCGGAAGTGGTCCGATGAACTGCTTCATCAGGTACACGAGATCCATGAACATGTTGTGGCACACTATCAGTGTTCTCTGCAAGGTAAAGCCAATGATTAGAAGACTCTTAATATCCTTTGTCTCCTGACACTCACAGATTCTGATAGAGCCTTGAGAATGTGCGTCACTCCGATTTGTAACTCGAGGTTTTTCTTCTCCTGCTCGAATTTCTCTTCGAGAAGCTTCATCTCTTCCTCAGGCGACTTCTTTCTGCTGACCACCAAACCTTTCCTGTTATTCTCCAGCTCTCTCGGACAGGCTGAGATGGCCTCGAAGTAATCCCTCTCAATCATCTCGTAGATCAATCTTCTCTGGAAGCCGTTGTAAGTGTCGAGAAGAAGTTCCTCTTCTTCAGACTTCAGAAACTCGTCGATTTTCTCAGACACCTCCTCGAGAGTCTCTTTCTCCTCTTCCGGCACAATGACATGCGATGTGTTATCACGCTCGGCACTCATCAGCTGTTCTCTCTTCTCTTGCTGTCGCTTCTCCAAATAACTCCTCATCTTTTCCGCCTCTTGAACTGTGCAATAAGACAGTCCTTGCAGGAAGAGTTTGTTAAAATCCAGTCCATTCTTCACCAAGAACTCAATGCAGGACGATTCGCACCGGAAAGTGCTGCCTTTTCCACGTGGATACAGGAAAATGTTGAAGCTCTTGCACTGAAACTTGCTGTCATTCTCGGGATTGAGCCAGAAGGCAGTGATTCCCAGCTGAATCACTATATATCCATCCACAGACTTCTGCATTCTGTTGAAATGGGCACCGATGCTGGAGTACGGATTGCTGAAGGTGTTTTCCCGGAAGAGACCCGTGAATTCCTGATCGATGGCCACAAAACTCGCCCTGTCGATGGCCTCCACGATTTCCGGGAGTTTTTCACTGAAATCTGCCCAAAACACCATGTAAATCCACATTGTGGGGTCAAATGAACTTCTTCACTTACTTGTCTCGAGGATTTCCATGGTCAAATGTGGTTAAAATTGGGAAAAAATGCGGAAAACATGCAACAAGAAATGCCGGGTGACACACGCGAGAAGAGATTTTCCTCCCCTACGCTGTTCGGAGCGCTCGTGCTGCGGTCGGCCAGTGAAGCTGACCCGCCGGAGTGGGGGAACATGTCAAGTTGACATCGGTGGCGAGAAAATTTTCACACGAATCTCACGGGAGCGTGCAGAAATGCAATAATTTCACGCAATTTTCACCCGCAGAAACCGTGAAAAACCAGACAATCAGAGTCACGACAGACTCCTTCTACTGCAAGTGAGTACATTGTGGCGGAAAAGTGGCAGACGAGTGGCCAAAAACAGGGCACAGAGGAGACACACACTCTCTCTCAGCTCCGATTTGACTCTTCTCTCTCCCTCTCACCTGGAGGTTTTCCTTCTAAAAATTTATTTGCATTTTTTTCTCCACCGCGGAATGTATTGTGTGTATCTAATAATATCCCCATCAATATATCTCCCATCTGTCTATTTTCAGCCTCTTACAGGGCAAACAAATGATAATTGCGTGCCAAAGTAGTGCTCAAGTGACCACTTAACTGCTCCATTGGGCCCCCGTTCAATTGATGGTGATCTAACTGTTGCGAGATTTCATCTGATATCGGAGACCCAATCAAGACTCAATCATGAACGACTGCAACGTCGGCTCGGCGAGTTTTCTCCATCTGGGCGACGTCGTGTCGCTGTACGCCGAGGGCAGCGTGTGCGGATTCCTCAGCACCCTCGGGTGAGTCTCACACTCTCTTCTTCTCCCCCTTGTTCTTCGCAAAACGGCCGGAAAATTGCCACAACATTCCTCGCGTGTGTGTTACGTTTCTTTCGCGTGAGGCAGTCTGTTTGTTTTCCTAATGACACACGCAACAGATTGATTGAGGGACGAGATTTGGGGGGATTTTCCGAGAATGGAGAGAAAGAGAGGCGCCTTTCACTTAACTGGGTGGATTGGAGGCCTTAAGCCGTTCGCTGTGTGCTTTTTAAACTGCAAAAAGACACTTTATGAGAGAATTTTGCTCTCTTTTATTTGTTGGGAATTTTTCGTAGAAAACGCTAATTAGGCAGAGAAGTATAATAGCTGTTTTACTATTAGCTTATCGGGGTCCATCAGTGCGCCTCTTATGGACAATACCTCTTCTCTTTGAGCGATTATAGTCTTGCCCTCGCCTTATACAGAGCACCATCACGAGTTCATGTAATTTGCAAAGCAAACGTCGCAATGGCGAATCTCTGTTTGCTCATTGATCGCTGGCTCAACAAAGAGCAGCCAGAGCGATAATAAACACTGAGAGATCACAAAAGGCGCCTGAGAAGAAAAGTGGGGAAAATGTCCAGTCGCCAAAGCAAATCCTTCGCACGTCGTGGAATTGTGTGATATTTGGCTTTGGGATGGATTGGAAGCCGGGCAGGGCGGGGGGAGGCACTTTATCCATCATCACAACTCGCAATCAACATAAATAAACGATTTTTATTTTAGTCTCGTCGACGATCGCACGGTTGTGTGTCCGGAAGCGGGTGATTTGAACTATCCGCCGAAGAAGTTTCGTGATTGTCTGCTGAAAATATGCCCGATGAATCGATATTCTGCCCAGAAGCAATTCTGGAGCACAGCGAAGCAGAGCAGCTCCAACACGGACACGAATCTGCTCAAGCGACTGCATCATGCGGCGGAGATTGAGAAGAAGCAGAATGAGACGGAGAACAAGAAGCTGCTGGGAACGGTGGTGCAATATGGCAGTGTGATTCAGTTGCTGCATCTCAAGTCCAACAAGTACCTCACGGTGAACAAGCGGCTGCCGTCGCTGCTGGAGAAGAACGCCATGCGGGTGTATCTGGATGCGAATGGGAATGAGGGCTCGTGGTTCTACATCATGCCCTTCTACAAGCTGCGCTCCAGTGGGGACAACGTTGTTGTTGGTGACAAGGTGATACTGAATCCGGTGAATGCGGATCAGCAGAATCTCCATGTGGCGGCCAATTATGAGCTTCCGGACAATCCGGGATGCAAGGAGGTGAATGTGCTGAATTCCTCCACATCGTGGAAGATCACATTGTTCATGGAGCACAAGGAGAATCAGGAGGACATCCTCAAGGGGGGCGATGTGGTGAGGCTCTTTCACGCCGAACAGGAGAAGTTCCTCACGATGGATGAGTACAGGAAGCAGCAACATGTGTTTCTGCGCACGACGGGACGCACGAGCGCCACGGCGGCCACGAGTAGCAAGGCTCTGTGGGAAGTGGAGGTGGTGCAGCATGACTCCTGCCGCGGTGGCGCGGGCCATTGGAATTCGCTGTATCGATTTAAGCACCTGGCCACGGGCTGCTATCTGGGCGCCGAGGCGGATCCTGACTATCAAGCGGACGCGGACGGTGACAGCACGAAGATCTGCTACTATCGTCTCGTGTCTGTGCCATTCTCCTCAGACATTGCGTCAGTGTTCGAGTTGGACGCCACAACCATGACCAGGGCGGACAGTCTCGTGCCGCAGTCCAGCTACGTGAGGATGCACCATTTGTGCACCAACACGTGGGTTCACGCCACATCTGTGCCCATTGACATTGATGACGACAAGCCGGTGATGTCCAAAGTGGGCTGTTCGCCCATCAAGGAGGACAAGGAGGCATTTGCGCTCATTCCCGTGTCACCGGTGGAAGTGCGTGATCTGGACTTTGCCAATGATGCGTGCAAAGTGTTGGCATTGATGAATACACGACTGGAAACTGGCAACATTTCGCACAATGAGCGTCGCTCTCTGATATCACTGCTGCAGGACATTGTCTACTTCATAGCGGGATTGGAGAATGAGCAGAACAAGTCTGAAGCCCTCGAGCTGAGGATTAACAATCCGAATCGTGACAGGCAGAAGTTGCTGCGTGAGCAGTACATTCTGAAGCAACTCTTTGAGTTGCTCCATCGTCCCTTTCAGGACATCCCGGGCGCTGAGGGGCCTTTTCTGCGTCTGGACGAGTTGAGTGACCCAAAGAACTCACCTTACAAGTACATCTTTCGTCTGTGCTATCGCATTCTGCGACTGAGTCAGCAGGATTATCGCAAGAATCAAGAGTACATTGCTAAACACTTTGGCCTCATGCAGAAGCAAATTGGCTACGACATCCTGGCTGAGGACACGATCACAGCGTTGCTGCATAACAATCGAAAGCTGCTGGAGAAACACATCACGGCGGCGGAGATTGAGACATTTGTGGGTCTTGTGCGGAAGAACATGAGAAATTGGGAGTCTCGCTTCCTTGACTACCTCTCAGATCTCTGTGTGTCCAACAAGAAGGCCATTGCTGTGACGCAGGAGCTCATCTGCAAGAGTGTGTTGAGTACGAAGAACTCAGACATTCTCATTGACACGCAAATACGTGAGAAATCGATCAAAATTGTGGAGGAAAGCACCGAAAGTGGTGGAGTGACGACTGTGGATGATTCCGGTGAGAGTCTCCAGATTTCTGTGCCACAGATGAGGGAGTGCGTCAGGGGATCCGAAGTGTACTTGCAGTGGCACAATGGATCAAAGAGCATGGCCGATTTGGCTGTGGCACTGAAGCAGCCACGAAGAGATGATGCTGCCATCCTGGATTACTATCGCCATCAGCTGAATCTCTTCTCTAACATGTGCCTCAACAGACAATACTTGGCACTCAACAATCTCTCACCTCACCTGGACATTGACCTCATTCTCAAGTGCATGTCGGACGAAATGGTGCCGTACGAACTGAGAGCCTCCTTCTGTCGACTCATGCTGCATCTGCACGTGGACAGAGATCCTCAGGAGCCCGTGACGCCAGTCAAGTACGCGAGATTGTGGTCAGAGATTCCGTCTAAAATGTCAATTTACGAGTAAGTCTTTTTACACTTTCATCAATCATTGAGTTTTCCTAATCCTTTGACTTTGACTTTCGCAGTTACGATTGCAAGAAGCATCCAGACTGCAATAAAGAGGCCGTTAGGGCGAGATTCAACACCACAATAGCCTTCGTTGAGAACTACTTGTGCAATGTGGCAGCCAAAATGTGGCTCTTTGCTGACCAGGATCAGAACAAATTGACCTTTGAGGTGGTGAAATTGGCGCGAGATCTCATCTACTTTGGCTTCTACAGCTTCAGTGATTTGTTGAGACTGACAAAGACACTTCTGAGCATCTTGGATTGCGTGTCGGAGTCTGATGTTGTCGATGGAGGTCTGCCCACGGGTGAAATTGATTGTAAGTATCAATTTTGAGGATGAATTCCATAGTATTTTAGGTATTTTAGTGTGTTATACTTAAGGTTGTGTCTCTCTTTTGCCTCTCAAGCATCCGAAGAGGAGACAGAGAATGGTATTGAATCTCTATCTCAGCAAAAAGGGGAGGAAATATGTTGTGACTGACATGAATTGTGTTCTATTTTGCAGCCGAGGGTGGCGTCCTTCGCTCCATCGGCGACATGGGAGCTGTGATGACATCCCTGACGCTCGGCCCAATCGGCACAGCCATGGTTTCACCGGCAATTTCAGTGCAACAGCGAAAATCTGTGACTCAACTCATGAAGGAATATCCACTGGTGATGGACACGAAGCTGAAGATAATCGAAATTCTCCAGTTCATTCTGGATGTGAGGCTAGACTATCGCATCAGTTGCCTTCTGTCCATATTTAAGCGTGAATTCGATGAGACAGACTATGTGACGCAAGATGCGGTGACAATGCGCCAGAAGAATATTGATTTGGAGTCCATTGGGAGTCAGGCTGAAGGGATCTTCGGGTGCAATGAGGAGTCAGTCAGTCTGGATCTTGACGGACAAGGTGGAAGGACATTTCTGCGTGTTTTGCTGCATCTAATTATGCACGACTATCCGCCACTCGTCTCGGGAGCTCTTCATCTCCTCTTCAGGCACTTCAGTCAGCGTCAGGAAGTGCTTCAGGCATTTAGACAAGTGCAACTTCTTGTGTCAGACTCTGATGTGGAATCGTACAAGCAGATCAAGTCAGATCTCGATGTGCTGCGTCAGAGTGTGGAGAAATCCGAGTTGTGGGTGTACAAATCGAAGACAATGGATGATCATCTGGTGGTGTCTGGTGGGAAGAAGGCCAAACCATCGGAGGATGACACGGCAGAGAAGAGCATGAGCATGCCTGACGACACAGACGTGCAGAATCAGTCTCAGGAGACGTTCGACGATGGACCTCCGCTGACGCCTGAACAGGCGTGTGAGTACAAGAAGATCCAGCAGATTCTGGACAGGATGAACAAGTTGTGCACCACAGTGGGTCCGGGTGACTTCATCAAGCCCAGGAAGCATGAGCAGAGACTGCTGAGAAATGTGGGAGTGCACAATATTGTGCTGGATCTGTTGCAAGTGCCATACGATGAGAAGGATGACAGTCGGATGATGGAGTTGATGCGATTGGCGCACAAATTCCTGCAGAACTTCTGTCTGGGCAATCAGCAGAATCAAGTGTTGCTCAATAAGCACCTGGACTTGTTTCTCAATCCTGGAATTCTGGAAGCTGAGACAGTTTGTGGAATATTCAAGGATAATCTGGGGCTGTGCAATGAGGTGAATGAGAAGGTGGTTCAGCATTTTGTGCACTGCATCGAAATCCATGGACGTCATGTGGAGTACTTGAAGTTCCTGCAGACCATCGTGAAGGCGGAGAATCAGTTCATCAGGAAGTGTCAGGATATGGTGATGCAGGAGCTGATAAATGCCGGTGAGGATGTGCTGGTCTTCTACAATGACAAGGCGTCCTTCAATCAATTTGTGGAGATGATGAGACGCTACCGAAGGGGTGAGTTGGCAGACACGACGCCACTTGAGTATCACGTGGAGCTGGTGAAACTGCTGGCGTGCTGCACAATGGGCAAGAATGTCTACACGGAGATCAAGTGCAACAGTCTTCTGGCACTGGATGACATTGTGGCAATGATCGCACATCCGGATTGTGTGCCAGAGGTGAAGGAGGCGTATGTGGACTTTCTCAATCACTGCTATATTGATACGGAGGTGGAGATGAAGGAGATCTACTCGTCGAATCACATGTGGAGTTTGTTTGAGAAGTCCTTCCTTACTGACATTGGTCGAGTGATCAGTGAGGGTCCGACGCCCAGTCGAACGCTCGAGAATTACGTGATCAATGGCATTATGAACATCCTCACGACGTTCTTCAACAGTCCATTCTCTGATCAGAGCACAACTGTGCAGACACGCCAGAATATCTTCATTCAACTCCTCCAGAATGCCGTGAAGATGAGCGAATGCAAGTGGCTGACGCCAGCTCAGAAGTTCAGTGTGGAGAATTGCATTCGCACGTTGGCTGAGATTGCCAAGAGTCGTGGCATTGCCATCTCGATGCATCTGGAGAGTCAACTCGTCACGATGTTCCACAAGACGTCGCTGCTCACGCGGCAGACCAGCAAGTGGTTGTTGGCGTCGAAGCAGACGAAGATTGAGCGAAGCAGTTCGCAGTTGATGCGTCTGGATAGGAGTATCATTGAGGGATTGCAGGATATCGTGTCACTGCTGGAGGATCAACTGAAACCACTGGTTGAGGCTGAACTCTCCCTCCTCGTGGACATTCTCTATCGCTCAGAACTGCTCTTTCCCATCGGCACAGAGTCCAGGAAGCGCTGCGAGAGTGGAGGTTTCATACGAAGGTGAGTTGCTTCGGACAGTGGAAAAGTGTCCTTTTATCATATATGATCAAATAAGTTTAAAAAAAATTATCTCAATTATTTTCTCCTTGCTCTTGGTAAGATCTAGATTTACCTCTCCTGGTAAGATGATGACTTTCTGAGTGATTTTGAGTTGAATTTTCTCTTTCCTGACCCTTTCCTGGATTTATTCTTTTTGCTGTTTGGCTATATATACTGTTCAACGAGTGCTTGAGATGAGATTCTCAGCTTGTTTTCAATCCTTTGCATGTTAATTGTTTGATTTTTGGAGATTTTGTGAATTAAAATTGTGATTTTACTCTCCTGTCCAGGTTGATCAAGCACACGGAGAAGCTTCTGGAGGAGAAGGAAGAGAAATTGTGTGTGAAAGTGTTGCGAACTCTCAGGGAAATGATGGCAATTGATGTGGATTATGGGGAGAAGGGAGACACTCTCAGGAGTTCTCTGTTGACGCGATACTTTGGGAAGAACTTCTCCGTGAAGGCGCCTGAGGATGTGGAGCAGAAGAAAGCGCCTCCCGTGGCGACTGTGACTCACGGACCGGGTGCCAAATACTTGATGCGAGCCAATTGCACACTGCATGAGGTGCAGAGTCACCTGGACAAGGAGGGTGCGTCGGATTTAGTGGTGGAACTCGTGATAAAGTCCGTTCACTCGCCGTCAATCTTCGTGGAGGCCGTGGAATTGGGCATAGCACTGCTCGAGGGTGGAAATCCCATCATTCAGAAGGGGATGTACAGCAAATTCCTCAGCGGTGATCTCAATCAGGCGTTCTTCAAGGTGTTCTATGACAAGATGAGGGATGCTCAGCAGGAGATCAAGAGCACAGTCACGGTGAATACGGTGGATATTGCGGCGAAAGTGCATGAGACGAAGCAGGATTTCAAGGATTTGGAGAAAATCTCGCGGAAACAGGGCACAAAGACGAATGGAATTATAATCACGGAGGAATTGAGGGAGGAGCTCAATAGTGCCGGTCTGGCGACGGCGCGCGCTTATGCCAGTGCCAGGAGTTTGTCGCCGGGTGAGGATAGTTCAATGGTGAATATTGGCAGTGCCCTGGAGGATATGTTGGCGGAGAAGATGGAGAAGCACAAGGACAAGGATGAACGCAATAAGTTGTCGTCGAAAGTGCTGGTGATGCAGCCAATTTTGCGCTTTCTGCAACTCCTGTGTGAGAATCACAATCCGGATTTGCAGAATTTGCTGAGGAATCAAAACAACAAGACCAACTATAATCTCGTGTCGGAGACTCTGATGTTCCTGGACTGTATTTGTGGCTCCACAACGGGTGGCTTGGGATTGTTGGGATTGTATATCAATGAGAATAATGTGGCGCTGATCAATCAAACACTGGAGACGCTCACGGAATACTGCCAAGGACCTTGTCATGAGAATCAAAACTGCATTGCGACGCACGAATCAAATGGATTGGACATCATCACGGCACTCATACTCAATGATATCAATCCGCTGGGGAAGAATCGAATGGATCTGGTGTTGGAGTTGAAGAACAATGCGTCGAAGCTGTTGCTGGCCATCATGGAGAGTCGTGGTGACAGTGAGAATGCCGAGAGAATCCTGTACAATATGAATCCCAAGCAATTGATCGATGTGGCGTGCAGAGCGTTCCATCAGGAGGAATTGCTGGACGATAATGATCATGAGGATTTCAATCAGGATGACGATGCTGGTGTGTCACCCAAGGAAGTGGGTCACAATATCTATATACTGTGTCATCAGTTGGCGCAGCACAATAAGGAATTGGCAGCTCTGCTGAAGCCCAGCGATCCTGTGGGCACAAATGACTCCAAGACCAATCAGGCTCTGCTGTATTACGCCACGCACACGGCACAAATTGAGATTGTGCGTCACGATCGTACGCTGGAGCAGATTGTCTTTCCCATCCCTGAGATCTGTGAGTATCTCACGCACGACACCAAGACGAAGATCCTGCACACGGCGGAGCGTGATGATCAAGGCTCAAAAGTGGCGGACTTCTTCGATCGCACGGAGCACATGTTCAACGAGATGAAGTGGCAGAAGAAGCTGCGTGGACAGCCGGCACTCTTCTGGGTCAGCAACTACATGTCTCTGTGGAGCAATATTCTGTTCAACTGTGTGGTGTTGATCAATGTCATTGTGGCCTTCTTCCATCCGTTCGACAACAAAGTGCCAGAACTCATGGGACACTTGTCACTCCTCATCTGGACCATCATGCTGGGCTCCTTGGCCATTGTCATCACAGTGCCGCGCGAGACGGGCATTAGAACTCTGGTGGCATCAATTATTCTGCGATTCATCTTCTCTGTCGGACCACAATCGACACTGTGGCTCCTCGGCTCGGTGACGGTGCTGATGAAGGGTGTTCACATTGTCAGCATCATGGGGAATCATGGAACGCTGGAGAAGCACATCCTGAAGATCATCACAGATGCTGAATTGATCTATCACTTTGGCTATCTAATGCTGTGCGTGTGTGGAATCCTCCTGCATCCGTTCTTCTACTCAATTCTCCTCTTCGATGTGGTTTATCGCGAAGAGACGCTGCTCAATGTCATTCGCTCTGTGACGCGGAATGGTCGCTCAATCATCCTCACAGCTGTCCTGGCACTCATTCTCGTCTACATGTTCTCCATCATTGGCTACATCTTCTTCCAGGATGACTTCCTCGTGCCGGTGGACGATGAGATAGCGGCAGAGGCCAATGAGCCGCTCAAGAGTCACATGCTGCCCACGGCAGAGGATCTGCAGCAATGTGAGTGTGAGGCAGGAAGCAAGATCATCGTGTCTGATGGCGATGGTGAGCGCAAGGAGAGAGCCTGTGACTCTCTCATTATGTGCATCGTGACAACACTGAATCAGGGATTGCGGAATGGCGGCGGAATTGGAGATATTCTCAGAGCACCGAGTAGTCAAGTGAGTTTTTCTCTGTTGTTCAATCAATCGGGAGAACTTCCAGCTAATCTCAATCTATCTATCCTTCATTCCAGGAGGCTCTATTCGTCGCTCGTGTCATCTATGATCTTCTGTTCTTCTTCATTGTCATCATTATTGTGTTGAATTTGATCTTTGGTGTCATCATTGACACATTTGCGGACTTGAGGAGTGAGAAGCAACAGAAGGAGTTGATCCTGAAGAACACCTGCTTCATCTGTGGCCTCAATCGGTCAGCTTTTGACAACAAGACGGTGAGCTTCGAGGAGCACATCAAGTGTGAGCACAACATGTGGCACTACCTCTACTTCATCGTGCTGGTGAAGGTGAAGGATCCCACGGAGTTCACGGGTCCGGAGAGTTATGTGCACGCAATGGTGAAGGCGAGCGTGCTGGATTGGTTCCCGAGGCTGCGCGCCATGTCATTGGCGGCGATCGATGGTGAGGGTGAGCAGATTGAGCTGAGGAGTCTCCAGGCGACTCTCGAGAACACGCAGCTGCTCATCAGCAGCCTCTCGTCGCAGCTGATGGAGCTGAAGGATCAGATGACGGAGCAGCGGAAGCAGAAGCAGCGGCTGGGTCTGCTCAATCCCACCACATCCGCAGCCTCCTATCTCAATCAGTCCGGCTTCGGTGGGGTGAACTAAAAGGTGTTTAATGTGTGTTGGTGTGTGTGTGATAATGTTCTAGAGAATCGAATCTCGCGCTGTCCCTCGTGTGGCAAAAATTTCTCCAACGAAAAGAAAGAGCACATCTTGTAGGCCATCTTTAGGCGATAATAATTGTGTTATCTTAATTCTAGTGATAATTGTTCTCATTGTTGTAACTTACACTGAAAATTTAGTCCGTCGCTGTTTTAGGTGAGAAAAAGATGAGGTCAATGCACTCAAGCTTTGCGCACGATTTACTTAATTTTAGCGAATGAAAAAAATATGACTCAAAGTCGATTAGGTTTTACACTTATATAGCTTGCCAATGTTCAAGTGGATTATTAAGAGAATTCTTTAAAGTTTACTTCGTTGTCATCCTTGTACTTCATCCAGAGAGTTTAATAAATGTTCCATCCCAAAGTTAACCTCACTTTTCTGTGACTTGGCGCGCTTTTTTCAACGTGAAAATGCGCTTCTTGGAATGTCCGGAAAAGTTAAGAACAACAGTTCATCTCGTCAATTTTATTTCTAACACCACTTCTACAGTAGTAATGAATGCACAAAATGCGTGTATCGCACGCTGAATGATAATATTAATGATAATAATAGATGAAAAAAGGAGGAATCTTACACGTAGGGATTTATGTAAAAAAGAAATCACTGCTCAGAAATCTGCGTCCATTGTGAAGACATTGTCCATGCGGTCCGCCATGACGCCCGCCTTCTGGTACTCGCCCACTTTCTTCTCGAAGAAGTTCGTCTTGCCCTCCAGCGAGATGAACTCCATGAAGCTGAAGGGATTCTTGGAGTTGTAGATCTTCGGCACGCCCAGCTCCAGCAGCAGCCGATCGGCCACGAACTCAATGTACTGCGACATGAGTTGACAATTCATGCCCAGCATGTCCACGGGCAGGGCGTCCGTGAGGAACTCCTGCTCAATGGTGACGGCCTCGCGGATGATCTCGATGACGCGCTCCTTGCTGGGCTTCTGCACCAGGTGCTTGAACATGAGGCAGGCGAAGTCGCAGTGGAGTCCCTCGTCGCGTGAGATGAGCTCATTGGAGAATGTGAGGCCCGGCATGATGCCGCGTGACTTCAGCCAGAAGATGGAGGCAAAGCTGCCGCTGAAGAAAATGCCCTCCACCGCCGCGAAGGCGATCACGCGCTCCCCGAAGTTTGCCTCCTGGCTGGCGATCCACTGGAGCGCCCAGTCGGCCTTCTTCTTCACGCACGGCAGCGTCTCGATGGCGTTGAACAGGAACTCCTTCTCCTGCGGATCGCGGATGTACGTGTCAATGAGGAGGCTGTACATCTCGCTGTGCACATTCTCCATGGCAATCTGGAAGCCGTAAAAGAATCGCGCCTCGGTGATTTGCACCTCCTGACTGAATCGCTCCACCAGATTCTCATTCACAATCCCATCGGAGGCCGCGAAGAAGGCCAACACGTGGGAGATGAACTTCCGCTCGCAGTCCTTGAGGGCGTTCCAGTGATCGGTGTCACGTGAGAGATCCACTTCCTCCACCGTCCAGAAGGACGCCTCCGCCTTCTTGTACATCTCCCAGATGTCATGATACTGAATGGGGAACACCACGAACCTCCGCGGATTCTCACGCAGCAGCGGCTCGAGCTCCGGGTCGAATTTGGGGCTCTTGGCCACCTTCAGTTCCGCCTTTATGACGTCGTCAGCCTTTGTAATGTTGGCGGAAGTCTCCGACAGCGCCTTTCGGGGACTCTGAAACAACACCACACCATTAGCCACCCGAGCAGCGCACTCCCCCAGCGCAGAGTCTCACAAAATCCAGGAAAATTGCCAGAAAATCCACGCAGCGTGCCAAAATCCCACCCATCCGGGAGTCAAACTTTTGAGGTTAACTGCGCGTCATTCGGCGAAAAACGGCGCCTCGATTTCGCAATTGTTGGCAACACGCAAGTGGAAAATTCCCCCACCATTGATCCCCGCAAACCCAAGAAAATCCTGCTCACCCTCAAATTTGCAGCCTCCATCCTTTCAGTAATGTTCTCCTTGTCCATTTCAGAGGGTTTCTGTGATTTTGGGGCGCTTCGCAGTACAGTTAATTAGTCACTGGGGAATTTTTGAAGAACTGCTCAAGTCCTGCTTCGTCCACTTCTGATGGCCAACTGAGTTGGCGGGTGGGATTTTGCACAGAAAAAAGGGGTGCCGGAAAGCGGGATTCCGACCATTTTTGCTGTTTTGCGCGGGAAGAAAATAACCTCCTTTTCATCAGCGGACAGCTGAGCAGCCCATCAACATCTGCGTCGGCATTTAAGCTTCCCAAGACACTTCGCACAGACAATCCCAGGACAAGAAGGCCAGTCGATGAGAAAAAGGGCAAATTTCTACATTTTACGTATATGTAATTAATATACTTCCACCAAATACATATCGTGATTAATGTAATCAGTATTTATACACTTTGTTTTTTTCAATTTATAATTTAAAATTCATAATTTACAGGGTGTTTTCGTGGAATTTGCTTTTGATACAAATTCCACTTGCTTTTTTCCCTTGTTTCGCTCAATTTTTTCTTTTAGTTCATCTGCTATTCAAAATATCCCTCTCTCGCTTTGTTTTCTTTTCCTTTCAATTGTCTCAATTACAATCGTTCAGAGAGGAAATATTTATTATTGGCATTTTTTTTGGGAAACATAAAAATAAAAAAAAACACAATAAAGGGAGAGCGCCGTAATTGTTATAATCATTATTCTTTCTTTTTTTTCTTTGATTGAGAGTAAAGTAATAATAGTAAGAACATGTATATAAAAAATACAATTGATTACTAAAGCGATTTGATAGAGAATTACTAAGATAAATATATTTAATAATGAATAAATTTTCATTTAAAAAAATTCACTTTTTCATTGAAAAACAACTCTGAAGACTTTCTTATCTCGTCCTTCCATTTTTCTATTGGCTAATATTGCAATCATATTTCTCTCTTCAACCACTAAAACTTCTACTTTAAATCGTTTCTCTCGTCCTTTTCTTTCTCCCTCAAGTAACACTTATGTCTTTAAGAAAAGAGATTTAACTAAGATTCCTCTCGCAATGCGAGGAAAAACAAATTTCAAGATCAGAACGAAAAACTCTAAGAACAAAAGTTATGAAACCCATTTTGTTTGTTGTATATAAATATAACATGTAAATTACAGCAGATATTTTCCTCAAGATAATTTGATGAAAAAACGCAGGCAATTTTCTCTTTTTTTCTTTACTAAATATTTTATCCATTAACTTGGTGAAAAAGAAGTTGAAATGAAATGCAAAATATCGCTATAAATATTACTATTTCTTCTCTTCACTTTTAATTACCTAATAACACAAGTTTATCCTTTTTCCTCTTCTATTTCCACCCTCTCTTCTTCTGTTAGTTTATTTCTTCTTCTTTGTATAGTTTTCTCTAATACAAATTACATTTTTTTATCTTTTCCTTTAGAGTTAATTGTTAATTTGGTTGGCGCAACTTTTTTTCATCTCTGTTAGAATACATTTAAAAGACGGCACGATAGTTTTTTTTTTAAATATAATGTAAATCTTGCGGTGTTCATTTCATGTTATTTTTTGTTGTTCTTTAATTTAATTCTTTTACAATGTTTCTCATTGTCTGAGGAAGAAAAAACATGTATTTTTCACAATAACATTTTTCTTTCAACGGCTCGAAATTTAGTGCAAAGAATCTTTTTGTCTAATTGTGATTTTTCTTCCCCAGTTTTTTTTCTTTTCTTTTCAATTTGAGAGAAATGTAAGATTTTTCATCAGAAAATACAATGTGATTTTTTCATTCTTTAATTTTTTTTTCAATAGTCAAAAGGTAGAGGAGAGGAAAGTGACTATAATGCATATAAAGCGTTTAATTCCTTTAAATATCCATTTCATTTCTTCTCTTTTTTTCTATACAAATATTTATATAATGCTTTTGGAGGAGATTTTCATTAATTTTTTTCATGGAAAAACAAATATATTTCCCAAATTTATGTTTTTTAGGACCTTTTTTTGGATGTCTTTTATCCTCAACATCTTTAATAGTTTTGTTGTTTTCAGGAGCAAATAAAGTGTGACAGTTGCATTTTATTTTCTTCTCAATCAATTTTTGCATTTCAAAATTCTCTCTTTTTTTCTAATATTATTCTCCTCTTAAATATTTCCATTTTGTTTATTTACTACACCATTTTTTTATCATCTTGTATACGAACAGCCAGAGAAACTCTAAAATGTTAACTCATACGTTTTTTTTTTATCTTTTTCTATACAATTTCCATGTCCTTTCTCAAATATTACAAATATCTCTCCGCCCAATAATCGTATTTGATAGCGCTTATCTGCATGTTGTTTCATTCTCCCATTCCTTTTTCCATTATTACATTATATGCAATATTTCTCAATAGGTATGTTCATTAATTTTTTAAATATTTTCTTCACCTCCCACTTCATCATCTTTATGCATCTCCATGAAACTGGAGAGACGTTGTTAACTCTAAATTTCACACATCACAAGTTGAAAAAGTGTATAGAGTCTTTCTAGTATTTCCTTTTTCATTTTATTGTTAGAAGTTCTATTTCTCAGTTTATATTCTTGTTTTTTTTTCTCTTTCATCGTTTATATATATTTTTTATTAATTAAACTGTTAAGATAATCGGTTTATAAGTTTTCTCCTCCTTTTTCTCTCTCTCTCTTCCTCTCAAAATACATGATGTAGCAAAGGGTAGAACTATTTTCTCTCTCTCTATTCTTGTTGGTTTTCTCCTTCTTCTATTTAATATCTCAAAGTCAGTTAAGTTTTACAATTAGTCAACTAGTTAATCTTCGTCTCAATCTCTCTACAAGTTATGTTTAGAAAAAAAAGGAAAAAATCAGTGAAATTCGAGGGGAAAACCATTTGGTTAGTTTCTCTCTATCAAAATGAATTTAAAAAATGTGCTAATTTTAGAAACTTTTCTTCACTCTGTGAAATTGGTTCAAAAATTCGAGGGAAAGATTATAATAAATGGTTTAGTTTTTGCCACATGGAATTTGTAGGTTTTCTTTCATCTTCCGTCCGTTCATTCTATTATTATTAATGTGAAAACTTGTTACAGAATTTGATTGTAGACGCCAAGAATTCTAATTTATGCTCTACGAATTCACTTTCAACAGTGATTCTTCTACGGAAAAAATCGATCCTTTCCTCTATCTTTCTTTTTATCTCTTGTTTTGTTTTTTTGGCTATTCCAATCCTTGGGAAACCTATTTTACGCAAAGAAATCCAACTGATAGAGTCTTTCGAACCACGGCGAAAGACTTGTCAGTGGCGTTAAAGTTGTAAATGAATTCATTTCTTCACCTCTCAGATATGTCGAATCACCATTTTTTTTTCTTCTTCTTAACTTTGTGTCTACCCAATGTTTCTCTTGGAGTATTTTCCTCTTTCTTTCTCATCTACAATAAAACACACACGCGGAAGGAAGGAAGTGATGAATTAAAGAGGACTCTTTAACAGGAAGATTTGTGTAAAGACACCATGGAGACTATTATCATTTTTTCTTCATTTACAAACACTGTAATCCAGTTTCTTTTAAACTTTACCTTATTTGTTACAATCTAATTAAAAATTGTTTTATCCTTCATTTAGAAAATGGGTGATTTTGTGTTTTCTCTTTTACCTCCTAAACACTTTTCTTCTCATCTCCTTTTCTCTCTTTCTCACTAGTATTTTTTTTTACTTTTTAACTAACATTTTGTTGTGTGTTTTCTTAAATGTGTTTTCTTTAATTTTTCTTTGTATTTGGTCCACAATCAATAAGCGCAACTGAAAAAAGTAGTCTAACATCTTTCACAATTTCTTTTTTCTTCTTTCTTTAGAAATGTTATTCGTCTTGCTTTTTGTGATTAAATTCAGTTTTTTTTTCTTCTTTTAATACCCTTACAAATTAATAGGCGGTTCTTGTCATCATTATTTCTACGTTTTACAACACATTTATATGTTTTTATTTCTTTAATATTTAGAGTAGGTTTTTTTTTCTTCCTTTTCCACCCTCTTTACACATCATTTTTCGCTAAGAATGGTTCTTTTTCTAAAAAAGACCCCAAACCCCAATTGAATATCGGCGGAAGGCCTTCAATTCCTCTCCACCATTCGCTACAATTTGATTTATCTGAGCTACAACAACAAGATATCATTTTCTTTTTCACCAAAAGCTACATTTATATAAAAGTATATGTTTCTGTTAAATTTGTTGTTCATTTTTCCTTTCTTTCAAATGTTGTATCATCTAATATTTAGACTATAGACACTGCTTGAGATTTGATGAATAGAGTTTTTTGTTGGAAAGAGTTTTGATGACGTTAGAGGATAAGTAAGATTCAGATGTTGTGTTGCCTTACAAATTGTCACCATCATTTTTTGCTATGGATTTTCAAAGTCTTCTAAAAAAATGCGCTCAACATTTGTCAAATACACGACAATCAGAGCAGAGAAAACCATGAAAGCAGAGTTTTTCTCAAAAATTCATACAGAAATGAAGGTTGTTTCGCAAGTTCAACACCAACATTTGGATGAAGAGATGATGTAAAAAAGAAACTAAAGGCGATATAAGTGTGATAGTTATTCTCGAATATGTTGTTCTTGACTGCTGTTTAAATATATATATAAGTATAGGCTTAAAATGATTGTGTAAGTGAAAAGATTCTTACACAAATAATCCATCTTAAAAGTTACACAGTACAATATTATTTTCTTTCTTCTCCATTTTGCAGTACATTTAAGCCAGAAAACAGCTCTTATTTCATCATTATATATTATATAATAGTGTTTCTTCTTTTTCTTCTTTATCCTCCCCCTTTAGATACACCCTTTCGCACATTAGTGTGTGTGTGATTCTCCGCATTTTCCAAGCTACGATGCATTTCCATATCTACTGTTTTTCTTTTACTTTCTTTATAGCTCTCATCTACGCTTTTTTTCTTGGTAATCTCTCTTGTCTAATCCATCCTTTTCTCGTGCGCGCCTCACTTTATAAATATATACCATATATAATATTAATAATATAATGTTAACTTGTTTTATTCTCTTTCTCCTCCCACTTTTTCTCCTCCTCCTCCTCCTTTTTTCATCTTTAAATATATATTTATAATAGTATTATGAACCCATTGGGTTTAAACACTGCACCACTAAATACCCCTCGCCATTCAAATTTTCTCCTCTTCTTCTACTCCCCATTTTTTATGCTCTCCTTCACTACTGTTATCGCCGCCCGAGTTGAAAATTTCCACCCTCTCCCGTGCTGTGGCCTAAAAGTTTCTGTCACTTCCCATCTTATCGTCTCAATTAGTTAAAAATTTCTCTCTTTCTCTCTCTCTCTTGTTATTTTTCTTTTCGTGCGAATTCTCTTAAACAACTTTTCTCCTTCCCATTCCCGACAATTTTTAACAATAGCATTTTTTTTCTTTTTTGCAAGAATAGAAGAAATTCCATCGTGTTGTACAATTACACAAGAAAATAGTGTGGCAAAATTGTGCAAAGAAGAAACCCATTCGCATTCTTTGCGTGTTGCTTTCTCTCTTTCTCTCTCTCTTAAATAAAGCGTGTGAAAATTTGAGGGGCACACCGTGATATAACAGCCCAATTCTTGTCATTATTAGTCCTTTCTCACCACTTCTCTTTCTCTCCGTGCATTCAATTGAATTGATTTGCAAAGCCCCAGAGAAAAGAGCCACAGAAGTATTTAAAAAAAACACCTTCTCACTGAATTCATTAGAGTTTTTCAACAGATTTGTGAACAATTAAACAGACACACGACTAAAATCTCATGATCCCTTGAAGCGTATTGAGCCAATTTTTATCTTCTTCCCTTATATATTCGCATTGTCACCTTAAAATTGCTTTGCAATTGGATTATAAAATGCATTTCAAAGACAAAAATATAATTTTCTCAGCATTTCCCACTCGTTCGCATGTTAATTTCCTCCTTCTTCTCTTTTTTTTTGAATTACTCAAACAACAAAACTGAATGGTTAGTCGCACATTTTCATATCTCTTTTCCCTGGGAGAGGCTCAAGTGTGTTGTTATTATTACATGATATTTCTTTCTTTCCTTCATTTTTTTTTCCTCTCAAAACTAAAGTGGAGAAACAAACATATATAAAATAATGAAAACGCCGAAAAAATTCCAACTCCACACGCAATTGCTATGTTACTAATAAATAATGGAAAAAAATACATTAGGGTATAAAATAGTAACATAATAACGAAAATGAACAATAAAATCACTATTGAGTATTAATTCCCACCATTCACAATAATTCTCTCTTTCTCACTCTATAAAATAAAAGAACCCTTCATGCGCTTCAAATATTCCATTCCTATTATTGATTATTACCATTTCTTCCTTTGTTGGATTAATAAGAAACCATACTTTTTTTTAACTGCATATCAATAAATCAAAATTGATTAACTTTAATATAAAATTAATATTCCTTTTCACATTATTAATGCCTAAATTATAAACTTTTTTATTCTTTCTTTTCATTTATAAAGAGAATAGTGGGTGTAATTTTAATAAAAATTCCTACACGAAAAATAAACACAAATTGATTCGCTAATTAAGCGTCGACATTCTTCTCTGTCTCTCCCCTTAAGAGCCCTTAACATCATCATTATTATTATTCTTTTCCTCACTAATTTTCCCCCATTTAGTGGTAAATTGAATCCGAAATATATTGCCTAACACATTCTCTCTCTTCCTCGCTGTCTTTTCTTCCCTGTGGCTCATCAGTTTTTTTTCTTTAAAATGTCTTAGGAAGTGCTATTGGTATACTTAAGTGTGTCCGGATGTGCTCAGTGCGGCGATGACGCCTCGCCAGGATGTGACCAGAGCATCTCATCGTCCTCCAGATCAGACTTGAGACGCTTCTCCATCTCCAGTATCCCATTGGCCACTCCCAATTCATCCTCTTCCGTGGGAATCTCCTCCTTGCTCACCTCCCACAGCGTCTTCACCTTGTCCTGCCCATTGTTGGTCGACCACAGCAGAGAAGAAGTCGTTGCTGGCACAGAAGTTGCAGCCGGTGAGGTTTTTGGCTACAAAAACACACACACAATAAATATCTCTATAACTGGATTTTTTTTTGTCAATTATACCCAATAAATATTCACCTTAATCCCCATTGAGAGATCAAATGTGGCCAAATCATTCGTCTGCAAACGACACTCAGCCAAGTGCTTCTCAATGTGATTCAACTCCATCTCCTTGTCCTTCACCCCATCAAGATGTCCCGCATACGAGCCACTGTTGATCCACTGTGTGCTTAGAGAATTCCCAGTCGGACCACTGAATGGCGTCCTGGGCAATCCGCCGGCGATATCACTGAACAACTGACTACTGGCGGACGGCGTATTATGCGATTTCGTGCTCATTCGCGATATTGGTCCAAATTTGCTCGACGGTTGCGCCTCAAACGGCACATATTCATCATCCGTGAGCAGTGAATCTGACCTCACGAAGGGATCTCGCCCACCGGCGCCGTCCATGTGATAGCCCGGATTTGCATTGGAATTCCAGTACATGTCATCCTTGAGCGCATGATGCGCATACAAACCCGTGCCATTCGTTGGCATATGAGACGTCACAGCCGGATGATGATGATGAGGCGACTTGGTCACATTCACACTATTTGGCGGCTGTTGATACTCCTTCATCATCTCCTGTCGCCTCTCTATGGCCATGGTATTCCGGTTCATCATCGCTCCCGGCGGATAATTGTTGTTCACATAGTTTTGCTGCCCACTGAGATACACTGAATTCGGTGACATCTTCAACACAGGCGGCACAGGAGCATTTGGCGGCCCCAGAACTCGATGTGGTGGTGTTTGAGGGTGAGATTTAGGCGCATACGGAGCTCCTGGCTGTTGCTCCCAGAACATCCCGCCACGCATCACCTCCAGCCGATCACCTTTGCCCACGAATGCGTCATGGGGTGAGAATTGCAGCTGCTGCGGACTGTGCGGTGGCGGAGCACCATGTGGCAATCCGGGATACATCTCGGCCCCACTGTAGGGTGGCTGCGGTGGCGGCGGAGGAGGCTGGTTGGTGTACACCTGAGGCGGCGGTGGCGGGGGAGGATTTGAGGGTGAAATCTGAGAGTAATTTCCATGCGGCAACGATTGCGCCGACACAGGACGATTCATGAAGCCCCTATTCATGCCCGGACCCTGATGGGGTTGCGGCGGCGGCGGCATGGGTGGTGGACAACTCATACTGCCGAAGTGATGATGGTCATAGGGCATTCTTGCCATCGTCATGGGTGTAGAAATCACATTTGGCGGCATAGCATTGGGAATTGGACTCGATATCACGCCGGGATGATGCATCACATTGTTCATCTTGTCCACAAATGGTGGTTGCCCAATCAAATTACCCGTTTGCGCCTTTGAGCCGCCAAATCTCATTGGTGACACATCATCTGGCGTCATGTAGGGATGCGGCACATGACTCATCCCATCGCCCATGTACTCCATTTCCTTTATCGATGTCGTCGGTGTCTTTGTGTTGATCTTTCGTGTCTTGGCACGATATCTGCGGAGGGGGAAGAAGAAAAAATGCCCTTTAGAGGCTGTAAAACTGGTGCAGATGCGATACTCACTTCTCTAACTCCTCCTCTGAGTGGGCGAAGGTGCAATTGGTGCCCCTGGGGCAGGTTCCCCGCTGCGTCAAGTCCCTGCACATGCTAATCTTGTATTTGGTATTGTGATTGGAGTGCGTCGTCTCCTGCAGCTTCCGATTGCCATAGTGCTGGACAAATTCCACGAGTCCGACCACCACTTGACGCACAGCCTCCAGGGCTCCGGCCACCTCCTGCCACGTGGGCACCGTGCCCTCGGCTGTGGGATCAATGGCCGCCAGACTCTTGAGATGTGCCCGCAAGCCCGACAAATTCGCCGGATCGCCGGTCCGCTGGAGCGCCAGCACCAATTCTTGCACAGACTGTGCAAATGATTGTGGCGTCTGCAGCTTGTCAATTATGCTCTGCATATGCGACTTATGCGCCGTGTCACCGTACAGAAGAGCCGACCACTGATCTGGGGCAATTCTCAAGCCCGCCTCCGTGGCAATTTGCACAATCTGAGCATCGTGCTCTCGTCTCAGCGCTTCGTACGTGCGAAACTCCTCCTTCAGCTGCATCAGCGACGAGTCCCCATCCCTCTTGGACACCTTGAAGCAACTGGCGCGATACAGGAGCTGCACGACGTGGCCAATACTCGTCTTGGACGCTTGCGGAAACTGAGGCTCCAGCCTCTGCACCACAAACATCACCAACACCTTCCGGGACAGCGCAGAACCATCCTCCAGCGCTAGCAGAATCAACTTCAGCACCTCCTCCTGCATAGCCGGACCCAAGAACTGGCATCCACGCGCTCTCACGGCCGCCCACAGATTGGCACTGAGCTGCTGCGGATTCTGATGCTGCAATATCAACTCCGTCACCGTGCGCTCACCCAGCGAACGGGCCGCCCTCAGCGCCCTGGAGCGTCCCTCATCCTCGATCAACTGACAATTCACCAGCGTCACGAGTTTCCGCTGCATGGGCCGCGACAGGAGATTGCTGGCACTGCCACCACTCGAGATTGGCTTCAGGTAGAGTGCCAACTCCTCGATACACTTCTTCGCCACGTTGTAGCATTGCAGATCATCCGCCTTCAGGCACTGCACACTCGGCGACGTCACATCACTCTCACTTATCAACTGTGGTGCATTGCTCACGAGTTGCAGAAGAGCATAATTTATTGGTAAGTTGTCTAAGTCCGTTGTTATTGTTGTCTGCAAAAGAGATCATCATCATCATCATACAAGCATTGGAGTGAAGTGAGTGAAAATATGGGTGAAAGGGAAATAATACAACACAGAGAGAGAGAGAAAGAGACTTTTCAGCTGAATTAGTTCTGCAACGTCAGCCAAACTTTCTCTCCTTCTCCCCAGAGACTTTTATATGTTCTTGCGCTAACACAACACCCAGAGTCAAATGAATGACCAAATGCTATTTGTCCATATATTTCAACTCTCTCTCTCACTCTATCTTTTCCTCAAAGGTAATTCGTCTTCGCAACACCCATAAATCTTTCCTTGGAAAACCAGTAAAATCTTCCCCATAGTTGCAATTCCTCCCGCCACACCAGATTAACATCTCTATCTCTTTGCCAACTCGAGATAAGGCGAGCGCAACAGTGGAAAACTATGGCAAACCTCCCGGGCGTCATGGCAGTGAGAATTGGAAATTTCATTTATCAAATTGACCTTCGAGTACCCTTGCTCTGTATGTTGTATCCTTTGTACTATGCCAATTACAAGATTGCCCGATACACCACAAGTCTCGATTGATAACAGATAGAGCCATTCAAAAGCTGTGCGTCTTGAAAATTCCCAGAATTTCCCCTATGAGATAAACTCATTTGACTTTCCAGGTAAATCAGTGCACCTTATAGATATAGTTCTGACTGTTGAGAATCCCAATGATTAAAGCATGGATCAATATCTGATCAATGTCTGTTATGCGAAATACTTATCACATTCTGTGTCTTTTGTGTATTCAAAAACGCATTCTTTCACAAATTTCTGACATTTCAATGCACAAAAGTTGAGGATTTTCCTCCAAACAAGACCAAAAAATAAAACCTGACTGTATTTCACGAATCTTTTTGAATTGCCACACATTATCAAATCCACTAAATTGTATTTCTGGGCTTTCCAGAGCGTGGCTATGCAATAAATACGGAATTTCAAGCTCAATTTTATGAACTAATTGAACAGCTTCAATCCCTCCCGGATCCAATTTCCTCTTTCTCTCTGCATTGGCCAAGTGAACAATATTATTATTTTTAATGTCCGTATCGATTAGAGGATGGCGAAAATCCTCCCGCTGGCAGCATGCAGGATACCAATATGAATAATCCAGCACAGCCTGCTCCCAATCGGACTGTCCAATTTGGCAGACTCGCAATATTTTGCTGAAATATTAATCGGCAGGATATCTGTGACCATTTGGGTCAAGCGTGGAAAATCAATAGGATAATCCGACTGTGAGGCAGTCATTCCCCTCGTCGTCGTCGTGCGTGAATGAAATCTCCTGGGCATCTCACGCGCTCTCACCTGGTCAAATGGGCACTGCTTCCGATGGAGTGTGCCCAGACACGTGCGACAGATGGTGTGGCCACAGCCTAGACTGATTGGAGGACGTAGTTGCGCTGCAAACTCGTGGCAGCAGACTGGACAGGACAGAAACTCTGTCCATTGGGGCGCCTGAATCGGCATTCTGCAATGAGAAGGAAGAACAATACACAATTCACTATTATTCCCAACACCGCGAGGAGTTTTCCCGGCCGGAGACAGTGGGAAAAAGTGGCCGCACACACACAGACTCTCCGGCTCTTCCCGATCAGAGCTCTGAGACTGAGTTTTCGTGACGCAAATCGCTTTTTTGTTCTGCCACACATAGAAAATTGTGTGACGGAGACATTTCTTGTCCACCGCGCGCGCGATGAAGGCAATACCCGCGAGAAAGGAGGACTTTTATCTGGCTCGGGAGTGATGATAAATTAAAAATTGACAGAATCAAGAGGCAGACAAGTTCAGCACTTGTTGGCAGCAGGAAAATGCTGGTCTTCCCAGAGCGAATGAGAGCGAGCGAGAGCGAGAGAGAGAGAGAGAAAGAGGAGAACTTCCGCGAGGAAAGTCAAGTAGAATGGCAAAGAAAGCTCCTCTCACTCGCCACTCTGATGGTTGCAAAATGCGTGGAGAAATTTCATAATAATACAGACTCAATATCACCCACTTCAGCCCCCCATAGATCGCACGGGAGGCTCTTTTTGCGCTTTCTGCTGTGCGTGAAAAATCCATTTCCACCTTTCCTCGTCGCCCGAGAACCGTGTGACCCCCATGGGAAAAGTTACACACTCTCACTCACTTTCCGCCCACTTTGGCTGACTCAGGGGCCCCCTTGGCGAACACCAGGTGTCTCCTGGGCACGGATAATGCCTCACCGAGCCACACACTGTCACACTCACTGCGGAAAATCACCATTTGCTCGCGGAAGGGAAAATTTTCTCTCCATTGAACTTTCGACGTCGACGTTGAAATTCCTCAATCTGACACGGCTCATGGGCAAACGCACAGGCATAGGCGCTAATCGACAATTTCCCAGGGACACCACCACGAATTTTCCACACCCTCGCTCTGTTCGCGGTCAATGTGTGTGGAGAAAGTCAAATTTGGATGTGGTTTTTCACGAGAAATTCAGTCTTTTTTACAAATTGTGCCACTGCCACCACTAATGAGCGACATCTTTGAGTGCCAACTCTACACTGAGAAAATTTTCATCGCCCTTTTCCAGCCCTCGCTGGTGGTCACACAGCCAATTTTCACCCTCGCCCACTACCTAGGTCCTTCACCTGACCATCCAGCTCCAATATTCTCACCTTGGTATTATTCTCTCGTCACATTTTACACCTTTTTACAAAAATTTTACTAAGCAATTGCAATATGTCATTTCTACTTTTATGATCCCATCCAAGCGACTGAAGCGCCACGAGTGAGCAACTCCGACCATCTAATGCTGCAGCAGCGACAAATGCGGAGAAATTCTATTTGTATGGTTTTTGCGAATATTCACCGAGTGTTGGCATCATTTTGTGATCTTTGCGGAATATATTCTATTTTTCTCTTCATTTTCTGGCTTTATTTGGGAACGTAAACTGGTGGTGTGTTAAATTGGTGCGTGAAACACGGATGAAACATTGGTGGATGCACTTCTGCAAGAGTGCGCTGGCGTCGTCATGGTGATGCGGAAGTTGAGGGCGATTTGTCAGTCGGACTCCGTTGAAATGTCTCTCTCGCAGTCGTGTGTAGTTTTTTGTGAAAATCACACTGAATAATAGGCCACGCGAGAAGGCAGCGCGATTAAGTCCCCCAGCAGAGTTCAGAGTTTAATGGGAGTGAGCAGGAGTGGTGAATAAGCTTGTGAGTAGCTCGGGAGATGCCTCTTTAATCCTTGAACCATTCCATTGTCCTGTGGTGACGTAATTGCATGCACAGGGTGGGTTGGTAGTGATCCTGTGGTCGGGACGCGGGAGAGCCTGGGAAATTGTCAGCCGGGAGGAGATGTGGCTGGAGTGGATGATGCCTGGAGGCGAGAGAGAGACGGGCAATGTGAGCAACAAGAGGTTTTTCATTGCGAAAAATTGAGCGAGAGCAACACGTTGTTTTTATTTATGGCCTCTCTCGTCACTTTTCAGGTGGAAAATGCACGAAATCCAGCTGTGCTGGGGAGACCTTTGACCTCCCCCCGTTCAGCACAATGCTGTGCGATATCGGCGGAATGTCAGCGTGAATCTAGCCTTTAATCCCTCTACGCTACTTGACGAGATAGCAAATGGGAGAGGAGCTCGAGTCCCCTTCCTCACAGAGGGAGATTTAGCAGTGAATCTCATTACATAATCCCCCCGGTCGATGTCCAATCCGGCAGGGAAAGTACCATTTGGGGCCGAAGGAAGAGACACTGGTTGCGCTTCTTCATTCGAAATGCGCAGCCGAGCGAGTGTGATTTCTTAGCCAATTCAGCATGGCTATCAATTAATAATGAAATGCTGAACACGCCACTCGAGCCGTGCAATGTCAACAAGGCTCCAAAGAGGGGGCAAAAGCGCGCATAAAAACGACTCTTATGCAATGCAAGCAGTGTCATTTCTCCCCAGAGGCGCACCGATAATTTCCCAGGCTCTCTCCACAATGATTAGTCTAGTGATCTGATCTGGAGGTCAAGATTCCTCCCATATTTCCCGATAGTGTCACTCTCTTGCAACACTCTCCCGACCCAAGCATAATGATGCGTTCTTTTTCCTGTGCTTTACAGTTCGCAGAGAGACAGTGAGAGAGAGAGAGAGAGAGAGAAAGCTGAGAATGAGCTGGATTAGGAGGATAAAGCAATCGACGCCGGTTCACCTGTGCCTGGCCGTCACGTTCTTCACATCAGGCCTCATCATCAATGCCACGCAATTGGTGCTCTTCATCACCCTAAAGCCCTTCAATAAGACCCTCTACCGCTCTCTAATGTTCTACCTGTGCTACTCACTCTACAGCCGTAAGTATGACCATGAAACTTCCACACTCAGGATGCTCAATAATGTAGTGATTTGACACGCAATCACCCCAAAATACCAGCCTTTTACATATTTAGCACTAACGCGGTGTGTAAACAGTGATTTACGACCTGTTTTATGGCCTGCAACAGTGCCGATCATTGTTCAGAAATGGCAAGAAGCGCGCGTGAGTCAATGTGCAGGCGCTGCACCTTAGCGGACTTTGTTTATCAAGGCTAGACACTTGATAATGAAAACGTGATCATCTGTTGTCTAAAACAGCGCGCAATTTCATATTTTAGGGATGATTCTCTTGGTTTTCATTGCAGAAATTGTGTTCCTCACCGACTGGTGGTCTAACAGTCGCATAATCCTGTTCATCGATGACGAATCGATCAAGAAGCACTTTGGGCGGGAGCACGTGATTGGCCTGATGAACCACACGTACGAGATCGATTGGCTCGTTGGGTGGTCATTTTGTGATAAGATCCGCGTCCTGGGCAACTGCAAGGCGTACGCGAAGAAAGTCATCCAGTATCTGCCCATCATTGGCTGGGCGTGGAAGTTCTCCGAGTTTGTGTTCCTTGAGCGTTCCTTTGACAAGGACAAGGAGATGATTGGGAGACAACTGGCCAATCTCTTGGCATATCCTGATCCCATATTTGTGAGTATTTCACCCAGAGAGATTTGTTGAAAGGACTTTCGATTTGATGTTTTTCTTTTCTTGAAGCTTCTGCTGACGCCGGAAGGGACGAGATTCACGAAGGAGAAGCATGAGGCGTCGGTGAAGTTTGCCAAGGAGAAGGGCACAACTGCACTCACTCATCATCTCATCCCGAGGACCAGAGGCTTCACCACGAGTCTGCCGCACATGAGGGATAAGTGTCCGGGGATTCTGGATGTGCAGTTGGCCTTCAAGAGGGACGACAAGGTGGCTCCGACTGTGTCAAATCTTCTCTGTGGTCGCGGTGTCACGGCCTACATGTACATCAACAGGATTGACATGAGAGATGTGCCGGAGAAAGAGGAAGAAGCCGCTGAGTGGCTCCAGGAACTGTTCAGGCAGAAGGATCGCATGCAGGAGAGTTTCCACACGCACGGTGACTTCTTTGCCACATCGGGAGTGGCGCCGAAGCCACAGCATGAGTTCAAGCCGCGTCTCTCGACGCTGCTCAACACCACCGGCTGGGCTGTGGTCACTCTCACGCCAATGACATTCTATCTGATCAAGATGCTGCTCAGCGGCGAGATAATCTTCTTCTCCATTGGTGCTGGTGTTCTCTTCACTTGTGAGTTTGCACGCTAAGCAGATAAGGAGTCTGTGAAATGTGCTAATCTTCCACTCTTTTGCAGTTCATACGCTGCTTCAGAAGGCCATTGGGATGTCGAAGATCAGCAAAGGATCGACTTATGGTGCTGTCCAGAGGGATCATCAGTAGGGAGCTCAGAGATTGCTTCAGCGAGAGAGGCGCAACGAATATAGGCGAGGGAAAGGTTTTCAGAGATATATTCACTTCAGAACCACCTCAAAACTGTACAAAATGTTATATATTTTGTATGTTCTCTACAATTTATTTTCTTCTGAGCCATTGAGCTTCCTGGACCAGTGAGGGTTTTTAGTTACCTCCTCAATTGCCGGTCTCTTGCTTTTGCCTTTATGGAGTGGGGGAATTGTGTATGTTTTATGAGAGAGAATAATGATGAAATTGTTCGGAAAAAAAACAATCAAGTGTTTTTCTATCTGGAATTGTTGTGTGGCGCGAAATTAATTAATGTTGAATATCTTCCTCACAGTGGCCATAGCGCCATCTGGCATGCGTTTAGTTTGACAGTGCGAATTGTGCGAATTTCACGTGGTTTTGTTTATCCTGTGCTTTTCTCCGAATTTTCAGGTGATTTTCATGAATTTCCACCTCTAAATTGATTTTCTATCGAGCTCTCGGTGTACTTTACAGGATGTCACTGCGAGATCTCTTCCAGGAGATCAAGGAGGAGCGATGTCAAGAGGTGTTTCTGCCCAAAACAAACAGCGTCATTTTAAAGGACATTCCAGAGGGAAATTTGGATCTTCAGGTTGTTTTTCCGGATGCTGTGGACTTTGTACTTCAAGCCAAGCATAAAGGCATTACAGCGGTGGTGACTTTCAAGACGCCCGATGAGGCAGCCGAGGTGGTAAAGAAGAAGGTGAACATCTGTGGCCGGGAGATCTTGCCAAGACTGCTTGTGGACACTTCTGGGAAGACAGTGAAGCCTCAGAAGCAGAGCAAAGTTGCAAAGAAGAAGGAGGAGGAGGAGGAGAAGAAGAAGAAGACAAAAGTGCCCATTGTCTTTGAGAAAGTCGATGCGGACGGAGAAATCGGGAAGAAGATCCACTTGTGGAAGCTGACGAAGAACATAAAACTTCAGGTGAAGCGGAACTGGGAGACTATCAAGAAGGAGGGAAAGTGTGAGGTGAAAGTGGAGAGGAAGGTGCTGTTCAACAAGGAGATCTCATTCATGCGGAGTCTGATGAAATTCCTGGAGAATCACAAGAAGAACAGCCTGCAAGAGAGCAATAATCAGTTCCCCAATCTGGATGTGGTGCAGAAGGATGAACTGCTGTGGCGTCTGAGGCAGGACTTGGTGAGCTGCGTTCAGACACAGCTTGGTGTCATTCAATCGGCAAAGATGCGAGACGGAGACAACAAGACAGAGGCGAAGTTCGCGAAAGAGATCCACTTCCTAATGCAATTCCGTGATATTCTGTCGACGAAAATCAGCCGGAAGCGGGTGAAGAAGGTCAGGAGGGAGACAAAAGGCCCAAAATAGACTCAACGGATTTATTATTAATGTTATTCACAACACAATACAGCGTGGACTCTTGAAAACGAAATTAATAGTGTCAATGGAGGAGCAAATCACCGGGCCAGGAAAGGCTCATGTGAGCGTTCTGGTAACAAAGTCGAACTGGTGGAGTCGCCGGATGCGCGTCCGCTCGTCCTGTATCTTCTTCACACGCTTCATGGAGCTCTCGCTGCGACAGATGGCGCAGAACTGGGACGACACCACGTGCAGCGGGCTGCGATAGTAGATGCAGGGATTGGTGTTGCGCGAGTTGCGCCGGTGCGCCCAGATGTGCAGCAGTGTCTCCACCGTGATGATGAAGATGGCCGTGAGTCTGAAGAAGAGGAAGAGCGACGGAATGAGGAACATGCGGTGCGACGTCTTGTTGTAGCCCAGAATGATCTCCTCCTTGAGGTGCATCACGCGCTCCTTGTTGCTGAGCGTGTACACATCGGAGCAGCGCGACGGTTCCTCCTCCTCGTACTGCCTGAGATACGCCTTGGGGATGTTGAATTTCGTCTTGCGGAACGCAATGGCATTCAGCTCGCCGGTCTCTTGGTCGAACAAGTCCGGCGTCTGCGGCACAATGTGCGTCTCAATCTCACCAGTCTCCAGATCTTTGCTGGTGGTGATGAATCTCTGCGAAAGAGACAATCGTGTGTTTACCCACTTGTTGAGATTCTGCGGTAAGTGCGTCAAAAGTGCCTCCCAGAGAATCGTTTATTCAGCCTGAGAGTCGCGCGATTCTCACTTTTTCTTCTGCGCCTTTCTCACGTCCATTTTGGCAAACAATCAGCGACAGAGAGAGAGAAAAAATTGCCCATTTTTTGCTAAATGTTTCTTTTCTTCTTCTTGCCCTTTATCTATTATTTTTGCTTTTATCTCTTCGCCAAGAGTGTAATCTTATCAATAAATTTTCTTGTTTTGCGACCAGAAGAACTCGAGTTGGGCAAAAAAGTGATTTTTTTTTCTATTTGTATTGGAGGAGAATTTGAATAATTTGAGTGATAGAGAATGAAAAAAAGGAAAGGAAAAAAATGTTCTCTCTCTCGAAAAGCCACTGGAGAAAGACAATAAAGCGGATGAATGGCAGGAAGAGGTGCACAAATATGTGTGCCTTCTCCCTCTCTCCATTCGCGGAGGCAATAATTAAAATATTCAACAGCCACCTTTTGACCACGGATCGGGAATGTATTGGGAATGGACAAGAGGGGCATAATTTCATCATCGGCACACCACACGAACCTGATTGCGCCAAGAGATGCCCATTTTTTCTTCCACGTCCTTCCACACTCTCTCTGCGAAGTCTCACACGCGCTTCCGTCCAGGAAAAGGTGAGTTCACATAGTTTTTTGCCACTGAGTTTTCCAGTTTCACGAGCACGATAATAATTGTGATCAATTGGGAGTCAATTGCGTTGTCCGATCTCGGCGGGCGCGACTTGTCGGGCGGGGAACACGATTCAGCACTGGGTGACTTGTGGGGCGACTTGCCGTCAACTGAGCTTCGCTATTTGGGGAACTTGGGGAAAAACTTGCGAGCCGAGCTCACAAACACACGGCAATTGGTGGTAAAAACTCACCGGACTGAGCGGAGCACTCAGGATGGGATTCAGGGAGTTTCTCTGAGAAATTCCACAGGTGTCTGTCCTGCGAGCTGTGCGTTCTGGGCACCGCGTCAAAGTCACTTGTTGAGTCTCTTCCACTCTCTCAACTCGTGGAATTGTGTGCTAATCGTCGCGAAGTGGCGCTGGAGCGATAGATGGGAAGCCGAAGGCGACTCGAAGTGGCCAGAATTGACCAGTTCGTGCACAATTGGCTCTTTTTTGCCCCCTTCCTCACCTAATGACTGGTTCTGTGAGACTCTCTACAGCCAGCAATTAGAAGAGCGAGAGACAATTGTTTGGCGGAAGTGCGGCCGAGGTGCCCTTCAGGAGTCTTTTGGCCCCCTCACGAGCCCTATGATTAAGATATAAATTTTTTTGTCAAGCAGAAAACATTAGTCACATCTCTGATAACGGTGTATTTATTAACTGGTAATTTCTCGGCGCTAATCTCGTGTGCCGTGTTTTTAATCGCTTCTTCGTCAAAATACACTCGCAGCGGCGCAAAAGGTGGTATTGATGAGATGAGAAGACAAATTAACTGGTTTTTTTTGTCGCGATGCGAAAGTGTGAAAAGTCTCGCGAAAAAGGTATTATCTTATCGTGATGCTTCGCTGTACTCGCGATAGGCCTGACAGAGCCGGCGTGCGGCGTCTCGCATGGTGGCCACATTGTGGAACACCACGCAAATCCTCAGGCAGTTCCGGTGGGCATTCGTGGCGGAGAATCGAGGGCCAGCGATGGCGATCACTTTGTGGTGTTCCTGGCAGAACAGATTGAATGCCGTGGCGTCGAAAGAGGCGGGAAATGTGAGCCACACAAAGTATCCTCCCGCCGGTGCAATGAACTTCACTTCGGAGGGCAATTCTCGCTGGAAAATCTCACAAACAGTCTCCATGCGTTCCTTGTAAGCGGCGCGGTAGATGTCCAGTTGGCGCTTAGCCAAGCCCAGCTGCAGAAGGCTCACCACGATTCCTGACGTGTAGTTGTTGAGTGATCCGCCACTCTTGATGATTCCGCTCTGCATGAAGACTTCCTTCACTCTCTTGGGACACTCTATCCAGCCAATCCTGATGCCTGGCGAGAGGATCTTCGAGAAGGAACCATTGGAGATGACATGACCAGCATAATCTTCATCACTGGGATTGTCATAAGCGAACAGTCTCTTCGGACATCCACTGCGATAGTGCAGGAGATTGTAGACATCATCGCAGGAGATGAGAATGCCAAACTCTCGAGCAATTTTCACCAATTCCTGGCACTTCTCCGGCGACATTGTCACTCCTGTGGGATTATGAAATGTCGGTATTGCGTAGTAAATTCCCCAGAAGAGCTTCTTCGGATGTGGTGGGAATTGGTGGAGTTTCACCAGCCTCTTCAGTTCCTCAGTGTCCACACCGTCGTCCAAGAATGGCACAGGAATGATCGTAATCCCTGTGAACTCCTGGAAAGCCTCCAAGGCGATCATATAAGTGACTTCATCGACGAAGATCACGCCATTCATGTCCACCAGGGATGAGAGGATCTGATGCAGACCACTTGTGGCACCGGAAGTCAGCAGTAAGCTGCTCTTCTTCACCTCAGAACCGTATTCGCGAGTCAGGAATCTGCTCAACTCCTCACGGAAGTCATTGATGCCCAGAAGGGGTCCGTATTGAAAGAGGAACGAATTGTTCTCCCTTTCATAGTTCTGTCCGAAACGAGGAGAACAAAAGAGGAAAATTGAGAATCTCTGAAGGACGGAAAAGTGATTTTTCCACTTACCATGCGATGATTTGTAGCCTCCTTGAAGATCTCGCAGCACTGAACGAGGAGATCTGGTCCTGGAGCCCCCACAGACAAGTTGGTAGTCTCCGGATCGTATACGTTGAAATCACTGAAGTCGAATAAGTGCTGCATGTTTCTCTGATGTCTTATACAGTACTACGAGAGGAATCACGAGTTATTGTCCTATTGAGGCAATTATCAGTGTTTATTTTACAAGTTCAGATTTTGCTCTAGTGACGAAAAGTGGTGAGATAATGAAAAATTTTCAGATAGGAAAACAAAAGTACTTCGCAGTGAATGATAACTTGATTCACGGAATGAAATGTGTAATTAGGTTCCCCAGACAATGAGAGAGGTGATGTGAGAGCATAAATTGAACAATTATTCCCTTTTATCTGGTTTTTTTGACCTTTTTTCTGTGATTAATTCGCAATGGTGTGCAGCTTATGCTTCAACTTGGCGGGAATTGTCGGCTTTTGCTTCTTACCCGGTTTGTCGTCAGTTTTCTCCGCAAAGTCGCCGCGTGTGGTGAAGTTAGACAATTTTTATTGCCCAAATACCTGGCCAGGAGGTTTCTCAATAGCATCCCACTCTTTCGTTGTGCTTGATTGAGTGGGAGAAAGTGAAACTGGCCGCTTTCGTGCTTTTGATGCTTTCTCAATACACGTAAAGAAGGCGCGAATGTCAAGACAAAGAGAAACGTCAGAAGAACAATCCGATGGTCAGCCGTGTCCGGACGCTGAATAAATAATAGGTAAAGAGTTTATTGTGATGTCACGGCGTGGAGAATAGTGCAGTGACTCGGCTAATTTGTCTGCATTTCAGTGAACAATGGTGCAGAAGCGACGCTCCATCCATGCCACGGGCCCCACGGGGCAGAACATGAACTTCCGCGGGAGTTCCATCAACGAGGGCCGCGGCGACGCGAAGGGCACTCGCCCCACGACAGCCCCCACGTCCATTCGCGAAGTGCTGACCATGATGGTGCTGTACATCTGCAAGAAAGCCATCTTCTACGACACAAATCTCAAAGTGGCGCTATACTTGGGCAGTCTCTTCCTGGTCTCCCTGATTGGGGACTTCATGCCCTACCCGAGGACGTACTTTGCGCGATCTGACAATCTATTCAACCAGTACTTCGTGAAGATTGGCTGGTTCTGGACAATGATCCTTACGATTCCCTACAGTCTGCTCACTTCCTACGTCGTTTGCTGTGGAGATGCCAAGAGAGTGGTGAGATTGCCTCAAAAGGCAGTGATTTTGAGTGCAGAATGACACATTTCTGTCCTCTGAATTCCAGGTGAAGCACCACATCATCCGGATTGGAATTGCCACAGCGTGCTGGTACGTCTGGACGACGCTCTTCAACGTGATTGAGTCGTCATTTGGTCGCTGCACAGACAAGAGATTCGTAACAAAGTCCTCCTGCCTCAAGGCGGGCTTCCTGTGGAATGGATTCGACATATCAGGACACGCATTCATTCTCATCTACTCCAGTCTCGTTCTGATCGAAGAGGCGCGCACAATCGTGAACTGGGAGTCCATCAAAGAGCACCTCCGCAACGAGGAGCACAATCGAGCCACTGCAGATTCAACAAATGCCCGGAATCCACTGTCGAATCTGAAGGATGACGAATTTGCACGGCTGAACTTTCTCTACACGAGATACACACCGCTAATTCGTCTCCTGTTCGTCGCCATGACTGTCCTGCAGATCCTCTGGGATGTGATGCTGGTCGCCACGATGCTGTACTTCCACAAGATGATCGAGAAGGTGATCAGCGGCATCATTGCCATCCTCATGTGGTTCTTCACGTATCGCTTCTGGTATGCCTCGGCCGTGCTGCCTGATCCCGTGGGCAAGGGCCTGTTCATATATCAGAGGGAGAAAGCTCGTCCGGAGCCAATCCCAATGCGACGAAATCCCAGCGTGGTGATCAATCCAGCCACCGGCAAGCCAATGCCCAGATTCATGGGCATGCCACTGTACACGGGACGTCAGGACGCCAGCATGAGCAATGGACCGAATCCTGAACCAGGACCGAGTCGATTCTGAGGCAAAGAGAGTGCTGTTAATTCTCCCAGAAATCACGGTTGTGCCTTTTTCTCTGGAAAGAATGTAGTTCTCAGACAGTCATCCAACGCGCTTGGAGTGACCATGAGAAATGCATTTCAAGTCTCCGCTCAAGAGATTCCAAGTGCATTTTTCAATGGCTAATCCTCAACATTGACCAACATCGAGTCTCTCTCATGTTCTTCCTGCGATTTCTTTTTAATTTATTTTCTCCTTGGAATGTTGTGTTATCCTTTTGTTACACTTGACTCATGTTCACTGTACAGGAATTTAGGAATAAAGCGATTGTAAGTGGGCACGCGCTGTGATTACTTCCGCATGGCCAGGAGGGCCGCAATGACCGAGGAGGCGCTCAGGAGTCCCACGCCCAGCTTGTAGTTGGCCGGCGTCTTGTTCCACATGGTCCTCAGCGTGGAGATGCGCGACGGAATGGCACTGAGGAAGGATTCACGGGCGTACAGGCGCTGCAGGTATCTCTCCGTGTGTGGCTTCCTGCCGCCTGTCCACAGGTGATCCTCCAGGCCGAGGGAATAGAGTCTGTACAGGAGAATGCCGAGACAGCAGTCGGCAATGGTGAAGTGCGGTGAGCAGAGCCACCAATCCGGATGGGAGCGCAATTCCGCCTCAACTTCAGCCAGAATCTCCTCCAGTCGCTCCAGCAGCTTCACATAGTCTTCCCGCTTGCAGATATTGTCGCGCTTCCGGGCGTAGAAGTCGGACTTGCGTAGGAGCACGTCGGCGTAGATAGGATTGTCTTTGGCATGTCTCTTCAAATTCTCACTCATCACGCGATCTGAGGCTGCAGGACGAGGAAGAGAAAGAGTTAAAGAATAGTAAGCGGAAGTGCACAGATACTCACTGACGAGGGATCTCCTGACGGGCGCAATGAATGGCGGCTTGGGATGCGGCGAGAAGTCCACGTGGATGAAACTGCCCATGCTGATGGTGCCGATGGGGAGTTTGCTGATCAGATTGCTCAGTCGCAGGATCTTCTTCTCCTGCTCTGGCGACAAATCCCGCGGCAGGAGACGCCGATGAGGCTCATGCTGGAAGTTTCTCTCCACGTAGTTGATGATCTGCGCCGATTCCGGCACAACTAGCGAGCCGATCTTCAGCACAGGCACTTCACCCTTGGGATTGAGGTCGAGGAACCATGGTGAATACTGCTCGCCGGCCGCCACATTGACCTCGTACGCGAGGAAGCTGATGTTCTTTTCGTGGAGCACGAGAAGCACCTGCGGAGCATTAAATAATGAGGCGATGAGTGATCGTGGGAGTTACCCAGGCATTTCTCCCGCGAAGGTATATTTTTAGTGTGTTCCTCTTATATTAGAATTTAGACAGTGGAAGCCCGAACAAATGGGTGGTAGAACCTTGAATCACTCTCGCAACTCTCGCGATCTTGCATAATACACGCGATCATATGATCCAGTGATCTTCACTTTTTCCACACCGTGTTTTCAGGTGCATCGCGACTCACTTTCTGGGAATAGAAGCTCTGCGAGTGGTAGAAGAGAACCGGACCCTCGGCCTCGAGTTCTGGGATCTTGCACATGGTCACGGCACTGTCTGGCATTCTCTGGACTCTCTCTCTCTCTCTTGACACTCCCAGGCGAGATCCCGCGGCGCGATGGCGTCCAAGAGCACCGGTGAAGCTGTCGCGACTGAGATTGGTCGTGGATTTGGTGATCGCTGAAGCTCAACGGAGATCACAATCACGTGACGCTGGCGCTCGCGGAGCGATCTTAAATTTCGCTTTCAGTCTCCCGAAGATCGTTCTCGAGGGCGCAGTGAATCTCTCTTGATTTATATGATATGGAAAATTAGGAGGTCTTTTTCTTCACTTGATCAGAGAAGACATTGAATGCAATTTAGCCATTATTATTGCAATTCACGCTGAAATATGCCTTCTGTAAAATCGTCTAATCCAGGAAGGAAAGGAGGGAAAAATGACTATATTGGCAATTTGGCAATGCATTCAGTTTAATTGCTTAATTCTAGGTGTAATTACAAATGGCAAGAAACAACTCTGCATCATGCAATGGGAAAAAAATAATAATCTCACAAATCTCGCTTTCACAGTGAACATGAGATGGTGATAAGAGTGTATTTACACAGTCGGCAGAAGAATGGAGTCTTTATCTTGGTCGAGCGCTTCGCTCGCGCTCCGTCTCAGTCATCGCGATGTCATAGGAAGGCGGAGGATCGAGACCTGCAAGGGATTGTCCAGTGATCAGGCAGTTGAAGTGATGCTAAATCCTCAAAACTCACCTATGATCTGCTCATCCGTGAGTCTCTGCTGTGGCGGATTTCGCGCTCTTCTGGGCTGCATGGATAGATTTTCTGTGGAACGAACGGCGTCTTGTCTCCTTTGGGAGATGACAAAAACTTCTGGATCGTCATCGATTGTCCTGGCTGAGGATCTGCGTGCTCGCTGCACCTGATCTTCCGGCTTCACTAGGCCATCTGCAAGAGTATCAGTTACTGATGGGCAGTGACTAAAGATCGCAATTACATCTTCGCTGTTCCGCTTGATTTGCCTCCGAAACAACCCTCGGACGCTGTCGAGCACTGATGCTGAGCTTCTTCCGCTTGTAAATCAACACAGCCACAATTACAACAATGATGAGAACCACACCGAGAGCCACAAAAACCTCCGCCATTCTCCCGACAAACAGCCAAAACTTGAGTCAAAGCCGCCCTGAAGAGTGGCCAGAATCACTGCCGTTTATCAACATTATCGGCAAAGCTGAGCGATAAGATTGCGAATCATTGATGGGAAATTTGGAAGCCACGCACTGATTCATATCGCACGATTTTGCCAGAAGCCAAAAGACTCTCAATGTTGAGCTCAATAGTTTAAACATATATATTTTGTTTGTTTTGCTTTTCTCTTGTTTTCCTATATACACATCAAAATCTAAGAGTCTCTAGAGTCATATTAATTTAATTTATAAGTTAATGCTGCAATTAATATATAGCTACTCTTTCGAAATGGACAGAAAAGGATCGTGAGTTTGTAAATAAATGCCGTTCTAAACACAAAATTGATGCAAAAAATAAAATAAAATTGGGATGGGATAAAATGATGATAAAGGAATGCGCTCAAGTCTTATTCTTTCAACAGGAAAGAGAAAAATTAAAAAATGGGTAACACAGCCTCTTCGTAAATATCTTCTTTTTTTCACTATCTTCTTTTTGTCTTTGTTGTAAAAATAATTATTTTGTAAAATAGTTTTCTCTGTAGATGAAAATACGAAAATGGTGGAAATGAGATTTGTTATGTGTTTTCTTATTTTTTGTTGTTTTTTTTAGAAGAAAAAGTGTCTTTTAGGCCATTTCCATGTAATACATTCAATTTTTTTTTTAGTACTTAATTCATGTTTTTTTTTCTCACTATTAGACAATATAACATCTCTTTTTTACGCTCTCTTTTAAATGTTCTTTCATCAATATTGAGTTTTACACGCTAGTAAACGATTAAAGTCACAAAACAGATTCAGTGCCTATCTTTTATCAATCCTCTTCTTTATTCTCTCATTTTTTTTAAATGCAAATCTCTTCAATAAGTTTCAATATTTGAATCTATTGAAAAATGAATTTTGTGAGCAATTTGCAAAATGTATAGTTTTGTTAAATATTTTTTCTTCTCTTAAAATGGCAATTTGGCACTTTTAGAGATGTTTTCTTTATCAATAAAACCTTGTTTTCATGAAACGATTTTGAGTTCTTTTCCTGTCTGTGAGCTTTTCTCTCCAATTCCACTCTCGCTCTTCTTCTCTCTCACTCTCCCTCTCTATTTTACTACACAATATCTAAGAAGAGGTAATATTTTTCACCTTGTCTCCGCTTTTCTGAATAACAGACGAGTACAAAAATAACAGCATTTCTCCTCTATTTCTCCTTTAAATATCAATTTTTTTGCTCTTGTTGGGCTTCGGAAAAGTCATTTCTATAGCATTATTTCTTCTCTTTCTATAACAATTATTATTTTTAATGTTTCACATTTATCAATGATTTTTGCTTCTCATTTTTTTTTTGCTAAACGTGAGAGTGAGAGATTTTTGCAACACGTTGAAATATTATTTGTTTTTATACTTTCTTTGAATAAGTCTGAGAAATTTGTTAATACATTTTTTTCTTTTTGTCTCTAGTAAATATTTCCACCCCATTTCTAAATATGAATATTTACATATAATTATTATAAAGATAATAATAACATGTAAAGATAGGAATAAAATTCTGAACTTGAGAAATATTTCAGTAATGATTCTCCACTGGTTTTTTTTTATCTTCTTCTTCATCTTAATGTCCTCTTCACACATCTCAAATATAACACTAATATTGTATTGTCAAGAATGTTTAGATATTACGATTAATTTCTCTTTTAAATTGTAATAGGTAATCAGTTTTAAATAGACATTTTCTTCTATTATCTTTATGTCATCATTTTATTTTGATGTGATCTTAACATTGAAATAAGACTCAATCCTCTTAAAGTGTGACTATTGCATTTAGAGAAAAATAGTTTAAATCTTTACCGTCCGTCAAATCTTCATTCATCAGTTCTTTGCATCATGTAATTTCTCTCTCTCTCTCTCTCTCTCTGTCACTTAACATCTCTGTTATCATTCTTCTGATTATAACAAGAAGTAACCAGAAAGATCCCCAGTCAGAAGCCAAAACACGGGATTTGCGCTTTCTGTCATAAATATTGCATAATATTGTCAATGTAGAATTTATATAGGAGCGAATTTGAAAGACTCTCAATTCAGTGTTCTTCTGAAATACTCTCATCATCATTTTTTTTAAGTACAGTAAATATCACGATAGAGTTTCTCCTCTTTCTCTCTCTCTTCTGTCTCTCTCTTTCTATTCCCGCCACAAGTGAAGAGGTTTTTTCTCTTCTTCTTCTCTACCTTTTTTACTTTTTTGCTGATATGAAAAATGAAAGCTTAGGAATTGCTTGTGATTCACCTTTTTACGTCATCAAAGAAATAAAGTCTTATTAGAGTTTTTTCTTCCTTCTTCTATCATCAATATTAGTTGTGATTACGTGATTTCACGTCATATTCTCTTGTAAACATGAATAACAATTATATTGGGGGAAAAAAGTACCATTCAGCAGATTTTTATCTAATATTTCATTTCATCTTCAACACTAAATGTTTTCTCATCTCCATTTTTTTTTCTTCTCTAAAACACTGTGATTAACTATTTTATGGATGAATCTGTGATTTACTTTCTTTCTTTCATAAATTAATACATCGCATATGCATTTTATTCCACACTAATTGTATCCATTTCATGCATATCAAAAAACTTATTCCACATACGCAAAAAATACTGGAGTTCACGAATAGTCAAAAAGGGAATATATAAACTTACAAAGTAGTGTCATCAGTAAATAGTTAAATATAAATAAAACTGTTGCATGTGTGATCCATGATGAATAATATTGCATTCTTTCAACTTATAAATACCTAAGTTTGTTAAATTTCACCCATTCTATACGGAAGATTATTAAACAAATAAATATAATAGCTGGAATCGTCCAAGTGCTTGAGATTCGCGACTCTGTCTTTTTCTTCTTTTTTTTTAAATCTGCACTTCGGCCGGGCATCAAAAGTAGATCACCTCCTCCTCGGACGCCTGCGGCGGCGGCTCACGGGCGGCGGGACGCGGCGGCGGCTGCGGCGGTGTCGATGGGAGCTGTGCAAACACGGACATACTTCGTTGCTGCTGCACCACCGCAGTCTGACCGGAATTGCTTGTGAAAGCACCATCTGTGCTCCGAAGGCGATGCCTCTCCGGAATCTTGGGATATGTATTCGTCCTGGGCGAGAAAGAGGATTGTGTTATGAAGGCAAACAATCACGTCAAATGCCACTCACTTTAATGCTGGATTGCCGGCATGAGACGCCAATGGTTGCTGAATAACAGCAGGACTGCTTCCCGTGCGTGAATGATTGGAACTCACTGAAGACGTCGCTGGAACCTGCTTGAGAAAGTCCACAAGAAATCAATCAATCAATCAAAACACTCGAATCTCCACAAATGTCTTCACTTACTCTTTTATCAGCTAGTTTTAGTGGAAACATTTGTGTGACATTCGCACTATTGCTACTCGGTGGTGATGTAAGTGCACTACCGGACACGCTTGCCCTCTCCGTGGATGATTTTGTGCTGAAAATGCGTGGGCACACGAGGTTAGATATGTCTATAGCGACTGGCAATAGCACTCGCTCGCAATACCTTGTCACTGAAGATAATTTCAGAGGAAGCTGCTGCTTCACACTCGTCTGGCCACCTTTCTGGGCATTCGTTGCACTGAGCAAATTCACTGGATGTGTCTTGGAAACTGCAAAATACACGAGAATATTTTAATTTCCCAATCAAAGCCAAAAGAAGACATATTGACTCACTGCTTGACGATCTCCACTTGTCCTTGCGACGATCAACGCCGTCAGAATAGCCCTCAGTCTCCTTCCCATGCGGTGTATGTCCATCATCCGGATGATTGACATGCCCTGTAACTGGCAAAGCCATATTGGGCGACAGCAGGATTCCCTGATTCGACAGAACTTCCATTTTCCTGTACAATTGCTCCCGCTGCTGCTTAATATCCTCCTGCTCAGCCCTAATGTGTTCCCACTCCTTCTTCAGCTCATCCTTCTGCTTTTGCTCACGCTCATCCAATTCCGTCACGCGTTGCTTCTCATATCTCATAAATTCTGTCTTCTGCTCCTGCAATTTATCCATCAAATTCCTCACCTCTTCCAGCTGATCATTGTGACGGTACAGATTCTTCGATGTGTCCTTGAAGGACATCAATTGCGCCTGCATCGTCTGAATTGTCGTCATCTGCTGCGTGATGATGCACATAAGTGTGTGCAGATTGTGAGACACTTGAAGAGCGGCAAAATTGTGATCTCTGATCGACACATTCTCACTGCTACACTTGGAATTCTGTGATGCCGGCGATAGAGTACACGAATCCACCTCTGATGTCATTGAGTCTCTCTTCTGACCCATTATCACACCCGTCGGCAGTGTGGACAGCACAGCATCTCGCCACGGATGACTTCCCTGCTTGTTGCGCCTCTCATCGAAGCCCCCAAATGTCTCCGCACGCTTCGGCAGTGTCGGCGAGATGTACATCTCACTCTGCTTCTCACCCACAGAGCTGAACGATCGCGACAGTGGCAATCCTGTGGCGGCAGAATACAGTGTTGCCGCAAGATCACCAATCTCCTGGACTGTGTGCAACACACGCTTCCAAATCTCAATAGTATCACAGTCGTCCGTCACGAGTTCGCGATACGAACCGAAATTGGCGAGAAATTCATCCGCTCCCGGACTCATCTGTCCACTATTCTCACCAATATTCTGACCATCAAGCCACAAACTCATTTGCAATGCGATCTTCTCCTCCAGAATCATTGCCTGCTCCAAATCCTTCTGTCTCAGTTTGTCTGTTTGGATAGAATCAAGAGAAAAAGCACAATTGTTACCATTGAGCGAATATTTTTCCATAAATTCTCTATTTATTCTACTTCACTACTTCAAAATTAGCCCTATTTTTTTGTGTACCTTCAAGCTCACTAGTTCCCATTGCTTTAATTTTGAAAGCGATTTGGAAAGGTGCAAAATGGTAATATTGGTCAAAATGCTGAAGCTCTTTTCCTGATTCATTCAATTTCCAATAATACTCACAGATAATCTCCCTGACATTCGCCTGACGTGCATCAATCAGCTTCTGTTTCTGCTCAACAGTCATATCAGGCTCCAATTCGTCTGACGGACACTCAACAACAGCATCTCTGTTGAACAATACACAATTAGCCCCCAAATCAATTCATCAAACATAATCACAACATTTCACCTTATTTTCTGAATCCACATGTTCTTATCCTTGGGATTTTGTACTTTCAATTCATACATCTCCGGATACGTTGGATTCGAAGAGATTATGTAGATTCCTCGCGATTCAGTGCCAGCCTTCTCGCGAATGAGTAGCTTTTGCAGTGACACAACGCCCGCCTTGTTTTCTGGCGTGAAAAATGTGTACTTGGTGGAATTCTCTTGCAGGAAGAAGAGACAATCCGAGAGAACAACCACCATGACAGTCTGCATCTTGGATCTGCCCTGCATCAGTGTTGCCACACCTTCAAACTTCAGCTTCCTATTGGACACCATCACATTGGACTTCTTGAACTTCTCATCCTTGTACATTGCATATGATTTCGCATCGATCTTCGTGAATATGTTCAATCGACGCTCTTCCATCTCCTTATCAGCCACTCTGGCGTCCACATCCACGAGAATCTCCTTCACCAGTGACATAGCTCTCTCCAGCTTCTGATGCTCAATCCTGTCCTCACGTGAACTCTTCAGCAGCGGATCAATAAGCAGTGGATACTTGGTGAGACGCTGCGTGACAAATAAAATACACTCCGGAATGCCTTTCTTCTTCAGCAGCGGATTCGTCTGACAGTGTTTGTACCACTCAGCAAATGTGTGATCCTCTCTCTGGTAGTACTTCAAGTCCGCCAGTGCCGAACGGTGATTGGAACAGAACTCTCCATAGGCATTCTTCAGCCTCTGTGCCGACGGTCCGGAGAAAAATTCCGTCATGATGTCCACAATGCTGTCCACAATGTGACTCTCGCGCTGCTTCAACTTCAATTTGCGCAGGAAACCCGTGTGAAGCTCTATGAGTTCCGGCAAGCATGGAAACATCCTCTTCAACTTCAGATGGTGATTGAAGTACTTCTCCAGACTGTCCACAAACACCTTCTGCATCACCAGGAGGTTCTGACAGTGCGTCTTCTCCGTCATTATAAACTCATAGATGTGCTCTTGGCGCTTCACCTGCAACACATTCAACAATGAGAATATCACTGAAATTCCAACAATCAATTGTCCAGAGGTTTTACCTGTTTGTCCTTCAGGGACTTCACCACCTCTCGCGGAACACTGGGACTCCACGAGTCAGGCTCATCGATTGTCATCCCAAGAATGGGATCAGCTCCCAAATCATGTGGTCCAATTGGTGGATCGTTGAGGAATTCATCCCGAATCAGAGGCGTTTCATCTGAATAGCTAAAAGAGAAGACAATTGACGTGTTAGTAATTCTCATCGCTGATCTTCTCACACAATATAATAATTCCTCAAAGAACAACCATCTCATCCGAGGATTTCAGGACATTTTGCACTTCTCAGTGATTCTCTTTACTGAACAATAAAAACACTTTGTTAGCAAACTTTTTACCATTCTAAATTCATTATTTTTTGGAGAGAATAGAATGAATACGATTAGAGAAATACTGAGTAAAAGAGAGAGAGAGAGAGAAAGAGAGCTCGAATAGGCTGATGAAGAGTTTCTTGTCACGAGCAATACTCACTTTATATGATCACCGTGGCTATGAGGCTCATAGTAATCTCTCGAGTGGTTGTCTTGATGTGAAGTACCATGGCTAAAGCAAGCAAAAATCAAGAGAGAACAAATTATAACAACTAAAGTCTCTAAAAGAAATTACAGCAAAATAAATTGGCTGGAAAATTAAAGTTCAGTGAATAAAGCGTAAAAGAAAAATGTTGCATTGCTAAAAAAAAAAGCTGGTAAGAAGAGGGAAATAAGAGAGACCAAATTTCGAAGAGAGTTTTTATACACACAAAAGAAGAAGAAATATATAATACGATGTTTCCTTTCATCATTCTAACAACTAGAGAAATTTGGCATGAAACAGTGATAAAAAAACAGTATTTTCTTTCCGATATGCTACAGAAATATATATGAATTCAAAATACAGTAGAAATACAGAATAATGTAGAATTCGATGTATTTGTTGGCTAAAAATAGTGATTTTCTCGCAGAATAGAAGATAGAGAGTGATAGCGAAGAAATGATCATACTACGAAACTACAACAATATTCTCGAATGTAGAGAGAGAGAGCATAAAATCCACAACATGAACGGCAAAATGAAAAGCGACTCAACGTCTATGAAGAAGATTCTCAACAATATATTAATATCAATCATATTATTATTATGATTATAATTATTATTGGACAGGGAGGCAAAGAGAGACTGTCAACAACAGAAATATATATACGAAATATGATCAACAATGAAGACAGCTCATCAACATTTAAGTTAAAGAAGAGAAATCTAACACATGACTCATCACTGGAATGACTTTTCTCAATTAGAAAGAAAAAAAATAAAACAACAATGTGTATTACAGAATTTCCTCAAAGGCTTTTTTTCTCAGCTGTCGAGAGTGAATTTTCTCAAGAGTGTCTCTTTTTTTTCTTGTCTCTTTCGATGTTGCGAACTCACAAGGATTCTTTTAATCAATTGTGAGCCATGTGAAATGCATAAAGAGCCCTCTGAGTGTTATTTTACCTAGCGTGATGATAGACCACGCCTAATTTATAAGCCACCAGCCGCCAAGGAGAGTAGCATCCGATTGATTTTTTGCCGCTTTGGTACGTTTGGAAAAGAAATAAATCAGAGAGAGAGAATTTTGTTGTTTCTGTCCATAAATTGCAAATTAACCAGAACATGTTCATGTGTTTTTTTCTTCTTGCCCTCTTCCCTATTCTTTTTTTTTCATTCATATTCATATATTTCTTATATATTGTAACTCTACTGAAAACATAACATAAACTGTTGTGTGCTTTTCCCTGGTTGGTTGTGTTAACTTCTTCACTCTCAATTACTTAACTCTCATTGTTTGTTGAGTCTTTTGCAATTTTTCTCTACACCCTTTTTCCCTCTTCTCCTCCACCTTTTCGACGCGTTACGACGTTTGCCTCAAACTTGAATTTTACACACAGATTGGATGAATTGAAGAATCATATTCACTGTGTATATATTTGTCTGTTTAATGCTTCTTTTTCTTTCATTCTGTTCCTTCTTGTTTTCAGATTTCTTTTTTGTGTTATTTTTTTTGCGAAAAAAAACATAAGAATAACATAAAAATTCCACACAGTGTAATTAACGATTAATGTTTCAAATAACAAGACACATTTAAAATATATAAATCGCCAGAGACGAATTTTTTTCTTTCTTCTCCTTTTTGTGCAAAAACCAACAATATCATTTCTCAATTTGATAATGTCGTTTTAGAGATTACAGAGATCAAAATCAAAGGTATATTCTAAATATATAAAAAAAATAATAATATTCACTCAAACATAGTCAGTTTATATCTGTATATGAAGCAATGCAAGCATCTAAGGTAGCAATAATTAAAGAATATATCAATGCTCTTGTGTGTTATTTCAAAATAAAGTACAAAATTCATCATCATTTCTCTTATAATTGCATTTAATATGAAAAAATATATATAATAAAAAAGATAATAGAGAATAAAAATCGTGCAAATCTGCACGACACTTGCAATTAGTGAAATAAATTATAAAACTTACTTTCACATCATCATTTTCATATCTTTTTCTTTTCATCTTCTTCTTCTTCTCAATTACTCTTTTACACACACTATTTGCTTCTCTTCTATTTTCTCTCATCTTTCCTCCCTCAAAACTTTGACATTCCCACACACATTAAATGCAACCTTTCATTGGCACTTTATTTGTATATCAGCTTTTTTTTGAGGATATCAATGAAACCTTCACCATAATCTATACAAGAGAGGAAAAGAAAAAAAACCTTAAAATACCTGTTTGACGATGATTTCTTGCCCGATCCAGACTTTCCAGCATGTTGACTCTTGGCTAACTTTGCCTTGCACTCAATTGCGTGCTCCTTGTAGGACGACAGATTGATGACAGCGCCACAAACTTGAATATTTCAATTGAACATCAGTCAAACGACAATCCATTACACCAAGGGGGAGATAAATAGCCAAAAATGGTGTACTTGAAAATATTCCACTCCTAAGTTCTTCTTTTGTGAATCAGTAATTTTGAATTCATTGCCAATTCATGAAAGATGATTTTGTGATCTGGAAAGCTTCCAAACGGAGGCTTGGAAGATCTTTTTAGTTTTTTTTAGGTTATGGTCGGAAAAAAGTGTCCAAAAAAGCATATTTACATGGATTCTTGCGGAAATATCGTGTAGGAACTTAAGAGATTCATTATAATTTGTGAATTAATGTGAAAACAATCTAAAAACTTCAAGTGCTGCACATTGTGTACAGATTTAAGACATATTATCTCCTCCTTGCATTACACTGGCTGTGCATCGTCACTCACCATCACAGTTGGTTGACTGACCCTTCGCCTTGGCCTTGTCCTTCTTCTTGCGGAAAAACAGTGATCCTCTCTTTCGACGCTTTTCCGGATGATCAGCATACACTTCGCTGTTTCGAAGACACACCAGAAAAATCAATTAGCCACACTTCACAACACATCGCATTTCGATCTCATTCCTAAGCTATATATTTCGTAATACAAAAACATCTACATTAAAAGAGAGAACAAAAAAGATTACACAAACATTCGAGGTTTTGGGCGTGGACAAAAATTAGCAGGTGCTAAGCTAATGAGAGCAAATTCTGCACATTTCAGCAGAACTTCTTCACTATCTTCTGTAAATTGTGTGTGCGTGTGATTTTGTGTGAATTAATTTTGTGTGCAAATATTTTTCAAAGAAAATAAATAGAATAATACTAAATCCATACTTCCACATCTTCTCTACAATCTTCTTCATCTTCATCTTCTTCTTCCTCACCAACAGACTGTAAAAGAAAAGAGTGCGTTTTGCTGCTCTCACAACTTACTTCTTATCTCGTACACTAAGCAAAGATCTATCGTCCTGATTCTCATCCTCACTGTCAGAAAGGTGCCGTGATCTAGCAATAAAATACACAATTCAAAGAGCAACGGTACGTATAAAAAACAACAACAACAAAAACACATAATGTACAAATGCATAAAATCTCAATGAATTGGCAAAAGAGTTAAACAAACTGTGTTGTCTTTGTGTGTTATTAGTAAGAAAAAAAATGTAGTCAAATTGCAAATTTTTATCTCATGAGAAATCATCTGAAAAACATCACATTTGCGTTCTCATATTATTATTTGTTTTTTTGCAAGTACATTTCAAGTCAATTTGCATGACGCGCGCTCCATAATTGTAACATTCCTCTTTCTGTGGAGTTTAAATTGTGTGAATTCAGATGATTTCACGTATTTCTCAGGAGAGAAGTGGCGAGAAAAAGCGCCACTCTTGCTGCCAATTAAAGCTTTCACGGTTAAATTCTTTTAGCGATACCACGCCAATCATGCGCCCAAAAAAAACCACAGAGGCCAGAAGCCATACACTATCACAAAAATGTGATAAAAAGAAAGAACCGAGCATGGCATGAAATTGGTGCCTCTTTCTTCATCATCACTTCTCTCCTCTTGAGCAGCCTTCTTCTAATTCAATTAAATTCCTCAGAGATCAGCAGGTGAAAAGATATAAAAAATTGTACATGGATAAGCTTCCAGAACGCATTCGCCAGGTGGATTAATATAAGAAAACGCAAGAGCCAAACGCAAGAACTCTGTGTGGTGTAAAATCCAACCAACCCCCGGAGGCACTTCACTTACGTCGGAACTGTTTTCTCCTCTTTGGCATTTTGATTCCTGACAGGAGCAATTGATGGTGTTGAGATGCTCTTTTGCAGCGGAATGCGACAGATGATGGGCGCCAAATTGCGCTTCGCCAGGATCCTCTCAAAGTCTCGCTGGAAAAAATAAAAATACAAGATAAAAAGTACCATTCTTCACCCCCCCAAAATATGTAAGTCAAAAGAAAACTCACAGCAAGTTCCGCTTCATTGAGAGAATGAGTCGAAATGCCTCCTGCACTGTTTCTACTGGAGCGATTGTGGAGTCGCTCAGCCGCCCTCAAGCTCTCTTCGCTGTCCACACTCGACAAGCTAGCACTGAAAGACATCACACCTCTTTGTCATCTTACACTCTCTTCTTCTCTCCATACCCAAAAACACCCAGAGAGACACTTTTCCCCCTTGCGCCAAAGCACTTCTTCGAGAGTCTCAAAGGAATTCCATGAAATTCATATCAAATTACCAAACATTTTGGAACACATTGAAAAGTGAGTGAATGCTTTGTGAGGTAATTCAACACCGTGAGCCAGCTGTCTCACATCGTGGAAATTCCTTCATGAGAGAAGTCAACAATTGACCGAATTTAATCACCACACATGTAAATTTCAATGTACACTCGTCGCAAGACACTTTTTTCGAGCGGAGAGAAGAGTGAAGGAAAAAAAACTCCACTCCCACTGGTTGATTGTGTAACAATCATCATTTTTGAATCCACTCTTTCCCAACACCTCTCTTTTTTTCCAGCGAAAGCGAAAGGGGACACACACATTCTGAGGCATTGGACAATTGTTGTACATTACTTGAGAATTAAGAGTTAATTTCTTTACCCAAAAATCCCACCATGATTCGCTAATTGCACTCAAGATAATCCCTCTTATTTGTTCTCAAGGAATGAGATAATCTCTCCCTCCTACGCACATTCTGCCAAAAGGATTAAATGAACTACCCACTAATTAACAGGATAATTATGTCTTTAGGAGAGAAAATACCCCAACGAAATTCTCCCCATTTTACCTCTTGTTTGAACTCTTTGCACACTCCGTGAGATCTTCAATGGCTGTCCATGATTTTCGCCTGTCCGTATTCAGTCCATACATTGCAGTCTGCGCTGGCCACATGTTACCACCGCTGGCATTGGGAGCCATCGAGAGGTCGGGCAGTGATGGACATGACGAGAACAGTCTTGAAGAGTGCATCTGAAGGACAGATCCAATTATACCTCTGATCTCAACTGCACAATCATCACGAAGGGTGAATCGAAAATGCATAAAACGCCTCTTTGAGACATAATTTTAGATCTTCAGAATTATCCTTAAAGGTTTTTAGATTTTGAATGTATTGAAATGTTGATAAAATATACTAAAAGACTGTTAAAAATCAACTTTGGAAACTAATATTTTCAGCATTTTATTAACTTTGCCATATTTCAGTCCCAAATTTCAATAAATACCAATAAAATCAACTGAAATATTTACAAAATAATTATAACAGAGCAATTGGAAGGTGTTTTGAGGGTTTTCAAGTAATTTGGACAAATTTCTCAACGATATTCGAGCTAAATTTTCAATTTTCTCCCCTAAAAAGTGACTAAATTGACTTTTCATCATTTTCTATTCACCCGTCGATGATTGTAAAACAATAAAAAGAAACTTTACCAATGAATTGGCAAAATGTGCTGCACCAAAGTTCTGATTGTGAATCCCTGGATTCTTCATCTGCATCAGACTCTCCCTTATGCATTGCAATTGATTCAGAGGATCCTCTGCAAGTGATCACAAAAGGGGTTAATTAAGGACTTTTATACAAATCTCTCATTCCAAGTGTCTAAACTCACCCAAAATTCCACTGTATTTTGCACCTGGACTGTGCGGCGTCACACTTATTATGGGAACCATGTTGTTATTCAAGTTGTTCTTAATTCTTACGGAACACTTGCTCTGTCCAGAAGTGGCTTTCACTTGAACACCACTATTCACTTCCTGTGCCTGCGTCGTCTCCACATCTTTGTTCATACTCAAATAATCCACCACGAGATCTACATCGCTGTCATCATCTGTTGAGAAACACAAGTCAACGTATATCAGTCAGTGTTTAGTTCGTCTTCGCGATCAGAGCGCATTGGCAAAAGGAGAAGAGAGTGTTAGTGTGTCTAATGCTAGAAATATCGATGTGTTATTATATTGCATAATTGATAAGGAATAGTATCACACAAACATTTAACTGTTGCTGCATTCCAAACACACTCCGAAATATTTGCTAAAGACTCTTTTCTTACACAAACAAGAGAAGAAAAAGGCGGCCTTTGTTGAGATAACACAAAATTCTATCACTGACATTCCGACACTCTGGAATGGCAGGAAAAGAAGACACGCCAAGATATTATAGTGTAAAACTGGTAAACACTGGAAATACTGCTTCGGAAATTGAAAACTCTCAAGAGCAATAAATATTGTGTATATTGGAAAAGTGGAGGTGAGAGAAAGAAGTAGAAAAAAAACCCAGTGAGGAAACAAATATGACCAACTTTTCATGCTAATATTTGTCTCCATACAAACTCGTCAGACACGCTTCACCACGCAAAATAGCCTTGAACTTGGCGAGCGCGCAATCATGCAAGAAAGTCCACGTGCTTTTGCCCGACCAATTGACCAGCCAATTAATTCAGGAATTTATCTTGTATCTCGATCTCAACCTTCGGAAAAATGCAACATAAGCCACAAACACACGCGCGGAGCAACAACATGAAATTCTTCACTCCAGCATTTTATTTGTCCCACTAAAAATCAATATACAACAATTGAGTGGCACAAAACGAGTTAAATTCTTCTCAAAAGTGCAAAAGAAATGCTCTTGTGTGTGCGCTCAACTTGATGGATGAATATTAATAAATTGGTGAACAGAGAGAGACAGAGAAAAAGAAACGGAAAATGCGACATGTTTGGAATATTGACGAAATCTCAACATTTTAATCGATGAATTAAATCATCAACTTATCATCGTTCACCATGCTTTTACAGTTATTGTTTATTAAGTAAGCCAACAGACCTCCTTGACTTTGTGGTGTGAGAAATTTACATTTTCCAAACGGCTCCGTCTGAATTTCGATTAAACCACTTGATCAACGCATAGAAGAAAAAGTGTTGACGATAAGCTGTGTCAGTCTAGAAGATGAAAATTAAACTCTGCAACACAGCAACAACAATAACAATCTTTTGATACTCATTCAACCAAACAACTCTCCCAGGGTAAATGAATGTAATTCACATTTAATTGAGATCACAGTGGAAACTGTGAAGATGTAATTACAGAATCGCGGCGAATGAGAGGGCAAAAGAGGCCACTTGGCGCCGCGTCGACTTGCATCTTTTCACATCTGTGAACAATTGCTGAATGGAGTGGAAGAAGAAATTTTCCTGGTCAATTAACATGAAATTGTCTCACATCGTTCTCACCAATTCTCTCCATTTTAAACTGTGAAAATCACGACAGTGAGTGGCAAGAGATTGTCCAAATTCAGGTCAGTCACTACACTCGAGGATCCCCTGATGGATGTTGTTGTCCAGCTCACTAGCCCAGAGAGTGATAGGCAATCGACCCATATTCATCAACACTGTGCAACTGTGCGCCACACTGTCGGGGAATTTCTCTCATGGATCTCAAGACACGACCTCCAAAGTCCCCCCAATGCATCAGCACTACTCTCTGCTCCTCTTTTGCCATGCAGAGAGAGAGACCAACATTGAGCCGTGCGGAGGCGGATAATACACCTCAAGATCAGAATCATCAAAACACCGCGAGACACTCGACTTTGCCGTGTGCATTTGAATTGAATGGCGTCCCCGTTATGATTATCCAACATTGGGGTTTTATCGCTGCCACGCACAAGTGGAGTGAAAAAAAGAAGAAGTGACGAGAAGAGAGGACCAACAATGAGCCTCGACATACCATAAGAGTGCTTGTAATAAAAATTATATTCTTGGCGCGCTTCTTTGGTGGAAAAATTGCGCGGGTGTCATTGACTGTGAGCCGGAAGTTAAGTTCTCTCTTGCCATTCTGCCACTGGAAAAGGTCACCTGTGAAACACTCCTTGTGCTCTCTTCATTGTTTTCCCCACAACGACACCATCAACACACAGTTCCAATGCTCAAAGTTCATCACACAAGTTTTCCGTCTTTTCATCTCAATTGCATGAGAAAACAAAGAACTTGCGACAATCTTATCAAGAGTCTCTCTCCCTCTTTCGTCTAAAGCAAACACTTTCTTGAAGATGAGAACAAAGAGACACACTCAAATTAATCACTATAAGAAAAACTCTGGCATTTTCAAGTCTGCAAAATTTTCCATCTCCGGATATCCTCTCCATTTCCCTCGCTAAGAAAAAGCGTCCTCACCCAGCAGGAAAAACTCTCTCCATCTCATTCTCTCATCCTGTCTTTCGGCAGAGCTTTTCCCACTCTTCGCACTCACGTCAACAGCCGAACACACAGAGAGAAAAGACGAAGGAGAAGAATTAGGAGTGAAATTCAATCTGCACACACTCAATTTGAAGGATGAGTTTGAAGAGCGGGTGAAGAGTGTCTCAAGATGATTTTCCTGCTGTCTCTGTGGCGTGTTCTCATCACCAACTCGTCCCCCTTTTCCGTGCCAGCAGAGAAGGAAATCAATAACAGTGGAAGTGATTCTACCCTGTGGGCGAGTAAACGAGAACACCTTTTCTGGGTGTTTGTAAACAAAAGACAGGCAACTCTATATTTCAAAAATTCCCCCAAACCACTTCTCCCTGCCCAAAGAGATGTCCAGTGACATGGTCCAATTATTCACAATTCCCTCTCACACAGGCATTCTCAGAAAAAGATCCACAGTACCTGTTGAATCCTCCCAGCCACCCATTCTGGCCACCATTTCACCAGTGTCGCCACAGCGAGAGCAAAATCGATGAAGGACACACACAATTTTGCACCATTAAATCCGCAAAAAAGGTGGTCAAGGTAACGCAAATCCCGGAACACGTCATGAAAAAGGATTCTCTCTCTCGCGCAAATCAATGCTGATAATAAACTTTTTGACGATGCCACAAGTGCAATCAATACGCGCTGTTCATTACTAATAAAATTTCCTGCAATCGCGTGGGAAATATAAGAGAAAAGGAACTGCATTATAACCATTATAACCGGGTATAAATCAGGAAAATTGGATAATGCGAAGGATAAATGATGATAATAATGATTGTCATGGACAGTGAGTTCTTTTGTAATGCAATAAAAACACATTTTCAGGTCTGTTTTTGACTTTCACTTAAAGAACTCTCTTTTAATCTGAATAACTTCACAAATTGCGATCGATTCGAAATAGACCCTCTCTTCTCTATAACTGCAATAAACCTCCTCAGAAGTTACATAAAAATAGTAATAATAATCTTGCCATTATTATTTATGTTTCATCGCTCGAGCATCGGTTTCTGATAACCATATGCTTTTCAATTATTATTGTTGTGCAAATATCGAAGTGTTGGGTTTCGAAAAATCCAATACGATTTCTTAATCATCCCAGATTACTCGATGGCAAAGGAATGTGAAAAATCTTATAATGGAAAATTGACCAAGGATTTGACCTACAACTCGTCAATCATTTGTAGCAATCAAAAGGGAGAGAATTTGTCTGCTATTTTCCAACACTCTCAAACACAGCAACACACAAAAAAATAACAATCTTAATTTATTCTCAAGCAGTGAATAATTTCTCGGTTTCTTGACCACGACAGTTCCGCCAGCAAACAGAGCCACACACTCATTACAATCCGGAGACGCTGTTGAGGACGGGCGCCCCCATTGTCTCTGCCTTTTGCTGGCACAAAGTGAAAGAAAGCCCATTAGTGCAATTTCCTCCCTTTTCAAGGACCTTTTCACACACACACACACACTCGAGATCTTATCCAACACGGAACTCCAGCGTGAGGCCATTTGAATAAGTTTCTGCCTTGCGCCCAATCATCAATCATCGAGCCACCCAATCAGTCGTTGTGGTGATTGATAAAAAAGCGATTCCAGAAGCACCCTCAATTACATCACTCGCCCTGCGACCGCCACCAGAAAGAGAGGAGAGTTAGAGAATAAATACCTGAGGACATTTGGACCAAGCGCTCCGTGGAAAACATCTTCTCGGCTGCTTGGCGAGGCGTCGGAATGTTTGGGGTGGGAATGTGGAAAATTCACTGAAATGCCTCCTGATTAATTAGAACACCTGTTCGCCCAACCCCTGGCGCTCTCTCTTACGCACAATCCAGTCTCTGTCACTCTATTTTTATCCTGTTCCGCCAGCCACGGCGGAAGTGGGGGCCGTGGGGGTGCGACACCTTTCCGTTTCGATGCCTCTCGCGCGCCACCACCACCCGGACAGCGCCCGGAACGCCGTGTGCGAGTGACTGCCACTCACAGTGACTTCCCGTGGGAGTCCCACCGTGGGGAGCACCTGGAGTGCCTCTATTGTGCACTAAAACAGTTAAAATTACATAATTAACCGCGAATGGGGGGCCATTGTTTACGGAGAGAGAAAGAGAGAGAATTCAGCCGATCGCAGCGCCCCTGGTGGCACGCTGGGGCGGCCTCCAGTGAATTTTCCCGAATTTCCCAATCCCACACGTGAAAACCCGTCTCCTTGGCCCTATTACGGGGGTGAAAAATTGGGGAAAATTCACGGACTGGAAAACCCCTCACTGGCCCTGCCAAAGCCCATCAATTGCAACGACCCACTGGCGACAACCTGTGGATTTTTCCCAGCCACTTTTCACCCCAAACGCACCATTCACTGAGGGTACTCCACCCGTAATCGCTTCACTGGACCTCCAGGTACACTTTCCACCACTTTTCACACGCGACGAGGCATTTTCTCCTGCTGAAAATCGCACTTTTCTGCACTGACGACGACCACTACTCTGCCACCGCTTGAAGTTGGCCTACAGTGGTGGGGATGATGGAATTCACCTCTTTGGGGGCCAAGAAGACACGCCCGCCCTCTGCCGGTGGCCACTGGATAACTTTCAAAAATGAGTCAAGTAACGTCCTCAAGTGCAAAAGTATTTGGCGCTGATAATAAAAAATCGAAAAGCAATTGAAAGTGATGTAATTTAATGGCACTGTGTCAATTCCATGCTAAACTGTGTATAGACAGTGCAAAAAGTTTGCCAATCTCAAGCGCAGAGTCAGTCGGTTTATCGCTAGTCAAAACAATAAACATAAAGAATTCCGCATGGAATTCGGCCTAAGCATGCCCTAGTAGCCAATTCCCACACATTGTATCACTCATCATGATTCACCCATGCCGGTAGTGCATGGCGGGGGCGAGAGTTCACGCGCGAAATCGCGGCACAGAGCGAAAGGGAAGCGTTTTGCTTGGCAACACTCTCTATCATGGTTTATGTAATGGTTACTTTTTGTCGCTCTTTCTGCGCTTAAAAAATCCCCTTTCACTGCCACAATTCGCTCTCAAGAGCATTCAATGTTTTTTTTGCCAGGCAATTGGGATGCAAAGAGTCGCAATTGCGGCTCTCAAGTTCATCGTGTTGCTTTATTTCCGTCCACCAGGAGTTGAGTTGTAATGTTTGGGTTGCAACTTTTGACTTTGCAGAGAAAGGATTTATCAGCATACACCGGATGAAGGTGGGAAACTGGGACTTCCGCCAACAGGAAAATGTGTGGCACATTGATTGGCCATTATCAAATTCTGATTTTATCGACTCTCCGTGCAGAATTCCATTGAGGGGAAAGCGTACAGTTCTCTAGTAGATTTCCTCACCCTTGAAGTGGGGCTTTATCAGTGTTTGAACTCTGTCACTGATTTCCCAGACTCGGCGGAATATTGCAATCAAGCGCGGATCTTATCTCTCAATTCTCCACAGATGAAACATAAAATGAGACTCGCTGCAGACGAATGCTCGGGCACGTGATGTGACCATGATAATTCAATCTATAGCAAATATTTTCTACATCAATCTGTTTTATTTCAGCAAACCCAGCGATTTAAATCTGTCAGGCTGTTTTTACGCGAGGATTAATGTACTCGGCGTGAAGAATTGTTGTTTTCGGGGCGCCTTTTGCCGCGAAACATGGGATGCAAGCTCGTCACGAGGTCAAGAACTTATCATTTTTGGGTCAGCGATTACCCTGAAGATGTGCTATTATCTGTTTTTTGGACAAACATGTCTTCAGACTGTCTCTAAAGAAGGGAGAGAACGTCAGGAGGTGTGGCAGGACAGCAAGAGAGAAAATAAACAATTAAAGTTTCACTTCGGCGTGCTTTTCATCTGTCGCCTGTCTTGCAAACGATGCAAAAGTTCCAATAAATTGGAAAAGGAAACATAATTAACAACTCAAGCAAAACGTATAAATTTTCATAAAATTAAATATTGTAATTCAGTCTAAAATTACACAAGATTCTCATCAGTTTATTCCATAAATTAATTGCATCTCTAGAAAAAGAAAGAAGAGCGAGATTTTCTTAATAAATCGCAGCGAGATGTTGTGTAAGATTTCCATTGAGCCACAGTCGGAGTAATTAAATTATAGCATAGCAAGCTAGAAATCACATTAACCATTTCGCTGATAAGGTCATTTTTTGTAAATTGCTTTCTTCACGTCGCCTTTTTTAAGCTTGGACATAAAGTCATAAAAGAAAAGTGATAATGTTGAAATTAAAAGTCTATATTTCAACAGATATCAGTGTCTGTCGGATTCTGTCGGGCTTCAGTTGAATCTCATCTCTCGACCGTGAAAGTTGAGCTCTGTGTGGCTTCTCAACTCATCAAATCCGCCTTCGGAGGATGATATTGTGATTTTTCCGTTGCGGGATTTTATCAATTGAATACAATAAAAGTGTGGCAAACAGGATGTCTTCAGTGCAGGATAAATTTCCTACCTTTGAGAAGAAGATCCCCATCAAGAGATCAACTTCCTTCCAGCGTCTAAAGTGCTCTGCAGTTCTGCAATTTCAAGTTGCAGGTCAGTGGATTCACGGGGGCGGAAGACGAATGGTCGAAATTAGCATATTGACTTGATTTATAGGTTCGAAATTCAAAAAGGAGGCTCTTCGGACGCACCTGGAGAAGCTCATTAACTACTCAAGGGAGGTTCTGCAGAAAACCTACGCCACTCTCTCAACTCAAGCCTTCAAGCTCATCTGTGCGGTTGTTTTATGGATTCTCGACTCCTTCGCGAAGCACCTCAACCTCCGGATTCCCGACGTGAGTATTTGGCGAAGCAGTGGAGTCTCGTGCATTTCCTCCCTAATGAGGTGACTTACCCCCATTCAGTGTGTCCTCGTCAATTGGCTGCTCCCGCAGTGGAGTGCCGAGGGTGCGGATGAATTATTGAGGAGGCCGCCTCAGGGGGCGCCCCAGCCTGCCGAGGATGCCAAGTTGAAACACTTTTTGCCACACACCACATCACAATCCGAGCCAAGAGACACCAAAGCCACCCCTCAGCTGCGGAGCATGATTTATGGTGGAGCTGCACTTGCCTGCCTTGAGTTCTTGACTCTCATCCTCCTGCTGAGAGCATCCCAAATCCCGCCAGGACTCATCTTCCTGCTCTCCTGCGTCGCACTCATTGGAAGTCTCCTCCTCCTGGTGAGTGTTTCACCCAAAAGACTTCACACTCAGCCACTCATGCTTGAATCTCCCTTCTGCAGATTTCCGCCAGGACGTCCATTCTGAGATCAAAGTCCCTCGCAAAGTTCATGCCACAGATGCCCGTGTTGCCGGACAGGACGCACACCAGATTGAGTCGGATGCGAAACAAGACGTGCTACTTGAACCTCACTGATAAGTCACTTAGTAAGATTAAGCTGCTCTGATTTGGTCTATTTCAATCACTTCAATATAAATTATTCTCCCTGCCTTTATCTCTATGGGTGGCTTTTTTTCGGGTTTCATGCCTTTTTTGCAGTGGCTCGCTTGTGCTCAGAAATGTGATTATTGTACTGTGATGCAGTGATGACTATTTTTTTTTAAAGAAAGAAAAAACACTGGTGCAGAAATAAAAGCAGTTGGACGGATTATCCCATCCTCTTAGTTACTAACAGTCGTGTGTCTTTCTTTTCATCGTATTCATGCCAGTGGAAAAATTTATGACTCAGCTGCAGGTCAACCCTCATCTGGTATTTAAATGCGTAAAGAATGGCGTAGAAATTGTGCGAAGATTAGTTTCTCAGCTGAAAAGTGATGCATTGTTTGTCTTGTGCATTTAGAAGAAGACTTAGAGATTTTCCATGTGTCCTTTTATTCATTTTTAATAGCATTTCCTTCAACAAATAATCTTACGTCATTAAAAATGCAGGTTTGTGTACACAAAATGCTTGAAGAATATTCAGCATGTGAGCTTTCACCAGGCGTCTCCACTTGCCTCAAATTCACTGCAACACAAATCAATCGGCGTCTGCTCAACATCATGGTGTAGTTTATTGGGCGAAGCCACGTAATTTATCACCATTCGCTGCTATTTCACGATTTTTGGCACAATTTTCCTCAAGACCATGACGTATTAAAATAATACGGCTTTTCCTCACACTTTCCCCACGTGTTCTCTCGCCCGCTCTCCATGCGTCTCTCAGTGACGGGCTTTCCTCGCAAGGCTTCTCCACACTATGCCAGTGGTCGTGAGAGAGGAAAAGCCGACCGAACGAGACACGACGCCACGTCCCGACGCAGCCATCAGTAGACGTTGGATTTCCCGGTGTAAGTTGCTTCAGTCGATGTCGAGTCGCTGAATGGGAAATGGACATGTTGCACGAGCGTGAATTTTTTATCACCTTATCACACATCTAAGTGCATTCTCACTCGCGAAGTGATGCTTCTGTGATTGTTGTTTTGTGACATCCTGAGTTTGTTCAGTTTTCTGGGACGACTTTCGCCCGACTGTCCTTTATTGTCCCCCCGGATTAGTTTCATTATATAGTAGTGATATTGAAAAATATAGTGTGTGCGTGTGTATTGTGTGTGGGAAGTGCAGTTTTTGACATCCATCGGAATTTATGGGTGTCGATAGTGAACATAATTTATAGATCACCATCAAAATATTTGAGGTGTTTCTGAGCTGTATATTTTACACCCAGCGCTTTCACCCGCATTGCTACCCTTTATTGTGGCACAATAGGCGCTCTATTACCTAGAAATCTTTCAAAGTTCTCTGATGTGGTGATTAATGTCGGTAGATTTCACACAAAAGCTCTTCCAGCGAACCGAAATTGCGAGGTTTAAAAGTCATACAATAATAACATAGGCAAATATTTGCCAAAACTTTCTATTCAGCCACTATGTGCCTCTCCATCTGCTGTGGGTGGATCATGAATCCTGCCATTGGATTGAGACGTTAATTTATTTATTGTCACCAATGCGAATCGAATTTCTCCCTCCGTGTGTTTTTGCCTTTCATGTGACATTTTAATGTGAACTGCGAGGAGAGAAATTGGCTCAATACTTCTCCTATGACGCCGCAAAAATATTCCACGTCTTTTTCTCAGCTCCTTTTTTTTCTTGCTTGCGCCACGTCTTCTATAGCGACAGACATACACAAGAAAAAGAAGTTCACCCGTGACGAAAAAGTTGTTTGAATAGTGAAGAAAAAAAGGCCCCGCCGAAGGAGTGCGGAAAAGAAAAGAAACAAAATTATATTTGACCTTTTCCCTGTTGTGTGCCATGTAATATTCACCTGCGTGCGAAGATTCACCTACATTCAATAAGTCCTTCGTACACGGTGCGCCAATTTACGCCAAACACTCATAAACTCCCTCCGCCGATATTCTCTGTTTACACGAAAATCATCTTGTTTATATAAGACAACACTCTCGCGAATCAAACTCTTACCCAACTCCATTTGGGTGGGTCTCACACTGAGATCTCCCGACATGAATTTACACCTGTCGCTAATTATTTCTGGCTTTTTTGCACTCCATTCCCACGGCGAATGTCGCTCTTGGGGCGTATTAATAGGTCGGCTTGAGTGTTTGTTGCAGATTTTCTGGCCATCGAGACTTGCGGAGGAGGGTGAAATTCCCAACTCTAATCTCGCCACGTTGAGCTTTCACAGCCTAGCGAATGTATTTTGGAAGAAATCTTCCCTTTGCCGCTGAAATGTTCTGATTATTCCGTGGAATTGAATTAATTGAAAACACCCAGTTTTATATAAATTCTCTCAAATGTGTGGGTTTAATTAAGGAAAACATACAGTTTTTGAGAGAATTGCCTCTGGTTATTAGACCAATTCAGAGTGTCTCTTTTGTGAATGAGTTGCTGATTTTTTGACATTTTCCTGGCTCTTTGGCATTTCCTCTCTTCGTCATTAAAATATCTCCTCTGCAGAGCGGTTGTTGTTGAACTGCCAACAGTTCTTGATGGTTCTATGGCCAGATCAAATGAAATGATGGGTAAAATGCGCCCTTTTTCTCTGCCATTATGATGAAAAGTTCATTTTTCCATTTCATTAAGTGCACAAGAGGAAGTGCAGTAAAAGAGCGGCGTATAGGGAATTGTGGAGCGGAATTTAGTGCGGCTTTTGGCCGTACTTTATAGAGCCATGCTTCCTTTTTCAGAGTGGGAAAAATTTCACAAGAAAGAGAGAGAGAGAGTGAAATAAAAAGTTGTCTTTCTCGCATATCCCTCCGGTTTTCTCGTCCCGAACACACTCCGGAGTATAAATATAATATTGCACACAAGAGGGAAAATGGTGTTGGGCCAGGAGTGGAAGGAGTGTTAGGCAAAAACAATAAATTCTCCACTAACTTTACATGTGTTTTATGTACACACGACGTCTTACATTTTATATACTTTCTGGGGTGTTGTATACGAGCCTTTTAACGAGCAAATCAATACGTGAATGTTTGGGATTTTCCCGGCTCAGAAAATCTTCCACATGTCGCATCTCTCTTTGTTTCCCACCGCCAAACACGAAATGAGGACTTTTCTCTGCATAGGAAAGACATTCTCAAATGATGAAATGTCTATTTGTCGAGGCCTCTCCCTTCATAAATATTGATTCCAAGTGGAGACTCTTCAGCACAATAACAACTACGAACGTGGTATAGGTCAAGAATCCACCGGGGATCCATGCACTTTCAGCTACACGCTTCGATTCACCAGCACAACCGCCGAATCCCACGAAGAGCGCGCCTTTGTGGAAATGCTGTTGCCTCACTTTAATCCCACACGCCATTTACCCCGGAATTTGCTCTCAACATCCAAAGAGAGCAACAGAGTTCAAAGAGAATTCAGCGTCAGTTCATAAATTACTCCACTTCTGCAAGACAACCTAATGACTCAGTCGGAAACTCTAGAATAGATAGCTTAAATAATTCTGTTTGGACAAAAGGATGTTGAGCAAATGTCTCTAGTTTAACAAATGATTCTGACACTTTTATCCCTTTTTCCAAATTGGATTTTTCACCCACAAAAGTCTCCCGAGAGATTCTAACCTTGGTAAAAAATACATTAATATTCATAGAATAAAATGGTTTGTATTGCATGAATATTGAAGAAAAAATCCACATTTGAGAATCCAAAGAATAAGCAACAAAAGTGCACTTTGGAGAGCGATTGTGTTGAATTACTTACAGGAAGAAGCTCTTTATTGAGGCTTTATCTCTATGACTTCTGATCGTGCCAAATAATGTTTGAAGTCGGGAATTTAATAACGTGTCTTCCTGGAGAACACTTTCATGACTTTCCCCCAAAATTCAATTTTCATATTTGTTGACTCTTCACTTGAGTGCCTTTTCCAAATGACTTTTCGATATCCTTGGTGTGTGCTTGGAGTATCTCTATCGCCGTGAGTGATATTGGGACGGAATCACGAGGAAGTTTTCGTCCCTTTTCTCCTCGCCGCACCCGAAACTCTGACTCTCAATGTTTAGACTTAGAAGTGTATATTGAATGTTCAGCTGTCGCTTCTGTTGAAACCCTTGCGAGACTTTGACCTCCTCCATGTGTCTTTGGAGAGTGAGAGAGATATTGTGGTTTATATGCGGAGAAAATTCACTCCACATGTGCTGTGAATTCACAGAATTCCACTGATAGACAGGGAGAAACTTTCGCTTCGGCAGCAGATTGTCTTCCCTGGAATTTATTTACTCAGTCCGGAGCCAGATTGAATTTTGCCTCCTCGTGAGTCAGGGAGCTTTCTCTGACCTCTTCAGTGCGCATTGGGCTGAGGGTGATTAAAGACCTGTGACTCATTCAAGTGACGGCGAAGCATTGACAGAATCTTCTCATCGTCAGAAAGCCCGAAGAGCCGCAATTCTCATTGAGCTGTGCTGAGAGAGGAGTTCACCAGGCATTGGACTGATGGCTCAGCTGTCGATGGCGCCGTGCCAAGAATTCATTCCGTCAATTTTGAGGTCATGGTAATTTTGATATACTTTTTCTCGCATCATCGAAAAAAGATAATCTCCAACAGACACAACTCGCCCATATTTTTTACGTTTAATCATCCTCACTCGTCGCCCTCGGAGTCGTCCAACAGAATTACTGCCTGTTTATCACTATACGATAATTCTCAAGTTCTCACCATCGAAAAAACACAAACGGCAGAAGTGATTGATGTTTGCAGGAATACAAGTCGTTGGCATCGGTGGTCTGTTTTCGGTTGGCAGGACCTTTATTTGCTTACTCTCTCGCTAAGGCGCGCCTTTTGATCTGATGATGTTGTCATCAATTCAATTTTCCCCATTTCGCCAGACATGAACTTTCTTGGGTGACGCTAAATTGGAAATTCAATCACACTCGCTGTTCTCGCTGTCTTCGATAGCTGCATGAACAGAGCCTGACGAGCTAAATCCCTTGAAAGGTAGTAGGAATGCACGTTTCGCTTCACCAACGAACATTTCTCGAGTCAATTTTATATCCAACATCGTTCAAAATATATGAGTTTGCGGAAGAGTAGAATTTGACAGTTGGAACGCAATACAGAACGGAAGTCTAAACTTGAAATTGCTGATAAAATTATCGTGATAACACACAGTTTTTTTTTGGGAAGTGGCCAATTGGAAATAGTTTCTGCTACTATTAATTTTATTGTCCGTCTCTACAAATTGTATTAGTTCTGTGAAGTGTCAATATTTTTTATTTTCCTTACAATACTAATAAAATCCAGAAGGAATCACAGAGTTTAAATTGAAACCATTTCTTCTATACATATAAATATAATTGTGAGAAAACACATGAGCATTGTGTTGAGTATTGTATCCTTGGCGCCATACATCCTTTTTGCTCGCTTATTGCGAGAAGAGGGACTGATGCAGTTGAACTATTCAATAACTCTCCATATAGAAGTTATGCAGAAAAAGCAGGAGATTAAGTGGAGGCGCCTGGTGAAAGCTCTTCTCTCTTAGCATGATATTCCATCCCTTGGAGATGTTGTTCTTTGTCTACCGCCAGTGGTGTTCGCAATCCATTAAACAATTTCATATCGTCTGTTCCTCCCATCAACCTCATTACCCTATTGTAGAACCTAAAGAGCACGTAGAGCTGAGTTCCATCAATCCTTGCTCTGCACTTTACATTAACGAAGAAAAATCAATTTAACATTGACAGGTTCTGAAGAGAGAGCTTGGAAATATGATGAGGTGAAACTAAAGAGACCCTAGAATTATATTTAGTAAGATAAAATAATATATCACAGTGGAAAGATGGTGCTTCTCAAGTGTACTAAATAGCCTAGCTGTGTAGTGGATACTGCAAGTTTTATTTGCCTTGCCGTGACGCCTTTCGTACAAGTTCTAAAGCGACCGGATCCAGCAACAGTGGATTCCAGTGATTCTACTATCGGATAGTTCCAGTCCTCGTTCAATATGCCAGTGAGACGAGGCCATGTCGCCCCCAAGACCACCCTCATTGAGACCATCATTCGGAAATTTGATACACATAGTAAGTATGCTTCCTTTGTGAACGCCGCGCCTCCGCGGCAATGCAATTAATTATGATTCCCGAACGGATGGAGTCACTTTGCAGTACATCGCGACTTCCTGGCAATTCCCTAAGTTGTGGGAGAGGCGAAAAGTTGAAATTTAAGCGCCACCCAATGTGACACAGAAAAGCATTTCGCCCGTGCATTCAAATGTCCTCCTCGTGGGTATCGATTGGCAAAAGTTTTACAATTAACTTTGAGAATTACGCTCCCCTGTAAATTATTATAAAGTCGCGGCGGTAATTTGCAACACGCACGTGAATTTATGGAAATCCGCGTTCTCTTGGCGCAGTCTGGAGACCTATAAAGAGAGTGGCGGAATGCCTTGTCGTGGGGTTCTTTTTGTGACTCACTTCTTGGACGCGGCTTGTTTATTAGCCTAAGCAATTTTCAGCGAAATACACTCTTGTGTTGGGAGACTTTTGCCGTAAAGCCACACAAATGCCACTCAGAGTGAAAAATCAGGTGGAAAAGTGGCCCATTTTCATTATGTATTCAGAAATGTTCTGACATTTGTGAGACTTTTGGCAAATAAACACTCAAGTGAGAGAGAAAGAGTCTTGCAAAATTCCTTTTTCCTCCCCCGCATATTCTGCTGGGGGTTAATTATTTCCTCCTTCTGTCTCTCATCGTTTTCCAATATCCGCCAATTGCGCTGAAAATGTCCTGATTCACGAGGGTGAAATTAATCAAAAACCCATAGAAAATAATTTACAAGAACGAAAACCCCTTTGTGCACAGGAAGTTCTATTTTTTCCCTCCACAGAAACACCGAGGGTGGGTCAACACCCAGTCTAACCCTTTTCCTATTGATGGCATTTTTCTGGGCGGAAGTAAAATATACTCCACTGGGTGAAATAATTGTCAATGGCATGTGAATAAATTGAAATTCCCCATTTTAGCATATTGTTTATTTATCGAGGCACTATTTGTGAATATTTTTCCTCTTAATAAATCCACGCTGGACGAATAATTCACTGACAAAGAGCACTGTTGACTTATTCGTTTTGTGATTGTGACATTTTTATTTATTTAATAACTGCAGCATTTTTTTGTTATACTTTGCCCAACATGAGTTGAATCTTTAATCACTTTGCTGTGATCAAATCCGATTGTCCCGAAAGAACTATTTTTTATTATTAGTTCCTATGACTAAAACAGGACATGAATATTGCAGAGAGACGCAAAAATTATCATGTAAAAAGCGTATGGTTTATTAAACATCATTATTATTATTCAAGACATAAATCAAAGTCTTTTTTAGCATTTAAACCATACAGAAATGTCTGCCAATTTTCAACTTATTTATACTCCGCAGCATTTCATTCAATCACTATGTTATAAGAACAATGTTGCAAAGATTAAAGCTTCGCAGAATTCCTTTTCACAACTCTTAACCCATTTACGACATTGATGAATTTGCCAATTCTTGCCTTTTGACTCTATTTTCAAAATGATTGTATAACCCAGAGTCCATAAAATATAGTATTAAAGTTGGTGTAGTAAATTTATATTAAATGTACATCAATATTGAATATGAGCGTGAATAAGTAAAAAGGAAGTAATTGAGGGAGGAATAAATGGAATTTATTATAATAAAACAAAATCCACCCCATTTCCATGAAGGATGTGAATTTATTGATTTACGCTTCCTATGAGAAATGCAGTTCTATTTCCCATAGAGAGAGCATTGTGTTCGTGGGGTCTTCAATTAAATGCCTCTCAATTGTGTATTCTGTAAGGACTCATAGTATAGTACATTAATGCCAGTGATTATGGAAAATTGAGGAATCTGCCCTCCGGGAAATTGGATTATTAACTACACCGCCGCAATTGTGTTCATTGCTACGCCCTTGGACAATGAATTTTCCCCGCCAGAGACAGAACATTTCCCAGTCATTTGTAGCTCCTGAAGGAGAGTGAAAAAGCTCAGAGAATGTGGTGAAGAATGGGCACAAACAATTGCCTCTTTTAACTGCAAAAGTGAGTGAAAAAAGTCAAGTTTTCGTGACAGAATTATTGATTAACCGATCGTGGCAGTTTCCTCTTCATGTCTGCACTGGTCAGGCAATGTTTTTACAGTGGCGCTTCGCTCAACATTCAACAGACAGAAGCTTTCCCCCTTTGTGCAGCGAAAGTTTTTCCTCCACGTCACGTGAAAGCTTCACGTGAAAAGTGGGATTTGGTGTTATGTAACAAATATAGGGTGAAGAATTTATAATATATATTTTCTCATCATCACGCGACCCTGAAAATTACATACAATTGCATTTTTTTAATCAAATGTATTGCAAACACAGCTCGAGAGGTGACTCAATATGGTAATTATGCAGTTAAATTTGAGTCACTTTTTCGTGTAGTTGCCGTTTGTAAAATTGGCGGGAAGGAAAGTGTGGCGAAAAAGGAAGAAAAATGCCACTTTCATTGACCGAGAAACCCCATTAAAAAAGGCAGAACGCAGAACGGTGGCACGAGAGAAGCATTTTTTGGCAAATGAACGAATAATTTTGCTGACGAATTTAGCACTAATTAATTTAAACGCGAAATGCAAAAAAGCCAGCAATAAATTTTCCTTTAACACGATTGTCATCTTATAGTATAACATTCGAAACTCTAACTGGCTTATCTTTATCAGTTCACAAAATGTCCCTTTTCGCTTGACACAATTGAATTAATCTAATGATTAGAGCGTGAGCGAATATAATGCTGCTTTTCAATTCATTTGAGCATACAATTTATGGCACCAAGAGAGTTGGGTGACCGTATTTGTTCCACTTTTGAGAAGCACAGTTTTCATATAGCGTACAATTTAATGAAACAAACCGCGCACAAGAGAACATTGAAATAAATTGCGCTGCATTTCATGCAAATCGGTCATCTGTTTTCATCGTCCGAGAGTCTTGAGCTTTTCAAGCACCTCTAAATGGTCATTTTTATTGCGCCAATAGCAATAATAATGTGCTCAATTCCAACAATAGTTGTTACACTAGATGAATTGCTGCGGCGGTAAATTTGTCTGGCATTTCAAAGAGAGAGGGAGAAAGAGAGAGCATGGAAATTGGGGGGAAAAGTACACTTTACTGCATGGATGTAAATAAATTTCTTATATCCATAATTTTCCCTCTTTGAGATTGTCTTGCAGCCTCATTCATAATGTCGTACATATGTTTCTCCTCCTCCTCCTCCTCCTCCTCCTCCTCCTCCTCCTCCTCCTCCTCCTCCTCCTCCTCCGGGAGAGTTAATTGCGAAGGAGATATTTTTAGTCCAATCACCCAGATCTTCCTCACCTCTCGCAGCATCTTCAGACGCGCACTTCTTTTCTTGATACTGGGACAGGTTAATTCTGTATTCTTATCTAACAGGGAGTCATTATGGGGCTATTTTGGCAGACAGGCAAGTGAGATGTGCCACGTGGATGACTTCAATGTCCCATTTGGAGCGCCCAGAGCGAGTATTGTACTTCTGTCTAGGCGCGAAAAACTTTTCTCAATGGATGCTGAGAGTGGGCGGAAAAATGGAAGAATAAAGGGGACACTTGTTGCTGCCCCAATTTAATTGAGCCCTGTTGCTCCTCCGAACTGTAATAATTTGTCATCTTTCCCATCAGGCGAGACAAAGTGAATTGTCTCATCGCCACAGAGTGACGCCCACAGAAGATTGATTTTCACCACAGAGTGCCCATCTCGCCAGCCACCTCCGGAGAGAGAGGCGTATTGGAAATGTTTACAGCGCCGAGTTGAAACGATAATCGCTTAATTGATTGGAATCATTTGTTTGTTTTACATGGCCAGCAGAGTGGCTGAAGTGGTTTGGGAATTGCTTATTGCTTCTATATCCAATTTGTGAAATGCCAATTCACAACTCGGCTCAATAGTTCTCATCTTTTTCCTATCATCCGCTCCAATTGGACTCCATTAAAATCCATGAATTAACTTGATCACCCACACTTCACCACTCAATATTCCACTGATGCGTAAGTGTCGAAGAGCTGCGCGTGTTTATTTTACCCAAGGGGGAGATATTTTGGTCACAAGTGGTGTACAGATCAGCAGAAGTGCTAAGAAGTTGATGTAATTGAATATTTGCAATGTTAGACGTTTAAGAGCTTCTTTCAAACTAAATGAAATCGCAATGCTTTGAGTATTTTTACAGTATTTTCTTCAATAAAAAATCTAATTTCTTGTCTTCTTACGACCTAAATTTGAGGTTATGACACTTTAAGGCGGTTGGAAAAATCTATGAAGTTCGGAAAGTTAAGGAAAACGCATGTTTTAAGCACTGCCAAAGTTCTGAAAGTGTTTGTGAGTCTCCACGGAAGTATTAGCCGTATTATCTCCCCCTTGATTTCACCGAATCCGCGTTTCATCATCGCAGACAAATGCTCAATATTGGAAAATTTACTTTAACAGAATACTTCATTACATTTAATCGGGGAAAATTACTGTATTTCAGAGACAGTGCGAAGTGAATTCCACACTGAATGGATAAAGTTATTTGGAGAGAAAGAGAAAAATGCACACAGATTTTCCGAGAATCCTTGCCAATCTCGAAGTTTTTCCAGTGCAATGTTCAGAAATAGAATAATAAATACGCCACCAACAGTGTGGTTGTTCTGTTAATCTCCTCAGCAAAGTCAGACACACAGTTGGAAGTTGTTCGGGGTTGAACCTTAAAGTTCACTGTCACAGAAATTTACAATGAGAGAGAGGCAAAAGGTGCAAATTACGTCCAACACATTAGAGAAAATTTATTTTCTCTTGGCACAACAATTCATTTTAAAAGGCACTTTGTGGTAATTCATTTTGTCTATCCATGTTTTCTTCATGAAAAATTTGCATTTCACCCATTAATCTCTTTGGAAATTTGTGAAGGCGAACATTTTCTCGCTAAATAATACTCTTCAATTTTCCCGCAAAGTGAAAAGGCACAATATATAAACAGACACATGTATTTGCGGCGCTGGCATTGAAAGCTCCACGACAATAAGGGCCAGCAATAAACATTGTCCCGGTGTTGATTAAAAAGTCAATTATGTTATCAGAAACATCTCTTCGAGGCTATGCTTTTGCATGGCAATTTTCCATATAAGCTGAAATAGATTGTCAATACTAGTAATTGGGAAATTGAACTCTATGCAATCATTGTTGCCGATCTATTGCCTTTCGAAACCCCATTAAATTTTCGATATTGTGTAAAATAAAGGACGGCACTTCACACGAATGAATTTGGCAGATGCAGAGGAAGCAAAATAAAAAAAAACTACTGGGAAACTCAAATAGAAAAGGGGGGGGGGAATTAAATATTTGGGGAAGTGTTTTTTTTCGACATGTACTGGAGAATATTGTGTTTGAATTTGCATGTGAAATTGTACGATATCCTTGAATAATTCACGAAGTTATTGGGCATGATTTTCGGCGTGCAGAATGTGTCCAGTTGAATTCACGTGGGAAAATTACCGCGCGAGAGTGCACATAGTAATTGCAGAATATTTCCACATTTCCCACCCCCAGATCGGAGCTTTCTCGTTGCGAACGCCCTGCCGGACAGCCATCACATCATCTTCTGTTCGGATGGCTTCTGCAAGATGACCGGCTACACCAGGGCCGAGGTGATGCAGCGATCGGCCAGCACTGAATTTCTCCATGGACCAATGACATCGCAATTGGCTGTGAATCTGGTGCGGGAGGCCCTGCAGAAGGGTTATGAGAAGCACTTTGAGATACTCTACTACCGGAAAAACGGTGAGTTGCGCCCCCCACACCCCCACCAACCCCTCTGTGCCACCTCAATTTTTCATGATGATTGCCAAAAGCGAAGAAGAAAACTCAAAATTGGATTTTCACCCACAACGCCGGGCCTCGCCTCCGTAATTACGACGCTTTTGGGGTATCTATACAACCGGGCGCATCATGAATGGAAAATGAACAGGAACCAAATTTCTCTGCTCCGAAGTAATTGCACCAATCCGTTCCGAGGCTGACGATATTTCCCTCTACATTATTAATTTCGAAGACTTAACATTGCCACAGCAGAATGAATCTCTCGAAACACGTTTTAGCAAATGTAAGCAAGAATACCTGCACATGTTCTGCCCCCCAAATCCACCCCATTTTCACGCTCACCTCTCCACCCCGCAGTCGACAGAGCACGTGCCAGCTTCAGGCAATCTCTCAAGTTCGGCAGCATGGGCATCCGCGATCGGGGTCTCAGGCTTGCCGGCTACCTCACGCCTCCGTCGGATGTTACGCAGGAGGAGGAGGAAATCCACGAGAAGTAAGCACATCTCGCTCCACCCCCTGAATAATTGCCACTCCGCCGACTTTCGACAGTTTGCACTGCTCTTTTCAAAGTCATTGGCTTTTCATTTGATGGGGTGTGGCAGTGGAAATGCACCCCCGGAATGGGGTGGAAAAGTTTTAGAAACAATTGCAATGACTTTTACAGACACTCTGTTTGCTTGGGAAAGTTCTGTGTGCGTTGCAGAGTTTTTATTCCAATATCTCAGAAACTAAAACCCTTCTGGTCATCATGTTATTGGTCAAAATACATTTTATCTGCCGCACCCCACGTTTCTCACCCAGAAGACGCTTAAAGCGCAAACCAAGGAGCGGATATTATGGTCAGAAGTGGTGTACAGCTTTAAAGGAAGTGTTTGGAATTGGAAGTGGTAAAATTGAGACATTTTCATAGTTATTCTGTTCAGAAAAAAAATCAATTTTATTGTTTTTCTAGGTTGTGTGACTAATTTAAGACCGATTTAAGGACACTTCGATTAGTTTTTACAATCTGAAATCTAAGTATTTGAAGAGCTTTAACTTTTTGAGACGACAGAAATCGGGATTAGATTGTCATAAGTTAGAAATTAGTGCAAAGAAACAGTTGAAGGAGTCATAAAAGCGATAGGAAATGCCTCGAAAGGCATTCAGAAGTATCTGAAATTTTTGCACAGAATCTGTGGAAGTGTCAGAAAGTGGTGTACAGATTTCAGTCACACTATCTTCCGCTTGGCTTTAAGTGCAAACAGCTCGAAGGGGATGGAGTGCAAGGCCTCGGGGAGTGGAAAATCACTATGATTCACGCGCGAGGGTGGCTCATGGGGGACCATTTTGCAGCGCTTCGCAGCCCGAGCAGCTGGCAAAGGCGGAGAGCACGTCGGTGTGGAGTCCCATGTCGACCCCAACGCTAATTAGGACAAATGAAGTGGCGGACAAGAGGGTCGGCGAGTCGGTGGTGCTGGAGGAGCTCAAAGTCGATAGTCCCATGAAGGTGTGTCATCAGGCGAGCACGGGTGGCGTGAAAGTGCCGTGCCACGGGCTACAGAGAGCCATTTATCAGATTGAATCGATATCATTCCAGAGGGTGACACCCGACTCGCGAAATAAGAGCGATGTGGGACAGACAAAGAGCTGGGACTTTGAGCATCAGGCCAAGTGTAAGTTTTTCCACCTCCCCAAAAAGAAATGTGTTGCATCTGTGCAGAATTTAGAGAAAGCGTTCCACTTTTACATGTGACTTTCCTTTCTAACATGAAGAAACTTGTCAGTGTTTAACAAGAAATGTTACCAGTGTTTAGTTGTTTATCTCTTCTGTTTCTCTCTTACCAGACTTGTATACTTCTTTCGACTCTTTGTACTCTTTCTCACTCTCTCTCTCTCTCTGTCTGTCTCTGTCTCCGGTACATGTGTAAACTGATGATGCCTGAACGTGTGCTGTGTGCGCCCTCCTCGTGAGACACCCTGGCCACGTTTGCTCCTGCGCCAGGACAGAAGCCAAGAATCAAACCGAGCAGTGCCACTTGTTTGTGTACTTTCGCGCCCCTCCTCGAGCTTTCGTGACAGAGCTTTCGAGCTGCCACATGAGAGCCATGACGCGAACATTTTACCAGAAGATATATATCTCACAATGGGGGCACACACAGCCACAAGTGAATCCCCATCAGAGGAACAATTTATAATTTATTCAGTTGATACAAGCTCTTTCAGTTCAATTATCTCTTGTGTTTCCTTCACACACCCCATTGAAATCCTTTGTTGTGTAACCCAGAATGAAAAATTGATAATCAACACCAGGCTGGGGATCAAATCTCACGGAGATGCTCCCAACTTGAGCAATTTACCCAGAAAATTCAATTTGGATGAGCGTCACTTTCATTTTCCCAATATTGGGCGGAGTTTTATGGGTTAATTCGAGGCTTTTGTGCCACAAGAAATACAATGTCGATCCGTGAGTTTTGATCCCCAATTTCTCTGTACAGATAAAAAAAAAGAAATGAACCACAACTTTTCTGATCATGAAATTTAATTATGTGAATTTTTATTGAATTGATTAAATGAGTGTGCATTCTTTATCATTGTCAAAAGAAAAAAATCCTCTTTTGTGTTTGCCAATTGTATGTCATTTAGATCCTGACCAAAAACTAATCCAGGTCTATGAAAGTAACCTAAAGAACTGTCGCGGCCTCATTCAGAAGCGAGCACATACAATCGACGACTTTATGAAAGGTATGTGATGACTGCCCTGTTAGTTATGAAGAACAGAAAACAAACTTCACTTTTTCTCACTTTTGATTTATACTTTCCTTAGTGGAAGAGAAAAATTTATCACCAGTATATTGGGTTTTCTTTTCCTCTTCATTCACGCTTCCCCTTGATTTCACTCACAATAAATATATATAGTATTTCGTTTTCTCATTCTTCACTTCTCACCTGACACTTGGAGGGTCTCTCTATAAATTTTATTCTTTATGACACCTATAAAGTTGCTAATGGCACGAAAATATGGTTTTCTTTCTCGCTACTTCATATTCACAGAGAATGATAATTCTATTGATTGGGCCAATCAATTCGTCATTGCTGGTGCTCAAAACCCTAAATTCTCGTGCATACAGAGGAGAAAGAGCGGAAAAATTATCAATTTCTCTGCGAAAGCTCAGTATCTTTTATAGTGTTTCAGTTCTTGTTTTCTATTCTCAATTACAATTAACAATAATCTGCGCCTCTTGGGGAGATTCTCCCCCAGACAAATCCAGTAGTAGATAATGTGTAATGTGCTAGTTATCTATCCTGTCTCGCAATCTCACCTCCAAAAGCCTGGAGAAGTGAGGTAAAATCATCTTCAGAAATCACTGACAAAGGCCGAGGTAAGTGGTCGGTGTTGTATTTTCGTAGATGTCCAAATCGACTTTTTTTTCTCTCTCTCAAATTTATCCTTTCCTTCGTTCTCACACAAAGTGTTGGCTTTCTTTAGTCATTGTTTATTCGAATGAGCTTTCTGGCTATTGTCAACTTTTTTTATTCTCCAAACACAGCGATGTTGGCGGAAGGTTGGTGTGCAGAAATGCTCTACAGTGTTTCTCTCTCATGGATTTTTAGGCACCACAGGACACTCATCGAGGCAATATTTTCCTTATGTCTCGTCCGAGAGTGACTTGCAGCGCTACAAGGCGATATCCTTTCGGCACAGCTCATGCCACGAGCCTCGCTCGAGCTCATCCTTATCAAATGTGCCTTCCGACGTGAAATCAGACAGAATAAAGGTACGCGCGATTCTTGAGGACTCATCAGCGGTCTAACTCTTCCTCTTTCTCTTCCTTCTGCAGGACAATGGGTCAGCCAATTACTTCCAAGGAACTCGTCACACGTCGCCAAACATGGGCGAAAAGGTGGCTCAGGTGAGTTGAATTATAATCTGGGAAATTTTGCGGCAAATTGACACGAGCTCATTTGGCAAAATTGCCCACAAATTCATCTCCTAATTTAATTGATCTCTGGCCATGTGCAAAATAGAGAACAATCGCCATTCTGTGCACATAAAACAATAATAAACACTGTGAAACTTTCCCTTTTCCTCCCTCCATGTCACACACGGCTTCCCGTGAAGGAGAGATAAATGGGCGGAAATGGGAAATTCACATGCAATTTTCACTCAAACCGTATAGAGTGGGCAGATGTAAATCATTTGGGCTTGGTGGCACGACGCTTTTTGCACCCTTATGCAACTCAAGTTTATGCCCTCCCCAATGGACACAGTGTTGCAATGGTTTGACGACATGTGTGGCATGAAAAAGTCCTGGGAACGGACGCAGAAACACATCAAGTCCGCAGGATAATAAATTAAATGAGAATTACCAACCAGTAAATACCAGTAAAATGCGAAGGGTGGCGAAGCTTTAGACAAAGAACTATGCGCGTGCTTCGAGGGTTGATGGCAATTTTTTTTACATCGTGGCCCAAAGAAAGCTCCACAATCTTGTTTCATCAACAATTGGCAACTGTTGGCGGGAAAGTTCATTTCCACGGGGAAAAATAACTCCCGACCGCGGGGAATCTCGAGCTTGCAGTTATTTCGTTGAAAATAAGATGTTTTCAGTGTTGAGATTGTTTAAAATTCCAATACTTCCGAATAAAGTCATCTCGTGTCCCTGGAATTTTTTGATATCGTAAAATTTTATTAGCAACTCCCATGGAGAGAGTCCAGAGTGAAGCCGTTCAATGATTTCAAGCATGATTTTAGGCATCTTCTATTATTCCAAGGGTAAATCAGAGATTTTACCCTCCAAAAATATTTCCGAAAGCATGGAAAAGCTGTTAAAATTCCTGAAATATCCCGAGGGTTTCCCTTCGAATTAATTTAACGCTCACGCTATATGAAAACTTAACAATTGACACACATTTCGAGAGTCATTACGAAACTCTCAATCAATTTGGGGCTTCCAAGAAGAACCGAAACAGAAATTCCTCAAAATATATTCGCATGCTAAAAATGCTGTAAATGTAGAAAACTTCCTCGGCTAAGCCGGAAAGGTGTGTGGCAGTGATACGAGTGTGTGCTAATATTATTGTTTTCACGAGGCGGGGTGAATGTTTTTTCGCCACTGTCCACGAAATCGCGTGCTAGATAGTCATTTCGCCATCAATCGATACCTGCACATGACCTGCCGCTGTCCACGTGAAAACTTAACCCATTGCGATCCCGATCGGACGATAATCATCCTGATGGTCCCTAATTTATTGGCGTTATGCAATGAGATTGTGCACCTGGTCACACAGATTGCCGAGGCTGCGAGAATATGTGGCGTTTGGTGGGAAAGCTCTCGGGCGCTCTCTCGTCGTGGGTGGGCTTTCGACTGTGCTCTCAGAGAGCGGCTCTCTCGAGGGGTTCATTATCGGCGAGGGCGGCGTGTGTTGGTGAGCGTGTCTCCTTTACATAGTACCTATTTAGTTGGGGAGCAGCAAAGAGAGGGAATCAGTGCAATTGAGTCAGTCGGCGGGACAACATCTGGCCCGAGTCGCGCTGGTGAAGTGTGATAATTGTGCTGTGGCGGGTGATGGGTGTTCCGTTGGACCATGTCTGACGTGGGTGACCTGCAGCCGTCGAGCAGCTATATTGAGCTCAGTGAGATCCGCCGTCTGGATCATCTGCTCACGCAGTGCGAGACCAGCAGTTGTGAGCACATTTGCCGCGACTGCTGCGCGAAGCTGGGCAGCCTGGAGGATTGCGATCAGGTGGAAGATGAGGTGGCCTCGCCGGACGTGGTTCAGACGCCGCGTCGTCACCAGGCGTCTCCACGTCTGACGCCGCTCGCCAAGTGTGTCTGCGGCACGTCTGAGCGGAGGCTTCGCCCGAAGCTGTCCGAGCGGGAAGCAGTCACGTGCAGTGATTCTGAGAATGTCACCACGACAATCAATTGTCGCAAGAGGCACCTCCAGCATCGCCATCATTCCGAGGAGGCGCCCAAGAAGCCCCCAAATCTCACCGTGAATCGCACCGCCACCGTCTTCGTGTGCGACAACTGCGAGCGAGCTCCCCTGACCGAGAGTCGACGGAAGAAGTCCATGTTCGCGCGGGGATTCAATCTCAGCGGCAAACAGTGTTCCCTCAATGAGAACAATGTGATCGCCTTCTCGCGCAAGTACTCGAGTGAGCAGAGTCTCAGGGAAACGGCCATTGGGATGATCAGCGCCGCTGAGGAGTCCGCCAAAGGACGGCCCAAGTTCTCGCCTCAGGTCATGGCCAGGAGGATATCCATGAAAGTCACGGAGGAGCTGGCCGAGATCTCCACGAGTGGCGCCAAGGAGGCACTTCTTGGAGCGCGCTTTGGCAGTCTTCACGAGAAGAAGCTTCCCGAACCTGTTGAAACAGTACGTGAAACTTGCCCTTGTCCATTCTCCGCTCACGAAACTATCAATGCGAATATCATTGAAATTCAAATGGCTCTTCGAGTTCTTGTGCTTTATCTAATTCCACAAAACTGTGCACAATTTATAGGACAGCAGAAGAAACTCAGTGCATCATCAGTACCCGTATTTTCGCATTTTAACTGAATTATAGTCTTTGCATTCCTACAAAACTGCAAGTCTTGGACTTGAAGGCAACGAAATTATCTACAAATAATGACAATTTATTTCGCACATCCTGGGCGGATGTATAATTTGACTGCACAGTCTGTAGGGTGAATAAGTAGCTTGTGAATATCACAGAATTCGATGGGAAGCTCATAAATAATCCCAAATTATTCCTATATAAATTTTCACAATGCACGAGAAGTGCAAATTTCATGGTAAAATTCTCAGGAAGTTATAAGTTATAGAGAAGGATCTGAGCGGAAATATATAATCTCCTGGTGCATTTGCGACTTGCGATAGAAAAGGTATTGTTGTTCTTTGATGTATGAGACAACTGTGAGATGATTCGGATCCATTTGCGAAATTAAAATCTCAAAAGTCAACCGAAGAGTGGGAGATATTGACAAGAAATGAGCGAACAGCCAGGGAGTGTTGTTCAATTAGCTAATATTATGTGCAGCGATGGACAGTCTATGTAAATGACGTGCATGAAGTGGAGTGTTCTTTAACAATTGATTTGATATGGCCAGATTTTGGGACAATTGACGAATCAATGCTGGACTAACACTGTGACAATCGTCGAAGCAATTCAATATTGGGCCACGAGATGATTTCAAATTATTTGGCAATGTCGCACACATTTCAAATGTGTTGGTTAGTGTTTTTTGTCCATCCTACAATACCAATGCCTCATTCGACCCTCCTTTGCCCACCCCCTTGGCCGTAAGCCAAAGTTGTTTTTGAAAAATTACTCACATTAATTCTCTCCTGCTTGTTTGGTACTTTTCCTGCCGAAAAATTCATTCTCTTTCCTCTTCTAGATGGAATATGGAAAAGTGTCTCTTGATTCACTGTCATTTATCTGTGACGTCCATCAAACTCTTCCCTCCACATTGTCCAGGGGGATTGAATTAAAACTCACCACGGGTGGGGGAGACAGAAGAGAAAGAAATTTCCCAGAAATGTTACATAAAAGAGCGGTCAGAGAGATCGGCAAAAAGAGAGCAATAACTCGGTGATGTTGGAGAGAACATGGTTGGTGTTGGCGCATGTTGAAAGCGCGCGCGACAGAGGAAAGAAGAAAAAAAAGCCAAAGGGTAAAAACCGCCAATTAAGGGGCTTATCACTGTTTCGAAGCATCCACTTGAGTATTCTCATTAAATTATTTCTACCCAGATGGAAATTAAACTTGAAATCTCCCTCCTGTTTATCCTTAATTCACTTGACCTTTTTCCCTCTCTTTCTCTCTGGCTCAATGGCAAAGATATTTTGTATGTTTGTAACATCTTTTATGGCGAACGATTTGTAAGAATTGTCTTTTGCAAAAAGTTCCCCAGCTTTCTGCAAACTTAAAACTTCTCAAGGAGTGCGACAGCATATCAACCTCAATAAATTCGAAGACTCTGTATTACACCTCTTGTTCCTTTTTATGTCTCGACCAATATTCTCAATTTATGGCTTAAAGTTCACCCCCAAATATGCGGTGGAGAAACTTTTAAAGAACAATATAAAATTAAGTAGTAGAACTGATGGCGATTCCATCGTTCATGCCGAAATCCTTAACTCATTCATGTTATAACTTGGAACTGCTTTAAACAATCCGCTTTAATAAATGATCCTGTGCACAAGAAACCCCTCGCTTTCCTCCGGGGAAATACAGTGTGTCTCTCTGATGCATAGAATAGTCAATGTTGTGAATTAAAAGCACGACACTTTTTCCACAACGCTCGTGGTTATGCTCAGATTGCGATTTATTCCGCTATGATGCACTGCAAAACAGCACAAAATAGACATTCCTATTTATTATTCATATCTAAATTGCCTGAATAGATCTGGGTATTTTGAATAATAATATTTTTGATATTATTTCTATCGCAACAGATGCAATTTATTCTTATTCCATGCGCAACACTGGTACTTTATCGTCAAAAACTGGTGGCTCGTCGAGGCTGAATTTCATCGCTTTCCCTCTCACGGTTTGCATTATTTTTCACCCACATGATAAATTCATCCCCACGGAAAATCTCATCTTCGCTCCTCTACAATAATCAGACATTGAAAATTCAATTAAAAACCTCATTCCTCTGCCGCTCATCTGCCACGAATATCGATTGAATATTCGTAAACAATTGATAATTTCTGTGACGATGCAGCGAAAGCTCCGGCTGTGAATTTCCTTCGCCACGTGATAACCTACTTTCACTCCAAGACACTTTGATTGGCCACGTTGTTAAAGTTGATACTTATTTTTACCCTCATTTTCACTCCTCACCAAATGGTCGACGTCACGCATATTTTTTTCCTCTCTATTTGCACGCCTCAATAG